CATACCCTGTATATTATCAGACATAATAATCGTTAAAGTAAAACTTGGAAACTCCATGGCCCACTAGCAAAAATTCATCATAGTCTGATGTTTTAGTGTTTTTTGGGATTTCTGGAAATCCTATGTAAGTTTTATGCGTCGTTTTGAATGGAATGAAATAACGAATTCAACCTTGATGGATTCAACCTTATTTCAAATAACTTCGTAGAGAAGCCTGGCAGTCTAACCCAAAATGTACAATCAAATCTGAAACACCCTGTATGTCTCCTTCTGCATTTTACACTCTTCGAGAAATTTGCTAGATTTTTTCACTACTTCTGACTGTTAAACTCTTTCAGATCACTAGAGATCTTCGTAAAAATTATATTTTTAGCCTGTGTTTAATTTTTTCAAATCGTTAGACTTTCGAAAATAATAGTGCCAGTATATCCGTGTTCAATTCTTCATCTTATATCTTGTATACTATATATCTGTTCCCCCTGTATGATTTCATTATCGTCATTATTCATAGATAAATCATTTGTTCGGAGATTAATCTGTTAGCAGCATGACTCAACCTATTAGTCATTCATTCGAGACCAGGTGGTGAATATCAAGACAGTCTTATATTAGATGTCATCACGTACGGTCGACTTTTATGATCGCAATTGAAACATACGCGAAAAGGAATTATTTATTGTTCCAAACGGAGTGTTTACTTGAAAATAAGTGCAAGTATTGTGTTTTTGTGTTCCTCATACAATTCAGTGATTATATTATCGCGATCGTGTGCTGTTCTGGTGTTTCGTGTCACTTCGTGTTGTTTCATCAAAGCTTCGCATTTTTCACCCTGGTGAGTAGAGAGAAATTCTCTCAAGTTTTCCCCATATTTCTCTCTTTCCTCTTTTCTTTCAACTTCATTACCTTATATGTTTGAAAATCACAAAGGTACCGCTTGTTGAACATTTTCCGATGAAGGAATACTCTTTCTTCTTATTTTCTTGCTTTCCGTTCAGATCTATATTTTTTCAGAAGATAATAATGCGAAAAGAGCAAACCAGAAGAGAATAAGACGATTCCTTTTGCGATACCTTTTGCCTATACAGGGTGTTTCAGATTCAAATGTACATACTATACCTGCAGATATAGGAAACTTTGGTGGTTCCAATCACCCCCTATATATCGATGTGTCTACCATCTTTTATAAGTGCGATACAGAACGTAGAATTGAATTCGGCAAAATCTGTATAATCGATATTCAATTTATATTATTCATCAAAACTAAATCGGAATCGAATTTAGAATCCAGAACCGTCTTCAGGAAAAACAGAAAACATCTTCTTTTTCAAAAACAACACTCTGTATATCGGAATTTTGTAGATATGTTTTGATATTTGCAAAGAGCGGGAAAACTAATGAATTGGCATACCTCTTAATAGTGCGCTTCCAATTTGACATTTTTTTTGAATATTTTCCGATGAACATATATTTTCTTCTGATTTTCGTACTTTCCGTTCACAACGGTATTTTTTCAGAAGAAAATAATGCGAAAAGAGCAAACCAGAAGAAAATAAGACGATTCGAGATTATTCCATGAAAACATATTTTTTGCCTCTACAGGGTGTTTCAGATTTAAATATACATACATCGATGTGTCTACTACCTTTTATAACTGTGATACAGAACGTACCTAATCTTGATTTTGGAAAAATCTTTATCTGGTCAGCTCATAACTTCTGAACCATGGTGTATAATCGATTCATACTCGATAGGTATATTCAACGACTTTTCAACAGGGTGCATCCAATTCATCATTTTTCGAAATAGCATTTTTGTTGAACTCCTAATTCAAAGTCCAATTTTATCATAAGAAAATGATCAGTTCCAAAGTTCAACTTCATTAGAGTCAAACTAGGTGAACTATCTATAGTTTTCATTCCATAGAATAATTGTTAATTAGATATTTTCAAGTGCTTGTTACATTTTCAGTATTTCAAAAAATAATGATAGTTTGAAAGTTATATACATGAAATTATTTCTTTTTATTCTTACTTTCAAGGTCAATATTTCCGGAACGAAGCGCGATATACTTTTTTTTTATATGAAGTACCAACATTATTTTGGCTCACTCTACCAGACCTATCATCAATATTACCTTTTCGGACATCCTGTATAATTTGCAAATTTTTCCTAGAACCATTTTTCACTCATTTGGGATTGAATCAAAGTTGCCAATAACATTTAGATAGCTGTGGACACAACAGAAATGGCATGGAAACAAAACAGGCATTTTTTGACATCTCTGTCGGTCTTTGAATTAAAATGGATTATTCATCAGTAGAAAAATACGAAATTGTATATCTGTTATATTATGAAAATATTGCGGAAACTTCGGTAATGCAGCAAGAATTTAGTCTAAATTGGATTTCTTTTCCAGATTAACAAGCAAACAGACAGAAAGCAAAGTGTTTGATACTTGCCACTGAGTCGGAGAAAACCATCCAGTCAAGACGGACCGAACAGAAAATCCGCAGAGAGAACTGACCAGAGTATACTTTTCAGAATTCTGATCCTTATATTCGTACGGAAGGCGATATATTGAATTCCTTTCCAGATTCTCAAGCAAACAGATAGACAGATATTCACCTTTATGTCTCTATGGAAACACGACAGGTACCCTTACGAGGGGAGAGTATCAACTCGGCGTTTATAAACCCTCTCTGCAAAGGAGGTCGGCGCATGGTGGGTTAGGTATATACAGTGTTTTTCATTGCAGAGAAAATCGTTGTTTATCTGCCTACCTCGTCTGCATTGAGAGTTGATGAATTGATGAATAATCATAAAAATATATCGCATTCCAGTTACGAATGTTGAGAACAATATTCAGACTTTATAGATCAATATTCTATGTACGTCTCACGATTCAAATTGATGCTCAGTTTCAGATCCGAGCAGCACACTGTTTGGCATTCATGGTCCTTATTATAACCCAAGAAATTCAAAATGTCTACTGGGAAGACCACTATTCGGAAGAAGAGAGGATATGAAGCAATCCAGTTACGGTTGTCGGAAATATTATTCAGGTATGTTTCAGATTCAACATCAGTTTTGATTCTCATGGACTTTCTGATATGTGATATTTAGTTGCAGATCCGAAAAGCAAAGTGTTTGATACTTGTTAATAAATTGGAGAAAACAATCCAGTCAAGACGGACCGAACAGAAAATCCGCAAAGAGAACTGACCAGAGTATACTTTTAAGAAATCTGATCCTTATGTTCGTACGGAAGGCGATATATTGAATTCCTTTCCAGATTCTCAAGCAAACAGATAGACAGATATTCACCTTTATGTCTCTATGGAAACACGACAGGTACCCTTACGAGGGGAGAGTATCAACTCGGCGTTTATAAACCCTCTCTGCAAAGGAGGTCGGCGCATGGTGGGTTAGGTATATACAGTGTTTTTCATTGCAGAGAAAATCGTTGTTTGTCTGCCTACCTCGTCTGCATTGAGAGAGTTGATGAATAATCATGAAAATATATCGCATTCCAGTTACGAATGCTGAGAACAATATTCAGACTTTATATATTTATATTCTATGTACGTCTCACGATTCAAATTTCAAATTGATGCTCGGTTTCAGATCCGAGCAGCACACTGTTTGACATTCATGGTCCTTATTATAATTCAAGAAATTCAAAATGTAGCAGATGTCTACTGGGAAGACCACTATTCGGAAGGAGAGCGAATATGAAGCAATTCAGTTACGAATGTTGGAAATATTATTCATGTATGTTTCGATCAGATTCAACATCAGTTTTAATTCTCATGGACTTTCTGATATGTGATATTCTGTTGCAGATCCGAAAAGCAAAGTGTTTGATACTTGTCAATAAATTGGAGAAAACAATCCAGTCAAGACGGACCGAACAGAAAATCCGCAAAGAGAACTGACCAGAGTATACTTTTCAGAATTCAGATCCTTATATTCGTATGGAAGGCGATATATATTGATTTCCTTTCCTGATACATTCACATGCAAACAGATAGACAGATATTCACCTTTATGTCTCTATGGAAACACGGCAGGTACCCTTACGAGGGGAGAGTATCAACTCGGCGTTTACAAACCCTCTTTGCAAAGGAGGTAGACGCATGGCGGGTTAGGTATCATACATTCCATACCAAAACCAGGAGATATTTTGTATCACCACAACATGCTTATAGCTACAGGCCCAGGAAGACCTTTCTGAGCCAATTATGGAGAAAGAAACATTTCAACTCACAAAAATTCCAATTTTGTCATGTAGAATAATGTTCGCAAATAAAGTGGAAAAAGGTAAAGGATATAGAAAGTTTCTTTAACTTTTTGTAGTAAGTAGGTACATATTCATACATCCAGTTTTCAAATTCACATACGATGCTCCACGATTATCCATTTTTCCATCCAACTGAACTGATTTTTCATTTTCAGAGAAGACTTCTTGAGTTTACTAGTGCAACCATCAACAGAACACAGTTGATTTCTTGGTTTTTGAGTGATATGTTGATTCATTTATAAAATAATGTAGAATTGTGTCGGTAATTAATATGAAGTTCTTGTCCTGTACTCAAGAAAATCATGAAAAGAAAATCAAAGTAATTTGTAGAATGAATTACATAAAATATCAAATAAATTAACAGAAAAACAAACAATAACAAAAATGACCTTGAATGCCCTGATAAACTGGTTCAAATGTGCCCACCAGATGACGTATCGATATTTATAGAATATTCTGTTATGTCACTTATGTCTAGCCGTCATTGACAGAACTAAAACACTGTGCACCGAGGTGTGTTCTGTGTTCTGTGGATTAGCCATGATTTGCCGCGTAAATTCACTTAACCTAAATTTTACCTAATCAAAAAGAAACAAACAACAATGTGATTGTGTTGTGGTTTAAAATAATAAGAGGAAAAATAATGTAATTAGATTTTATTTAAATAATATAATGATAATCCAATAATATCAGCTACAAAATGACTACTACAACTATCAGAGGTGTTCCTGTGAAGTTTCCCTTCAAACCCTATGATATCCAGAGGGATTATATGGAGAAAGTATTGGAATGTTTACAGAAAGAAACCAATGGAGTGCTCGAGTCCCCAACTGGAACAGGAAAAACTTTATCATTACTCTGTTCAACTATGGCTTGGCTGGAACTGAAGAAAGCTCAAGTGCAGGCACAGTGTGCTATGCTGAGAAATGATGACCTGCCTAAACAGCAAAGTCATGAATGGCTTCAAGATATTGCTGGAAAGGAAGTTGATACTAGGGCCCTTTCTGGTTTACCAACTATTATTTATTCTTCTCGAACACATGCACAGCTGTCTCAAGCAATGCAGGAACTGAAAAGAACTGCATATAGTTACATGAAGGCTTCTGTTATGGGATCAAGAGATCAGTTGTGTATCCATCCTGAACTTGTAAATGAGGAAAATCGAAACTTGAAGGTAAACAAACACCTTATTCTTTTTTGTAAATTGTTTTGGATAAATCTTTTTCTGTGGAACTATTTCCCTACTATTGACAAGACATTATGAATTACATGTATGGATTTTCAGCAACAAATGTGTCAATTGAAAGTTTCTACACGCTCTTGTAATTTTCACAATAGAGTTGAGAAGAAAAAAGAAGATCCCCTCATAAGGGATATTAATGTGATGGACATTGAAGACCTTGTGAAATTAGGGAAGGCTCACAAGTTTTGTCCATTCTATATGTCCAAAGAGTTGAACAAATTTGCAGATATAATTTTTATGCCATACAATTATTTGTTAGATCCTATGATTAGAAAAAGTCTGGGTGAGTGAATATACCTATTTTTGTTGGTTAACATCTTGCATTCATCAGATATTAGAAATACTTTTAATTCATGACTGAAAGCATAAACAAAAATCAAGAAGATGAATTTTCACTGATGCTTGAAATATGCCAATTATTTATTTTGAATTCAGGTAATATCATTCCCAAGTCTGTGATAATATTAGATGAAGGACACAATGTTGAAAAAAATTGTGAAGATGCTGCATCTCTGCAAATCAAATCATCAGATTTAACCCTTGCAATTGAAGAAGTGACAGCTATCATGAAAATGATATCTGAAGAATCCCTACCTTTTGATGACTCTCCCAAAGATTTCAGCCCTGATGATTTGTGTAACCTGAAACAGGTGTTTCTCAATATAGAAAAAGAAATTGATCAGATCCCATTGAAGGGTCCTGATGGAGTGAATTTAGAGGGGACTTTTCTGCTGGATTTATTTGCCAGAGCTGGTGTAAGTAACTCATAATTCAATTTGAATCCACTGGAAATGCAATAAATATTTAATTCAATGGTTGCCAACTCCTGAATATTTCAATCATTGAATATTTTCTTGTGCAAAATATTGGAGGTTATCAATATTTCATAATGGTAACCTTCATATATGTTCAAACCATAAGTAATATGATGTGAGAATAATGTATTCTTTATCATTATTGTTTTATACAGATCTGAAAAAAAAACTAGCATATTATAGGATTTAGAAGCAGATAGGTGTGGATTGGCTTGAATATATTACTCCAAAATGCATTGAAAATCCTATCTGTTGACAATTTTCTTTCATATCTGTAAATGGCACTAAGGTATATTGAGAGATTTTCCTGAATTGAGATTATTATTTTTCTCTATAGTTTAAGAATATTGAATACGTTTTTTTTTTCTCCTGAGATCAAATTTGACTAGACAAAATTTTGAAAATTTAGGTTTGGCTCCTTTACCATTTGTTTTACATACCTACTTACTAAAAACCATGTTCACACTAACACCACCACATAACTACTAGTAGTACTGGTAATTTATGTCAGTGGTTCACAGGAAAAAATGTGTGTGCAAGTTCACCATGACACTTCTGGTGATATTTAAATTTGTCAATATTCAGAAATTGGGCACTAAATAGAAATAGAAGATATCACCATGCAATGAAAAAGTAAAAGAGGATCAAGGTTTACCTATTCTGAACTGACTGATCTTGAATTGTATCATGAATTCCAGATGAAATGGTAGCTAGAGACTAAATTCAATCTACATATATTATTGCAATAACTTAAAATAGTTGATGATGGCATCAACCAAAAGTACTAACACTATAACAGTTTGCCATTTTAGTGTTTTCATAAAAGCTATAAATAGTATCTGGCAACAGTGTATTATTCTTAGAGCTTTCCACCAAAGATCAAACTGGTGAATCTGATTCATGTGCATTAAGGATCTGTCATGTTATACTCCTGAATCCAAGGAACATAGGTGTATCCAAGGAAAAAGGTTGGGAGGGGTCATACATATAAAGTAGTGAGAATCAAATGAAATATGCCATATTCAGGTCTCATAGATTCCAAATACTCAGATTTGAGAACTGTTAAAAAAACAGTGAATTTGCATGTCCTGGATTTGCCTGGAAGCATCAGAAAGCTGTCTGGTGTAAAATGGTCTGAACATAATAATTATCTTTCCTGAGTGGCTAAAGTCCAATGGTCTCCTAATAGCCTCAAACCATTCATTTCTCTTATGCTTATAGGAATTCTAGGATCATTATTTAATACTGAATGAGTAAACTTCTAATCCAAAATCGTCTCTAAAATAGATGAGCAGGTTTGGCACCTCACACCTGAACTCAAACTCTTCACAGCTGAATGAATATACAAAACATGTATGATTCCATTTGATTTTAATATTTGGTGATGAAAGCAAATTAAAGTAATAATAAATCATGGAATTCATACACCAAAGAACAAAGCACTTCATATTTCCTAGGACTGACGAAAATAAAAAACCACCCAATCTTTATATCATTTTCATTAAGCCGACCCCTGATGACATGAACAAAACACCACCCACTTTGCCGCCGCCTATGAACAAAATGGATGCTAGGTTGATTTCAATACCATGTCAGGAGCATTTTCGATTGCCGATCGGTCGCGACCAGTTGGACCACACTTCAACCACAGGGTTTTTTATTAATTACCACATTGACCGAACTTCAAGTGTAAAGATTTTTTATCAAAGACCAAGGCCAACCGATCCAAGATCACTTCCCTAGGCTTTTTGATGGCCGATGCGGTTCAAGGGTATAAAGTATAACCTCAAAAAAGTCAAATAACCCAATAAATGAGACGGCGCATCTACAGTCTTCAAAATTGAGTGACTCAAACCGCTTATATTTCAACAAAAACAACATTACATCACTGGATTATTCACTTGAGTGTATTATTTCTGATCTACAGTTCAAAATGATTATTTCATCCAACAAAATCTGTCTCCAGGAATTCAATTACTCATATAGGTGATTCCTAATATATCTGGTTGTTGAGATGCCTTGTAATGTGTTATTTTCGGTATATTCTCAATTGGTCAGAGAAGTTTACGGTTTTTAAGGTTTCTGTATACAAGCGATCGTTGGAAACCATTTGTATTTGTCATTGTGTTCAGTCACGTGACACTGACGACCAGTCGGTCAAGCCGGTCGATAACCAAAAACTCTACCGTCAAAGTCATGAATGACAGCTTGGGGGTTCTTGCCTGTCGATCAGAAGCGTTTTCAGGCGAGCAAGTGACCCTACATTTTCGGGTTGCTGCGATATGACTCCTGGCAGTCTAGATAGAGTAGTAAGTCGGTGGAGCTTTCCTGCTTGAAATTTGAGGTTACGATTTCGTCTTCTGACTTTTCTGTTTATAGGAGTAGCATCTGGAGAATATACTTGCCATAAATTTTAGAGTGGTGGGGGAAGTGCAGCGTTGCTAGTTATCGCTTCTCCGTTCGAATCCGAATACTATAGCGCCTAGAGACAAGAGGTAATAAATACAGGGTGTTTCAAAAAAACCTAACCCTCTTGCTAGGGTAGGTAGAACATTGCAAAATAAGTTGGGTTTGCTCAGTAAATAAATGTCGTAACGCCATCCGTTTTCAAGATACAAGGTGTTGAAACAATATTTGTTTCACACATTTTTTACGATTATGTTGAAACTACTGGCAACATTGTGATGAAATTTTGTATGGATGTTTCTTGGAATCTGACACATCGCATGCATTTGTTTCTATATCTGACTCTCATAGAGGGCGCTAGTTACACGGTTCGTACCGAGTAGTTTCGAACATAACTTTTTTGAGGTTAGATTTTTCAATCCAAATTTGATGTGAACTTGAACATCATTCAATTTCACACCAAAAAGGTACTCTTGGTAAAACTCGATACTGTGTTCCGTTTTCGGAATATTTCGATTTGAAAATGATGAAGTGGTAACTGTTGCTGGTATAAAGCTATGTATTAGAGTGAGTATTATGAAAAATTATCACCTATTTATTGAAAACCGAAAACAACAATACATTTCTAATGCTAAACTTATTGATTTAACAATGAATCACAAGAATAACATCAAAACAGATTTCACTAGGAACATGGATTACACAGTTTTGTTATATCTTGAGCAGAAAGTCTAAGCTACATAGGTAACTTTACGTCAAGAGTTGTGAGACATAATTGAACATCACTTAAATGACCTAACAGCTGATCCTTAACTGTTCAAAAGAATAATACATTCTTAAAAAAAGAATATAGAATCGTGTATTCCTCGAAACGTAGGACATTTTGAACACTTACTCTAACTGGTTCAATATTTCATGTATCTAGTCAAATATCTCTTAATTTTCTACTTATGATTCTTTGTTCCATCAATAACTTCATCACAAGAATAATTTTATTGTTTTTGAACCTGAATAAATAGGTTATTGAACTCAATAAAATTCATTTTATATCAGCATCATTACTACTCCATTATTTTCAAATCGAAATATTCCGAAAACGGAACATAGTATCGAGTTTCACCAGGAGTACCTTTATGGTGTGAAATTGAATGATGTTCAAGTTCATATCATATTTGGATTGAAAAATCTAACCTCAAAAAAGTTATGTTCAAAACTACTCGGTACGAACCGTGTAACTAGCGCCCTCTATGAGAGTCAGATATAAAAACAAATTCATGCGATGTGTCAGATTTCAAGAAACATCCATACAAAATTTCATTACAATGTTGCCAGTAGTTTCGAAATAATCGTGAAAAATGTGTAAAAATATAATTTTTTCAACACCTTGTATCATGAAAACGGATGCCGTTACGACATTTTTTCACTGAGCAAACCCAACTTATTTGGCAATGTTCTACCTACCCTAGCAAGGGGGTTAGGGTTTTTTGAAACACCCTGTATAATCAGCGCAGCAAGTGCGGGTACAGCGACTAAATACTTTCTTCATACTACCACAGTTACTACGACTTGTGGCGTAGTTGACTGTGCGTTTGGATCCCACGTCGGCGACTCGGGTTCAATGCCTGCGACGGTCGGCTTTTTTTAATTCTGTTTTCTCAAGTGTTTTTTTGAAAAATATAATTTTTGGGAAGAAGGTTCATTCAGGCCTATTAAGGTTAGATGGTTTTAAAAAAGTAGTGTCCTTTTTAATGCAGGAGGGATATTTTCCTTCCTCCCTGAAAAAACTACTGCTTTTTCAGGTGTAAGGTTAATTTAGGCCGGGTGAGGTTAGATGCTTTCAAAAAAGTAGTGTCCTTTTTTATGTAGGAGGGATATTGTCCTTCCTCCATGAAAATAGTAATGTGGAGGCATTTACTGTTGGGATAAAGTTTTTACAACCTTATTTTGTACAGTGAAGGTTTCTTCCATTTGAAATCATGAAAATGCTATTTTCTTCGTTTTGGGTTATCCTATCAGTTCAAGATCATTGAAGTACTTTCTTCCTTAAGTTGAAGAAAATCATCACAATCCGGCAACATTGATATGACTGACACGGGACGCGAAGTCCCCACCACTATTCCATTTTATGACACAGACTCCGCAGACGCAAGTGTTTATAGGCTTTACTAATGGTATTGAGAAACTTGAAGCTTATTTGCAGCGTTTTTTATGTCTCCATGTATAGAGGCTCTTTCAAATTTCTAGTAAAGAAAGACTTCATAATATTGTAACTTCATGGCAATGACCAACCTTGTATAATATTATATCATATTCATTTCAGTGAATTAAAATACGACTTTTTTTGTTAAGGTAACTTTCGAAAACGTAAGTGGTCTTTCTGCGTTGATAAGTTGTGTGGTACAGTTCTTAGCTACAGTGAATGAAGGCCCTTTTGCTAGAAAAGGAAACAACTTACAGAATTTCCAAGATATATTTCAAATTGTTTTCATAAGTCCTTTAGAAGAATTCAGGGAAAAAATCAGGAAATGTTACAAAGTAGGTACCTCATTTTTGTAGTTTTTTATAATTGTTCAATATTCTCTGAAAATCATGAATACTTCTCTTATTTCATACTCATGTTTTTTTTTTGTTAATTCTTTTCAAAACATTGATCATTGTTTGTTAAATGATGGAAATAAGTAGATGGTGCCTTCATTGATGCGCTTTTGTTTCAGAAATTCGTCTCGACCTCTCGAGAACAATGGTTTCAGCGATCTTATGATAGATGGCGACAATGCACAATAGGCGAGTGGAGAAATTTTGTGTATATTTCTTAAATAGATTCATCACTCAAATACCTTTCAATTTCATGTTTTTTAGAATTTTTCGGTCGATTTTTAGGTGCTAAAATCATCAATAATGCCACGGTAATTTTCAAACGGACAGAAATTTACCGCGACTAAAAACTGACGTCACGATTTCGTAAGTAGGGGCAGACTATACAGTGTGTCCCACTTACCATGCTCACCATGGGTATCTTGCTAACGGTGAGAGATACAAGGTCGGTTAAATGACACCAAATGTGGAGTTTGTCAAGGCCAACTATAATGTGAGAAAATATTTTGAGAAAATCTATTCGTTTTTGTTTTATACGAAAAAAACAGATTTTGATCATTTTCATGTCTCGTCCGTAACTTCTTTATTCATGAAAATATTCAAATAGGAATTTCACATTCTCATGGCAGTTTCTCAAAGTAATTTCGAAAAAAATATGAAATTCATATCAACTCTTCTAGAATTTGAGATATCAGCAACAACTTCAGTTTTTCAAATGTAGGTCATAGCTCACTATGACTTAGTTACAAATAACTCTTTTTTCTCTTACAGATGATATGTCGCAGTAATAGTTTTGTGTTGATAACAACGGAGTTATCGTCATTTATACAAAAACAAAAAATTATTTGGAAGCCGCCATCTTGAATTTATAAATTTTTACAAAAAACTCATGATCTCCGTTCTCGAAAACCCCCACTCACCAATTTTGAATGGAATCGGACCAAATCTTGTCCGCCATCTTGGAGCAGCCATTTTTTTTAAATTTCAACAAAAATTCCATAATGAATTGTCACCGGATTTACGAACATCTGCCAAATTTCAAGTTGATAGGACAGCCAGAAATGAGTCAAAATTCACTTGCAACATTTGATTACAGACAGAAATTTAAAAAAATGGCTGCTCCAAGATGGCGGACAAGATTTGGTCCGATTCCATTCAAAATTGGTAAGTGGGGGTTTTTGAGGTCGGAGATCATGAGTTTTTTGTTAAAATTTATAAATTCAAGATGGCGGCTTCCAAATATTTTTTTGTTTTTGTATAAATGACGATAACTGTAAGAGAAAAAAAGTTATTTGTAACTAAGTCATAGTGAGCTATCACCTACATTTGAAAAACTGAAGTTGGTGCTGATACCTCAAATTCTAGAAGAGTTGGTAAAAATTTCATATTTTTTTCGAGATCACTTTGAAAAACTGCCATGAGGATGTGAAATTCCTATTTGAATATTTTCATAAATAAAGAAGTTACGGAGGAGACATGAAAATGATCAAAATCTGTTTTTTGCGTATAAAACAAAAACGAATAGATTTTATCAAAATATTTTCTCACATTATAGTTGGCCTTGACAAACTCCACATTTGGTGTCATTTAACCGACCTCGTATCTTTCACCGTTAAAAAGATACCCATGGTGAGCATGGTAAGTGGGACACACTGTATATAGCACAGTTGCCATGTATTGAAATACGATTGGGAACTTCAGAAATATTAGTCATTCAAACATTCATAAATTCTCAATTATGTATTGGTAATATTCCTATTTAGCAATACAAAATCAATTGTCTCAAAATGTTCCCTCATGATTTGTGTGAATAGTAATTATATTAATTCACACTAGAGGACATTTGAAGCAGTGAACGTGACAACACTGCACGCACGACTTGTAGGCGTGGTCTTCTCCCTTCTCAGCAGTCAGCACAATGCTGCCGACTCTCCAAAAAGTCAAGAATGAACTATATCATGTGTTTCTCCTATTATGTTTTATTCAACGAAATTACTCTTACATCTTTTTGATAACTTGATTATAATTGGTGACTTGACAATCTTGCTTCGTGAGTGGGATTGGAAGATCACCTGACCAATAACGAAACAGCATAAAAGCTGACGTCAACATTTATTCGACGTATAGCCAAATGGAGGCCATGACGGTTCGTTTGAAATGACCGCTGGAATTCACCAATTTCGAACAACCCATACACTCATTATTTAGATGAAAAATGTGTGAGATGTGTTGCAAATATTGATTTAGGTCCCTAGAGACACAGTGGAGTAATTGAATGCTCATAATTCATTATGACATCTGTCAATTTCGAACTGCCGCAGGTCTTTCGAATTTTGAGTCAAATAAACCAGTTTTTACATATGTTCCGCGAACCTCAGATGCAATTTTCCTTTTTATTTTCACTCCTCACACTCGTTCCAGCAGCAAAAGCAGCATCACCATCTAGCGGATAAAAGAAGATTCAACGTCTCGCTCGATGTGACGTAGAGAAATCATAGTAAACGGTCGAGTAATTTTTCTTGAGATTTCAATACGTAAAAATGACCGAGTACGCGCACCATCTACTCATTTCCATCATTGTTTGTTGTATAATTACCCATACGAAAATGTTCATGAACTTTTGTGTAGTGGTGTACAATTGTTATCATTTTTATTCAGGTTCACGTGAAAGAAGAAGAAGTCAGAAAAAAAAGACAAGGAAATTGGCTCAGTAAAGCATCTAAAGCTGGGGGAAGGATACTGAATTATTGGTGTTTCAGCCCTGGATTTGGGTATAGATATAGTCACTTCAATTTGATACTAAAAATAATAATTTCTTACTATTTTTCTTGTTTCAAACAATGAAGGGGTAATATAAATCTGACAATTTGGCATTTCAGAATGAACATGTTGATGAGTCTAGGCATGAGAAGCCTAATACTGACAAGTGGAACACTAGCGCCTTTGAAGCCTCTGATTTCAGAGTTGGAATTGGACATTCAAGTTCGACTTGAAAATCCCCATATTGTCACTGGTGAACAGGTATGTGTTAAAGTCGTCACAGCCGGTCCTGACTCTGAAGAATTCAACTGTAATTACCAAAATAGGTGAGAAAATTTATTGGCTTATACTACACGTGGTTTTCCCCCCAAAAATATTTCAAGGTGATCCTGTTATATATAAATGATGAACCTGTTTGTTTCAAAAAAGTAACACAAGCTTCTTCTTATATAGGTAACTCTTGAAAATATTGTAAACCTTTACCTACTTGATTATGTCGAATTATTTATATTTATTGAATCCCTTTGTATATATAATCCCTTCGCGATGTTTTGATATTATTGTTGTTATGGATATAGTAATATAGATGAATTGAGTGTGAGTGCACCATTTATTAGCCAGCTAGCCTATTAGCCCTTATAAGCCCTTTATAAGCCTACGAATTGCCAAATCACCTAGATTTCTGGTCCTTCGAGCCGGATCAGAAATGTAGGTGATTTGGCAATTCGTAGGCTTATAAAGGGCTTATAAGGGCTAATAGGCTAGCTGGCTAATAATGGTGCACTCACACTCAATTCATCTATATTACTATATCCATAACAACAATAATATCAAAACATCGCGAACATAATACAAAGGGATTATATATCGAATTTCAATACCATGTGAGCAGGATGAACAGAAGATGGTGTAGAAACTCCTATCAAATCCCATCTACTGTTTTTCGGTCAAAGTTCTTGACCTACGGCCTACTTTACAGAAGGATTCTTTTCAATATCACGAAATATAGGTCCTATTTTACCCGTTAGATGGCAAAATCTCAACCAAAATTCAAGGTTGGTAGAACTGATGATGAATAAAATTCCCCAAAATTACAGTTTCATACTTTCAAATTTGATCTCATTTGATTTGAGTTTATGTTATGAATTCTATGATATTATTATTTCTGGTGCAAGCGGTGTGTAAGCGCCGTTTTCTGTCATGAAAGAAATCTGTAAAAAGTGTCGCCATCTTGCGGCCAAGTGAGAACTAATATGCCATTATTGCGGAATCTGCGTTCAAGCGTTTTGGGAAGAACAAAACACTGTCTGTGATTACACCATATTCTATCCATCTTGCATGTGAGGCTTTGTGAAATGAACAGAATGACACCATGGTTGATTAAATTGAGATGATAGCTAGTGGATTGAAAATGCCTCAAACTAATTCTTTCAATGAGATGGATAACCCAAGCTCCGTAAATTTGACAGTGGAAAATAGTTTGAAATCATGAGAGGAACCTAACCTAACTTGAATGTTCTTTATTTGAACAACAAAGTGTGTAGATTGTAGATGGGTCGTATAGGCTGAGAGACCTCTCGATCACTGCGACCTAGAAGATCTATTGTGATTACACCTATCTAGTTTTGGTCCTCTAACCCTAGACTTCTGATGAAGCCTACGATTTTCCTGACGGTTTACTTTTCCACTTCAGCAGGGGTGAGATAGACCTGTTCTAGGTGGTTCAGCCTTTGGCAGACTAATACTTCACATGAGCAAAGTATGTGTTCCGCGGTTTCGGTCGCATTGTTACAAAAGCGGCAAGTGTCAGTCTCCGCCAGACCCATCTTTCTGAGGTGGTACCTCAGAGGGCCGTGTCCTGTGAGAAAGCCTGTGATAAGCTTTAGCTCTTTGGCTCGGTTCTGCGAATGGTTGATGAACCTTTTCGCTTGTCGTTGACCTGGAGTTGCTCTCCAGTAGGAGGACTTTTCAATTTCTTCCCATTTCCCGAGTTCTCCCTTTAGGTGACATTTGCTTATCCCACAAAAAAACAAAGTGTGTAAAGATTCATTGTATTTGTGCGTTTTTTTCATTTGTAGTGTAGTACTACTAGTACTTCATTTTTTCATAGTAGATAACAAAATGTTGAGTGTATAAGTATCAGAATGCGTTATAACGGCATTTTGCAAAAGTTTTGAAGCAGGAAGTCAACTTCTATATAAATTGATACCCCAGCAAGAAATTAACCGAAAAAAAATAACATGATGCTGTCTTTACTGGCAATGATGCTATTACAATACTGTATGGGCGACAATTTTTTGCTGTTGAACTGTTTTCACCATATTTGAATTGCTATAAGATCCATATTTTTTGTTTTTGTAGGGACAACCCAAAATACATCTCTTCATTGGGTAGAGCTATATTGAACCTTACAAGGATTGTACCAAATGGACTACTGATCTTTTGTCCATCTTATCCCATAATGACCAAGTGTCAACAAGTTTGGCAAGAAACTGGTATATGGGGAGATATTAATTCACAAAAGGTATAATAAGTTATAATATCAACAACAATAAAAAAAATAACAATGGCTATCAAGGGTAGCCGCATTTTTTGAGATGGAATTCTACTTTTAGTGTTGGAGAACCTGTCTTTGAGTAGTGTCCTGGGTGATATATTGCATTGAATCAACTATAGAAGTATAATGAATTTTTTTCATAACATCAATTTTCAATCAACAATTTTGATGTCAGACGATCATAAATGAGCTAGTGGACTGATTTTTAAAATTTATTATTAATATTCACAATAACGCTTTCAATTTTATTAGTTTCCAGAAATTCTCTGAATGCTTTCAAGGTATCAAAAGCACGTATGAAATCACATTCTCTTCAGAACAGTTGAAATTAGTTACTCATACTACTGACGTCACGACTCAGTGAGTGAACTACATAGTTGCCAGATGTCAAATGAACATTAATAAATCATTTTTTTCAAAATGGATTATACAGAGTAAAATTTACAAATTAAAATTCCAACATAGCGACTGGGCCAACTGGGGAAAAATTAAATGGAAAGGGGGGTTTTGTGATGTTCCGCCATTTTGTAGTAGGTGAAGATATTGACTTTATATTCTAGGGTTGTGAAGTATTTGTCAGGGGCTTCAAAAAGATGTATCACAAGACCCCCCTTTCCATTTATATTTTTTCACAGATGGCGCCTAGCCGCCATCTTGAAATTTTCTCCACATCAAAATATAGTATTCATGCATCAATTTCATTCCCTCAAGTATCAATTTCTTTCGTACACTCGTTCAAAAATAAAAGGGGGGGCATTAAAGAAAAGCACTGTATTTCCGCCGGCCCCCTCGTCACTCCTTTATTTTACATATTACAAAATAAATGTGAAATGCATAAGTTATATGGTTTCATACGATCTATTCAACGGTTCAAGTTTCACTTATACAGAGTGTCTCGAAAATCCGCAGCGATGTATGATGATTTTAGACAATTTATGTGGAACCCAGAGACAAAAATTCCTTCAACAGCGCAATGCACGACTACTGCGAAAAGGTCAACGATCCCAATCTGAAGGGTGCCATTTTTATGGGCGTGTGCCGGGGTAAGGTTGCCGAAGGATTGGACTTCGCCGACGGCAACGGAAGGGCCGTGATTATAATTGGCTTGCCTTATCCACCGTTGAAAGACCCCCGAGTGATATTGAAGAGGAAATATTTGGATGTTTGCAATGCCAGAGATAGAGAGGTCAGTTAAAAAAAATATGTACTCAGTTTCTTTCTTTGAAAATGAAATAATTTTTAGAAAAAAAATGCTGCTTCTCATATTCAAAATTGCTCATTCTTGACTATATTCCAGACAGTTTTTTTGTACCCTATCATATCAAGTAAATGAAGTAGTTTTTTTATATTTCATAGAAACTTTGGAGTGTCTAATAGAACATCCTGATTTTTCAATAAGCCACAACATCTGTTCACAAACTTGATGTTATTGATATACTTTTTTAAATACCCTGAGATAATCAAGGTAATAATTCTCAACATCCTGTAGAATTTGTAGAATTCTATTAAATTTCACGATATTCCGATAGGTCCTTCAAAGTTAAAAAAAAAGTTTCAGTTGAAAAGTGATGAAACTCTATAACTGTCTCAAAATATTGTATATCAGAGAACAAGGTTTAAATTAAAAAAGCGATCCATATCTAGACAGTATTGATTTCAAGGACAAAATCTGATTTCAAGAAAAGCTGACATTTTCCTACATTACAAGAAGTCTTGATTCACAGAAAATAGCTTGAATTCATAAAAAATAATAAAAACCAATGTTGCATACATAAAACAGTCAAAGTTACATTTCAATCAGAATGTATGCAGTGTGTCCCACTTACCATGCTCACCATGGGTATCATTTTAACGGTGAGAGATACGAGGTCGGTTAAATTACACCAAATGTGGAGTTTGTCAAGGCCAACTATAATGTGAAAAAATATTTTGATAAAATCTATTCGTTTTTGTTTTATACGCAAAATACAGATTTTGATCATTTTCAAGTCTCCTCCATAACTTCTTTATTTATGAAAATATTCAAATAGGAATTTCACATTCTCATGGTAGTTTTTCAAAGTGAATTCGAAAAGCATATGAAATTTATACCAACTCTTCTAGAATTTGAGATATCAGCACCAACTTTATTTTTTCAAATGTAGATCATAGCTCACAAGTCAATTTTTTTTTTGTCTTACAGATGATATGTCGCAGTAATGTTTTGTGTTGATAACAACGGAGTTATCGTCATTTATACAGAAACAAAAAATTATTTGGAAGCCGCCATCTTGAATTTATAAATTTTAACAAGAAAATCATGATCTCCGACCTCAAAAACCCCCACTTACCAATTTTGAATGGAATCGGACCAAATCTTGTCCGCCATCAATTAAAAAAAAATGGCTGCTACAAGATGGCGGACAAGATTTGGTCCGATTCCGTTTAAAATTGGTAAGTGGGGGTTCTTGAGGTCACAGATCATGATTTTTTTTGGTAAAATTTATAAATTCAAGATGTTGGCTCCCAAATAATCCTTTATTTTGTATAAATGACGATAACTCCGTTGTTATCAATACAAAACTATTTCTGCGACATATCATCTGTGAGAGAAAAAAAGTTATTTGTAACTATGTCATAGTGAGCTATGACCTACATTTGAAAAACATAAGTTGGTGCTGATATCTCAAATTCTAGAAGAGTTGGTATAAATTTCATATGCTTTTCGAATTCACTTTGAAAAACTGCCATGAGAATGTGAAATTCCTATTTGAATATTTTCATAAATAAAGAAGTTACGGAGGAGACATGAAAATGATCAAAATCTGTTTTTTGCGTATAAAACAGAAACGAATAGATTTTATCAAAATATTTTTTCACATTATAGTTGGCCTTGACAAACTCCACATTTGGTGTCATTTAACCGACCTCGTATCTCTCACCGTTAAAAAGATACCCATGGTGAGCATGGTAAGTGGGACACACTGTATAGAGATGTTTAACTCTAAAACAAAGTATACATTGCAAACAAATTTTACTGAATTGAAATGAAAAACTTCTTAAATGGATGACAACATTTTTATTGAAATTCTTTGAATTCGGAGAACTAAGCCTAAATTTGAAACATAGAGGTCTACATTTATATGAAAAGGTTTGATTTGATGACTGGATTCCGATTTTGCTTCGAATTTGAGAAGTGGTATGTCTTGAGTCAAAGAAAATTGTCTGAATTGATAAAAACAAACAGAAAGAAACAGTTTCACGGATTTCCGAGTTGTCCGACGTTCCTCTCTCTCTTTTCTTTCTCTATTTTTTTCGTAGGGCTCAAAAATTAAAAACGAAATTCAATAGAAAAAATTTGAATTCAATCCATTCAATTTTTTTAATTCTCAGAAGGAGAACAAAAACAAAAACTGAGACTATTTTCCTCTACAGTATCTGAAAGGTGAAGAATGGTATAGTTTGGAAGCCTCTAGGGCCGTAAACCAAGCCATAGGTCGAGTGATACGGCACAAGGACGATTACGGTGCTATATTATTGTTCGACACCAGATTCAACAATCCCAGAATCAGAAGTCAAATGTCAATGTGGCTCAGAAACCACATCAAAACGGTGAACAAATTCGGCGAATTGATGAGAGATCTGCGACAGTTTTTCATAAAGGCTGCAGTAAACGTGAGTATGATTCCTAAATTTACTTCTTTTTTTCAGCATTAGCCCTAAAACCTACCGTTGCTCAGGCCTTTCTGAGGAGTGATAAGGTATTTCACTACCAATAAGGTAGTATTTTTCACGCTTTCAACTAGTGATTCATTAAGACACCAAATTGTGAAAGAGAGGGGAAAATAGAATGCATTGAGAAAGAAAAACTCATCAAAACTGAAGAAATAAAAAAAAACAGGGCCACGTCCCTTTTCTAAAGGGGTTTAAATTTGGTACTACACTATTTTCTGGAATCCAAAACCAGTGTTTATAGGTCGCGTGCACGATGACCGACCCTGGAGGTAAAATATTGAAACACAACCTCACTCTTCTGTGAAACATTGAAACACAGCCTCACTTTTTTTATTTGTTTACAGAGGAATCAAAGGATTGAAATAGTTTTTCACAATGTTTTGGCATATGAATCGTGTTTTTTGCACTATTCATCAATTCAAGCATGTGTTCTCATTGTGCTGTTGTACAATGCACAAAAAATGCAGCGAGAGACGAAGGAATATGCTTCTTCAAGTATATAGTAATTTCACATGGTTTTCATTATGAAATTTTGTCATTTCTTATTGAAATTCCTTATGCCACTTCTACAATAGAAGCTAGTACTGGCTAATAGATTTAAAATGTCTACAACACACACGATCATATTTCGTCAGCATGTCAGACCAGTTCTCCCGTTTGATTGCATGAATCCTATCTTCTTGCATCATTTTAGAAATTTCACGAGTATTTCTATTCTATTCTATTAGCTCCTATTGCAGAAGGAATTCCGATGAGAAATCAGAGAAATTACCAAAATTCAAAAATGAAAACTATATGTGAGTGACTATAGTAGGTACTTACTTTAAAATCATAATGTACCAACCGGATTCCTTCGTCTCTCGCTGCATTTTTTGTGCATTGTACAACAGCACAATGTGATCGCATGCTTGAATTAATGAATAGCCGAAAAACACGATTCATATGCCAAAATAATTGTGAAAAACTATTTCAATCACTTGAAAACAAGTAAGAAAAGTGAGGTTGTGTTTCAATGTTTCACCTCCAGGGTCGGTCATCTGACAGTTCTTGCACGCAACCCATTGAGAATTATGTCAAGATAAACGAAAATAACCTATTTTCATTCCATAAGCGTTGATACCCACAATAATTTTTCAGTTGATGCAGGATTAAGCTTTGGGCATTTTCAAGGAGACATTTCTTGATATTTTAGCTTTGTCTTGAATCATATCCAATCAACATGTCAAAGTACATCTAGAAATAACAGGAATTGTCTTTCTATAAACATTTATAGACCGTTATTTATTGTTCTTCTAATATGTGGAAGATTCGTAGTAGCTTTATTCTCAAAACTGACCCATAAACAACAAATAATAATAATAATATCTTTATTTTCCACCTGTCAATTGAAAATTGTGTTGGATTCGTCATTACAGGTGAAGCAGATATAAAAGTTAGATAAGTTGAATAAAACAAACACAAATAACTCAAAACTAAACAGTTATACATTAAAATACATTAAAAATGTACATGTTATACATTTGTAGATATTCCCCTATAGAATAAAAACATGTTTTCACTAGGAAATCCTTTACTTTCATTTCATCGGGTAATAAATTATAAATTCGGAGAGCCATTGCTATAGGAGAATCTCATAATGAATTTTACTTACTGATCTTTTTGACGTGTATTGTATTCGTACCTTGAATTATTCATCTTGAAGATATTTCGATTTTTATACACATAAAGACAGAATTCAAGAATTAACAACGATGGTAGAGTCAGGATTTTCAAGTTTTTAAAGTGGTCCCTACAAGAGGAGCGTTTTGATATTCCTACGAGTGTGCGTATAATACGTTTCTGTGCAATAAAAACATCTGATGATGCGGTAGATAGGCCCCAGAAGCGTACTCCGTATCTTAGTCTGGACTCCATTTGTCACAGTTAAGTAATGGTTTGAGATTCCTGAATTGATATGAGTAAGAACTCAATTTGGATTGCAGTATTCGGCAATGATCATTCCATGTAAGACAATCATACCAACCCTAAGAACTTGACTTCTTGAACAAAGTTTACACAGTGATTATCTGTAGATATGTTCACATCGATACAGGTTTTCTGACTATTATGGAATCTCATTGATTTTGTTTTATCCATGTTCAAACTCAGAAGTATGTGATATATGTGATAGTAGACTGATTTATCTGAGATGATCAGCGACGTATCATCCGCATACATAGTGAGAGAAGAATGGACTGGTATGTCATCCAAATCATTCAAGTATAATATGAAAAGGACAGGTCCCGAAATTGAGCCTTGAGGTACTCCAATTGTGACTGCTTGTTTTGAAGAGATAGTATGTTCAATAGAAACATACTGGCTCCTTGAATTGAGAAAGCTTTGCAGCCAATGGTGAGGAATACCCCGTATTCCGTATCTTTGCAGTTTGTTCAGTAAAATATCATGGTTGACAAAGTCGAAGGCCCTGCTGAGGTCACAAAAATCCCAACAGGGCATTCACCAGTTTCAACCAATTTCACTAGCTCCTCGAAATATGAGTCAACTGCTGTTATCGCTGATTTTTTATCTAGGAATTCATGCTGGTTATTGGAGAAGGTATTGAATTTTTTTATATTTTTTTTATCGCTTGGAGCGCACGAAAGGGAATCCCTATTGAGGAGAGCATACTCAAAAGAGCTAGAAGGTACTGTAATTGGTCGATAATTCCTTACAAACCGTGAATCGCCACTTTTGTGAATTGGAACCAGTTTACCAATCTTCAGATGGTCTGGAAATTTTCCGGTTGAAAAAGATAAATTGACAATACTTGTTAGGGTAGAAATTAAAAATGGCAGGGTTTTTCCAAGAAAACATAGGGACTTTGTCTTGTCCACATGAGGATTCGTTTTTCAGTTTAAGGTGTAATAATATCTGTTTCAGAATACGATTCTAGAAAAAATGATTTCACGACTGTTTTAGAAAATTTCAGGTAATCACTGAAGTCCAAGTTGCTTGTTGGTAATTTTCTTACAGTATCATGAGGTATAACTTGAAAATAAGTATTAAACAGTTCCACAACCTCTTTCTGATCTTCAATGTCTTCGATCGCTTCTCCCGACATCAGTCAAAGTTATTTTTGCTGGAAGAGCAATACTAGCTCTCAACTTAACGCTAAACAAGAGTCCAAAACATAGATCAAAGACATGCACATGCAGTCCTGACGTTGATACATATTGCGCAGGTGTTTTTTAATGATTGCTTGTTGGTCAACAATGAAACAAAATCGAAATTTTAACTTTGCTCGCTCAAAAAGGAACAATCAAAATTTCACTTCATGACTTCCTAGTTTTTCTCGACTGATTAAAATTAAACTGGCCTCTTGTATCAATCAAGTAGCATTCTTCAATCACCCAAATGTGTTCTAGTTTCCTCTCACTGATAAATCCACGAGACTGGCGTCAACCGACTACGGGACATCCTCGCCAAACAAAGACGGCTGTTGCAGTTCGAATCTCTTTTCCGAAGCGTCCACCAGTTCCTTGGATCTGGGCAACGATGGGGAAGTTTCGATCCACAAGAGACCACGACTGAACCTACCCCCTCAAAAACGAATGAAAATAAATTTGGTGCCCAACGTTAGCAACCCCTCGGTTACGAGCGAAACCACCACCAAGGAGTACATCCTCATGGTACTTGTCACCCTTTTGTGCTACTATGTATTCTACACGTGTTACATTACAGGTTAAAAAGAATTTAGACGTTGATTCATTTCGGGGTTTCACCGAGGCTCTCAAACTTTACAAGGAATGCGAACGCGTGGATTTGCTCATCGGGAAATTAGAGGAAATTTTTCAGCACCGACAGCACTTGAGGTATCTCATTCCTGGGTTAGAAACCTACATAAGGACTTATCATATGGCTGAGTTTAGTAAATATTGTAAAATAAATGGACTGTTGGACTAAGTTGAGTAGCTATACATACCCATTGTATTCATATAGACTAACATAAATGCAATGCTATTCCGTTTATATTTTCAGCTTGTTATAGCTGAAAGGTGACTTCCTGTAGATACTTGACCGTAACATTAACTCTACGTCTATCTCGAAAATGCATTTAGTTCTAATTTTGCAATATTTAATTTCAGCTGAAATCGCCCACATGATACTGTATGTTCTGTACACTAGACTCCAGTGGCCAATTTCTCAACTATTTTCTTCTTCCACCTTACTGCTGACTAGAGTTCCTAAATGTACTGGGCACTGCTGTTCTGACGTTTTTTGTATATTTAGAGTACGGACACTATGACAAGCACTGACAATCAGACATAACCACAATTAAATTTATGGAAAAAGCGGGAACTGACAGGACACGGACGTACATGACATAAATTTCAAAGGTTTGACAAATTGAGAGAATTAGGAGAAAGATGCAAGTTTGTGCCGTATCCAACTATGAGAATACGGGAAATCAATTCAATCTATTCGAATTTCCATCGGATATCGTAATTCTACAAAAATGGAAACAGAATATGATGCGGCCGGCGTGGAATGTAGGTTCAGGCCACAAAATTTGCGAGGTATTCAAATTTCTTGGTAGGATATAGAACATTTCACACTTCAGAACGGAAGATTTGATATTGAAGAATACGATCGTATTGAGAGAAAGAGCCGAACCCACAATTTATAAACTGAACGAGTATCCAAAAGAACTTTATTCCAATTTAGAACCAACAAGAAACGAAGAACTTGCAGATAATGAAGTTCATTTTGAATATATTTCTAAAGAAAAATACTTGAGAATGATCTTCCGATGGCCGGGTTCAAACCAACAATCCCCTTTGTCAGTCGAGCGCTGAAGTCCATTTATACCTACTTCCCTATATATGTCTTGGAGAACCTAACTGAAATCAGCTGTTATTGTTGCCATATCATTTGTTCATTTATTAATAACTTATAACCTACCACTCTTGTACAAGTGAAATCGTTACATACGAAATGAAAGTGTGTTTCATTGGTTGAAAGGACCCCGCACGAAAACACGGTAAATTGGCTCTCGGTCGAATTGGCTGAAATTTTACTATGTTATTGTGAGATGGCTCATTAGAAAAATATGTGAGTTTGAAAAGTTTTGTATGTTTAGTTTCTGAGATATAAGCCGACTAAGTTCGTAATACGTCGTATCGGGGTAGGATTGACGAAGAAAAAACTGTTTCTTTAGTATGAATAAGACAAAATAAGCTAGAAAATGTATTGATCGGAACTCAAATACATGTCTAGTTATGATCACATAGACTATAGTAAATCAGGGTGAATACGAGGCACGGTAAAAAAATTCATTTTTCGGAAAAAAAAATCGAGCACTATTCCAAAACCAACAAGTTATATTTTGGTGGGATATTATAGTTTTAGTTTATTGTAGGCTTCGGAAACGTATTTTGATTCTTGATAACTATTTCTGTTCGAAATATGAATTCTTTGAATTTTGTGTTATACCCCTTTTGGAAAACAATTGACAGCTTGTTTTTGATCACAAAAAAAGGGATTGATTTATACTGTTGATTGAATGAAAGCTAAGGTAACTCACTAGCGAATTCAGTTGTTCAATATTGCTTTTCATTAAGATACAAGGTGTGTTAGATTTTGTTGAAGATTATTTAAAATGTTTCAATTGAATATATCGAAAACAGTTCCGTCAATTTGGATCTCATTTTACTCACACTATTTTGAATATGTTGACTATCATATGCAAAAGTTTTTAAATTTTTTATGTTTCGTTTCTGAGTTTACAGTATTACAGGTATTATAGGGTTATTACCTCGGATATTACTATCACAAATTGATATCTCAGAAACGAAACATAAAAAATTGAAAAACTTTTTGCATATGATAGTCAACATATTCAAAATAGTGTGAGTGAAATGAGATCCGAATTAACGGAACTGTTTTCGAGATATTCAATTGAAACATGTTAAATAATCTTCAACAAAATCTAACACACCCTGTATCTAAATGAAAGGCAATATTGAACAACTGAATTCGCTAGTGAGTTACCTCAGCTTTCATTCAATCAACAGTATCAATCAATCCCTTTCTTTGTGATCAAAAACAAGCTGTCAATTGTTTTCAAAAAGGGGTATAACACAAAATTCTAAAAATTCATATTTCGAACAGAGATAGTTATCAAGAATCAAAATACGTTTTCGAAGCCTACAATAGACTAAAACTATAATATCCCACCAAAATATAACTTGTTGGTTTTGGAATAGTGCTCGAATTTTTTTTCCGAAAAATGAATTTTTTGACCGTGCCTCGTATACACCCTGATTTACTATAATTTATGTGATTATAACTAGACATGTTTATGAGTTCCGATCAATATATTTTCTAGCTTATTTTGTTTCATTTATACTGAAAAAACAGTTTTTTTCTTTGTCAATCCTACCCCGATACGACGTTTTTACGAACTTTGTCGGCTTATATTATATATCAGAAACTAAACATACAAAACTTTTTAAACTCACATATTTTTCTAATGAGTCCCACAATAACATAGTAAAATTTCAGCCAATTCGACCGAGAGCCAATTTACCGTGTTTTCGTGCGGGGTCCTTTATCAGTTTTTACCCCATTCCGAACTTTTGTGATGAAAAATTATCCAACTGAACGTATACATTTAAGAGACTTATTTAATAGGAATAGTATATGTATTTCGTTGGTATATATGTACCAGGTGAACAACTAAGAACGGCTCTCATATCTATCAATTCTTCCAAATTTGATAGTTTTTATCTTCCGTTGACGAAAAGCTGTAATGTTGCGGTTCTCGTTGGTCTGTTGAGATTTAGTTTCTCTATTACATGTAATGATATGCATACCATTAGATTTATTCAATCTCAAACTTGTATCATTATTCGTTGCTGAGATATGGCCGACAGCCGTTTTTATTTACCCGGTACATACCTACTTGATATCGACCTCCATTGAGTTCCTTCAGCCTTATCATTCAATATTTCGAGAAGAAATAATTTTTAATCAATTTATCGTACCCTTTTACCCACTCGAGGAGACGCTATGCACTCTCATACAAAAATCAAAGACAGAGAAAGATATATGGATGTACTCTTCCCAGGACTTGTGAAGGATGGAAGATGCGAGGATCCTTTATCTTAGCGAAAAACATAATATTCTTGTCCTTGTCTGGCAAATCGTTTGTGGTTATGTTTGATTGTCACTGCTTGTCTAGTGTCCGTACTCTGATATACAAAAAAACGTCAAAACAGCAGTGTCAAGTACATTTAGGAACTCTACTGCTGACTAATCTTTGTGTAAATTATGTTTGAAATCATTTTCTACTTAATTCCACCTGATTTAGCTGTCAAGCTTTCGGTATGGCAAACAAACGGAAATGTTTGTTGAAAGAAAAATTGGAAGATGGTTGATAGTGTGCACATCATTAACGTCTTGATTTCAAGTTATACTATTCACATAACAATACCGAAATATCGCTAATTTGGAGGTAGGTCCAACTATGAAACCGTAACCTAACCTCATATTTTGAGTCCTTTCGGTGTTCATGTTACCTGTGAGTGATACCATCCCAAATTATACACAATTTATATTTATGTCATAAGTGAACTTTTTATTTATGTAAATAAACTGATACAAACTATCATTTGTTTGTGAAAATTGGATTTTGTTACTTGGTCATACTCTTAAGACTACTGAATATTTTGGTACATCTCATGTTCTGGCACAACTCCACGACAAAGTTACTTATGAAGGTATCTTTTTCAGACTTCTTAGATTCAAATAAAATAACTAAGTAAATATTTGGCTCCACTGTTGTAAGAACGTATGTAAATTGTTCCTAAAAAATAGGAGTAAGTGATACAGTACATAAAATGGATACAACATTGCAACCAAGACATATATCGAAAATTTATCCTTTTCTATGATTATGATGGGAGACGTCTTATAGGTTTATCAAATATATTGAGGAACATTGTTTTTTATCTCTAATCAATGAATCTACTCCTAATTCAGGTTGAGTTTTCTGGGTTCTGAACATAAAATGTGGCAATGCATGTAGTTGAAGTTGAATTAATCAATTTTGCATACTCACCTGAGAACTAAATTTGTAAATAATTTTTTCAACATTCATCAATTCATTATTCGTTTCAGAAATCATTTTCAGTATCGTATCTAGCTGTGGAGGGTTGCGCTGAAAGAATAATAGTTTCTTAAAACATATTCAAGTATAATTTTGAATAAACATTACATTACATCCTGTATTTCCTGATTGAAAATAAATACATATGCCAATGTAAAATTCTGTTGAAGTTGAGTTTATGGTGGTTGAACATATCAGAATGCAATATTATGTTGTGAAAAATTCCATATATCCAAATATCCGGCATGAATCCTCTTGAATTCAAAACCTTTTCGAGAAAACTCATTGTTCGTCATTTTATCGCCCTCAATAAAACATAAAAAAAATTCCCGGCGAAACGGGGTGATCCCAAACTTTTCGAAAATTATCACATTTTCAGATATCACCCAGTAAGGTCTTGTCGAAAAGGTGGAATAGCAAAAAAGTACTGACGTTAAAGGAATTGAAAAATGGTTGATCCACTCCAAAGTTATGACGGTTCGAAAAGTGTACCACTTAGAAAGGACGCCGGCTGTATCTCGGAAACTATTTGCCGCACAGGTTTCGGAAATAGCTATTTGTGTATTTAGAGCGCAAAGTGATAGATTGCCGCTCGACAAAGAAAGTTACCGCGCGATGCGGAGCGGAGCGCGGTAATCTTTGGAGAGCGGCAATAACACTTTGTGCTCGAAATACACATAAGATTTTTTCTACTAACGCAGCTTTTGGAAATAACTACCCTGAAAGTATGAGCGATTGAAATAGTTGAAAATGTTCTTATCCATATTATCCCACATGTCCAAAGGAAAAAAAATTGGAATAACTGACAAGCCAGAAAAAAAAATGCCGGGCCTACCGAGAATTGAAACTGGACCACCAGCGTGGCAACCTTAGCTTCAGACCTCTGAGCCATAGTATGAATAAACTCTGCAATCAAATTGAACATTACTCATTGATGCAATAAAATAAAGATACACTGTTTTTCTGATGACAACAGAGTTTAAATATGAAGTATAATTCATCGTTTTCAGCAGATATATGCTTCATCGGGAGCTTCTTGTAGAAATTAGTTGGTATATATCTTCAGCGGTGAATGTTTTGGATTTTTCTCGCTTTATATCCAATAGATTGTTTCTTGAGAAATGCGATAAGTTTCAGATACTTATTGATTGCGATATTATCTTCAACATTCAAGCATGTATACGTACCATCGAATATATAGACCAATGAGTTGATGACTTCAAAGTCTTCGATTTTTTACCAAAATAAAACAGTAAAATGTTTTCTGAACACATATTCACCATCTCGGAGTGACACCAATTTATGAATGTATCATATTGTAATTCATATTTCTTTCTTGATTTCTCCGGTAAGAGATTCAAACTCTTGCGCTTTCTGCTATATCAGGAGGTGTGTTTGATGATTCACTGTCACTATTTTCCATCATGAAAGAATTGGGGGTTTTCCAGAATAGATAAGTATAGGTTTCAGAGATGTGCGAGCGTTTTTTCAATATTTCCGCTCACGAGCGCAAATGCTGTCAAAGAATGACATTTCTGGGAAAACGTCAATTTTGTGCTGGAATTTGAAAGCGTCAAAGGCTACTTTGTTAAGCGTTTGTAGAAAAAAAATATTCATGATAAAAGTGGCCAAGAAAAATCTCTGGAAATTATTTTCAAGTGCCCAGGACAGCCGCTAGAGGGCATAATTGCATTGGCCGACTTAAAAAACGGGTTTTTATGAAAATTTGATATATCAAGACATATCAGAAACACTTGTTCCATATTCTCGAGTTGATTTCCAATCATTTCGATAAAAAAAAATTGCGCTAGCTCTTTAAATAATAGAGGGAGGGAAGGATGAATATTACTCTGGAAAAACTACAGTTTGGTGTAACTGAATTAAGCGATCTTGGTCTCATTAAGAAGGGTTTTTTCACATCTTCCCGATGAATCACGAATCAAGTCGATTCAAATCCCGTGGTGGCCGCTAGATGGCATCGTTTGAAAAATCAACCAAGGTTAAATCAACTGATTTGCCATTTTTTTTTCGAGAATTTCAAATGGAACCATATATTTTTCCTGCTATGATATGGAAGTAAAGTAAACGAGAAGAAAAATGGTGAAAACCGCGAGTTGATACCTCTTGAAGAACCGGAGAAATACTCGGAATAATATTGAAATTTAAACTGTTATAGCATGTTAAATGCCTCCTCATTCGTTATCGGCATTTTCACAAATAAGCAATCCACAGTGAAAAATTCCAATGGAACTTCAATTATATTTTGACGTTTCTTTCATTCAAAGCCAACTTGCCTTTTCTCATTCCTGAGCCTATACTCACTACTTACATTTCAATTAGCTATGTCATTACTAAGAGTCTCCTTCACTATTGTTAGTTATAACAGCAGTTTGTGAAACCAAAATAAATGAATTATTGAAATCATAATTTCATTGATACAGGATATTTCTGATGGTGAATATTATTTCGAGTATTCCACCGGTTCCTCAAGAGGTATCAATTCGCGGTTTTCACCATTTTTCTTCTCGTTTGCTCTACTTTCATAGTAGAGTAGAATGAATATATGGTTCCATTTGGAATTTTCGGAAAAAATGGAAAATTGTCTTATTTTTCAAACGATGCCATCTAGCGACCACCACAGGATTTAAATCGACTTGATTCGTGATTCATCTGGAAGAACCAAAAAAACCCTTCATAATGAGACCTAGATCGTTGAATTCCGTTACACCAAACTGTAGTAATGAGAGTTTTTCCAAAGTACTATTCATCATTCTCTCCCTTTTTTATTTAAAGAGCTAGCGCAATTTTTTTTGATCGAAATGATTGGAAATCAACTCGAGAACATGGAAAAAGTGTTTTTGACATGTCTTGATATATCAAATTTTCATAAAAACCCGTTTTTTACACCGGCCAATGCAATGCCCTCTGGGGGCTGTCCTGGAAACTTGAAAATAATTTCCAGAGATTTCTCTTGGCCACTTTCATCATTCATATTTTTTTCGAAACCTGTGCGGCAAATAGTTTACGAGATACAGCCGGCGTCCTTTCTAATTGGTACACCCGGTACATAAGCCAACATAAGCACAATGAACTCAATACAACTGGAAGGGAGACCACCGTTCCCTCGAATAGCACAATGGGGGCAGCTGCAACAAAGATGGCATGATTTACGGTAACTTGTCCTCTTCCAATTCCTGTTGTTCTATGGTGGATTGGTGTATAAATTTTCATCTAATAATTAAAGTAGTTGAGAATTTTTTCTCTCATCTACACAGGCAAGAAAGTGAAGACATAAGTTCATTGTCTTCGTTTATGTGAAATACGAGGTGGAATATCTATTCATTTGGCGTGTTTTGTTGTATCAAAAGGACTGAATTTGTTGTTGTTGTAGGACAGGGTGACGAATGAGTTTATTTGTAATCGCTCAAATACACAAATTAACAAAGATCCACATCAATAAATTCACCACTGATGAGTTTTGACTCCGGAAAAGAAAACATAGACCTACTCCCGTTGATCACTCGGTTCGAAGTGTTTGTTTTTTTATCAACATTCCTCGTCACCATCACAATAGTAATTAATCTTATACACAGAATACAGTATGATACAATAATTACTACTATAGGAAATTCCCTACAGTACCCCCTTGCCAGTGGTGAACGATACAAAACTAAAACCAAATACATACGAAAATGAAGAGAAAGAACTACAAAACATATTTGCGAATCACCCTGTGATTACTTAATAAAATTCTCGAAATGAAACAAGAAATTGCAACATAATTCAATTGACACCTGCTTGGTAACGCTCAGTGAATTTAACGCGACGGCCAGAGCGCGTCCTGTAGACAGGTGGTGTTGCTAGAGCTGGTGGTTGAACTGCATCCTGTTGCAACAGTGTTTGGTTGTCTCCTGGAGCGGCAAGAACAAAGTCATCGTCGTTGTCGTCCATGGTACCTCCTGGTGCAGCAATATTCTCTGTGACGATATAGGCCGGTTTGAGACGATCGATGGTAACTGGAACATTTCTTCCGCGCATCGCAAGCGTGAAGTGTTTCTCAGCACGAGAAACAACCTTGTAGGGACCATCGTATGGTAACTGGAGCGGTCCTTTTGGTGCGTCGTGCCTGACAAAGACGTGGGTGGTGGTAGCAAGGTCTTTGAAAACAAAGATTTTGCGTTCGCCATGCCTGGTGCCACTGACTGGACGGAGTTCCTGGAAATGTTGACGCAGCTCACGAACAAAGTCAGCGGAATCATCTATATCCCTGGTGGAGGTAGTGGCCAGAAATTCGCCAGGAAGACGGAGTGGTTCGCCGTAGATCATCTCGGCGGCGGTGGCTTGCAGATCTTCCTTCCAGGCCGCCCGGATCCCCAGGAGAGCAGTAGGAAGCGTGTGAGTCCAACGATCGGATTGCAGGCACTTAACAGAAGCTTTCAACTGACGGTGTAGACGCTCAACCATACCGTTAGCTGCAGGGTGGTAGGCCGTGGTCCTCAGATGGTCAGTGCCCATCAGCCGGTTCAGGCAGCGAAACAGATGCGACTCAAATTGTCTACCTTGGTCCGTGGTCAGTCGGAGAGGAACGCCGTAGCGCGCGACCCAGTTTGTGTAGAACGCTCTTGCTACGGTCTCTGCTTCTTGGTTTTGGAGAGGTATTGCTTCTGGCCACCGCGAGAAGCGATCGACGCATGTCAGGCAATACCTGTATCCCTCGGAGTACGGCATGATTATCAGGTCAATGTGAACATGCTCGAATCGTCTGGATGGTGCTGTAAAATTACCAATCGGGGTCGAGGCATGGCGTGTGACTTTGGCCTGCTGGCAGCGGATACAGGAACGGGCCCAAGAACGGCAATCAGCGTTTATGGACGGCCAGACGTAGCGCTGCTTCACCAGCTTCGTTGTTGCCCTAACACCAGGGTGTGACAGGCCGTGGATAGCTTCGAATGCTGGTTTGCGGAAGGCGACTGTCAGGAAGGGCCGCACCGTCGGTGTTGAGACGTCGCAAAAGATGGCCACGTCGGACCCTGGAATAGTCACTTGGCGCAGAATCAGGCAAGAATCGTTCTTCTGGCGAAGTTCCTGCAGCTCTTGGTCTTGTTGCTGAGACACTGCAAGTGCCTCGAAATCGAGTGGCGCAGCGACGGCGTCAACCCGGGAGAGGGCATCAGCTACAACATTATCCTCACCGGAGATATGCTGGATATCGGTGGTAAATTGCCCGATGAAATCCAGGTGGCGGAATTGTCGTGGAGAGCACTGATCAGACTTCTGGCGAAAAGCGAAGGTGAGTGGCTTATGGTCGGTCAAGACGGTGAAATGGCGTCCTTCTACCATGTGTCGAAAATACTTTATAGCTTTGTAGATGGCTAGAAGCTCCCGATCGTAAGCGCTGTACTTCATTTCAGCGCTGCTCAGCTTCTTGGAGAAAAATCCAAGAGGTTCCCATTCGTCTTCCACCAACTGCTGTAGGGCGGCTCCCACAGTATGATCTGATGCATCACAGACCAGGGAAAGCTTCGCGCCGAGCTTCGGGTGCGCAAGGATCGTCGCCTTGGCGAGGGTATCCTTGCATGCGATGAAGGCGGCTTCAGCAGCCTCGTTCCACGTGATTGGAGTCTTTCCCTTGATGTTTCCCTTCAGGAGGTTGTTGAGCGGTGCTTGAGCCTGAGCAGTCTTATGCATGAAACGTCGATAAAAGTTGATCATACCTAGAAACTTTCGGAGCTCTTTCACTGTTTTGGGCATTGGATAGTCCTGGATCGCGGAAACCTTCTCCAGGAGCGGTTTTGTGCCTTCCCCGGACACCATGTATCCCAGGAACTTGACCTCGGATGAACCAAAACAGCATTTTGAGGTGTTGATGACAATTCCTGATTCCTGCAGGCGTTCATACAGTTGTCGGAGATGTTTTTCATGTTGGACTTCGTCTTCAGAGGCAATGAGGAGGTCGTCGATGTAGGCATAAGCGAAGTCCATTCCGCGAATCTTCTCGTCGATGAAACGCTGGAAGGTCTGTGCTGCATTGCGAAGACCAAAACTCATCGCTGGGAACTCGAATAATCCGAACGGCGTGGTGATCGCAGTCTTCGGGACGTCTTCTGGTGCCACAGGTATCTGGTGATAGGCGCGCACCAGGTCAATCGTAGAAAAAATCTTCTTACCACGTAGTGTTTGGGCAAAATCCTGAATATGACGAACTGGGTAGCGGTCGGGGATCGTGCGAGCGTTGAGTGCCCGATAGTCACCACATGGTCGCCAATCGTCGCCTTTTTTGGGTACCATGTGCAGAGGAGAGGCCCAGCTGCTCTCTGATGGGCGGCAGATGCCCAATCGTAGCATGGACTCAAACTCTTTCTTGGCAACATTGAGACGATCTAGAGGTAGGCGGCGTGGTTTCGAAGCAACAGGATGTCCTGGCGTTGTTCGTATGTAGTGCAACGTCGTGTGTTTAACATTCCCCATTTTGCACACACCGTCGGGACGAGTGATCGCTGGAAATTGCTGAAGCAGGGCACAATATCGGGAACTACCAGTGATTGTTTTGATCCCGGCGACCGTAGCACACTTTGATGTCTGTCCAGCAACACTCAAATTCGTCATGCGGTCGAGTAGGCGTCCTTTGCGCATGTCGACGAGGAGGTCAAAATGGGACAGAAAGTCTACACCGATGATCGCCTTTGATACGTCTGCGATTACGAAGTTCCACGTGAAATCGCGGCGGAGACCCAGGTTGAGTGTAAGCGGCAAAAAACCGTAGGTGGCTATCGTGGTACCATTAGCAGCAGAAAGCTGGTACTTGGTTTTCTCCCGTCGGCCACGCACTAATCTCCTAGGAAAAACGCACAAATCGGCACCGGTATGGATCAAGAAATCTACCTTACTGTGCCGGTCTGTTAAAAATAAGCGACGTACGGTGGGGCAGTTGTCACTCGTCGCCATTAATGACTGCCCTGTGCGTTTCCCGCATCCGCATCCCTCGCAACGAAAGTGCACGGTTTCTGGCACTTATAAGCGTTTGCTCCGAATCGGCGATGGTACCAGCACATTCCACCAAACCGATTGGCCGATTGCGAGCGCGAACGGTCTCGCGAGTTTGATCGGTCTCGAGGTTGCTGGTGGCTGCGCACATTTCTCATTTCTCCGCGAAGTGCACTGATCTCACGGTTCTGGTCCTCAAGTTGAGTCGAAAGTCGCGACAACACGTCACACAACTGTGATTCGTTTGCGAACACCGTACACACTTGCCCCTGTCGAGGTGCGATCGCTCCCAATGCATCCATTACACAGTCGGCGGTTTTTGCCAGGTCGTCAAGACTGGTTCCAGGTTGCGCAGCTTGTGCAGCGAGGCTGGCGCGGGCAAGCGGGTTGATGCGGTCCATCCACAAGGCCCTGATGATATCATCGGCTGCCGAACTACCCGCGAGCGTCTTAAGATGGCGTAGGAACTGAGAAGGTGTTCGGTCGCCGATGTCCTCACGCTCCAGAAGTTGGCGCGTTTTCTGGGCCTGCGACTTACCGAGACGCCGCAAGAGTTCGTCCTTCAGTTTCTCGTAGGGTTCGTTGACTGGCGGGTTGAGGATTAGGTCGCGCACCTCTTTTGCCTCGCGAGCGTCGAGGGATTTTGCAACCTGACGAAATTTGTCGATGCTGTCCTTAACACCAGCATCTTCGAGAGTCCACTCGACCTGTCGGAACCATACCTCCGGATCCTCTGGTGTGAACACTGGAAGTTTGAGGCGCGTGAAGACTGTGAGTTCGCTAGTAGAGGTGGCCATTGTGGCGGTTGATTTCGTGATGATTCTAGGATCGACGTGTCAAAAAAAACTCTCTTGCGTCACTGTCACCTTTTTTTCCAAAATCACGTCGGGGTCACCAATGTAGGACAGGGTGACGAATGAGTTTATTTGTAATCGCTCAAATACACAAATTAACAAAGATCCACATCAATAAATTCACCACTGATGAGTTTTGACTCCGGAAAAGAAAACATAGACCTACTCCCGTTGATCACTCGGTTCGAAGTGTTTGTTTTTTTATCAACATTCCTCGTCACCATCACAATAGTAATTAATCTTATACACAGAATACAGTATGATACAATAATTACTACTATAGGAAATTCCCTACATTGTGAATACTGAACTGATTGTTGAGAAGGTTTGTGATTAATATTGATAAACAATGGTGATTTATTGTGCCGCCTTTGGACGCAAGAACGAACAAGACAAAAGGAAATTGGCATTCCATGGGTAAGTTTAATATTGTTCTCAGATTTTTGAAAAATTCCCAGTCTCATGGAATATGTTCAAAAACTATAAAAAAGTTAAATACTTCCATATTGATATTGAGTAATATTATTTATTGCAGTTTTCCATTCAAAAGACTAGACATTCTCGAATTATGGATAAAGGCAGTTCCTAGAGAGAATTGGACTCCAACTAAAAGCAGCAAGCTTTGTGAGGAGCATTTCCTGCCAACAGATTTTTTAGGCATACCAGGTACTGCTAGGTTTTTGAAAGCAGATACTGTACCCAGTATATTTTCATTTCCTCAGCATTTGTTACTAAAAAATGCTGATTCCCCCAGGAAAATAAAAGTCCTAGGTACCTAGTTGATTAATAATGAAAAAAAAAGTATGTTTGCACCTCTTTAAAATAAAAAAACTAGCAAGTAATTTGTTTTCAGGATGCATCTGTGGACGTTCATAACTTGGGTCCAAAGGAAGAAGTTTCCCATGTTATTGACTTTGACTTGCCTACCACTTCCAGTTCTCAAGTTTCGAAGTTTATCAATAAAGAAACTCAAACTGTTTCATTAGAGAAGAACATTGTATTGAGGAGAAAAGTGAAGACACTGGGACAAAAAGTAAAAAGGAGAGACCTACAAATTTCAAACATGAAAGAAGTAGGAAGGAGGAATAAGAACCTATGGAAATTATGCTCAAAATGAACTCAATACCATTCAAAAGAACCTCTTTTCAAATTTTTCCTACCGTTTTTCTTTTCCTTCTGATAGTTCTGAGACATTGTGCTTCGATATCCCTGTACAATATATTGTAACATTTGAATAAAAATATATAATTTCAATTTTGTATTCATTTGACTTCCTGATCCTGTGAGAGTAAAATTGAAATTTCATTTTAAAGTCAATAAAAAAATCAGTAATAATTTTTTAATGATAATTGATTACAACATTATCCTTTTTCCTAAATGAATATTTTTATTTAATCACGTTTACTCTTAAATAGAAGCAAAAAACGAGAAAATATTTCAAATTATGCGAGCGCTTCCCATTAGAGCCAACACAAGATAGAGAGAGATAGGTATCCGTAAACACTGCGGGTTGCCTGAAAAATATTTTTGCCTCACTCGTCGTTCACAGTGGGTCCCTTCCAGTTGTTTACATTCAGTTCATTGCATATAAGCATCACCCTCTACACACAAAATATTGATCCATGACGCTTGCGCATATCCTTGCCCGTTTTAATCATGCGTTTTATGTAGGGATGCCAACCTAGCAACCGCACTATAAACACAATAAACAGTCATTTTACTATTCTGCTTCTACCTGACGTGCATGCAGGTTTCTTTCTGTTACAAACATTAATCCTGAATGAGAATAAGTATCTAACAATGAATGCTTCATTGACATTTGAGGTTTTGTTATACTTGAATTCTTATTATTTCGGCTTGTTTGCAGTTTGTGAGTTAGGAATGAATGCCGTGAAGTACATCAATTTTGGAAATTTACATCATTATTCTACGGATTTTGGGGTATTTATAGGTGTATGTTTCATTGAGATTTTAAGAGTGCTGATAGCTAGAAGAGGTAATCTTACCGAAAGAAGTAAGTTATTCATTTTGTGAATATTTATGATTATATACAGGGTGTCCGCTAAAAGGAGGTCAATCCATTAACCATATATTCCTTGAACAAAAACAAAATGAGTTTCTAAATATCATTTTTCATTTTAGCCCTTCATATTCGATAAACTGGGTGTCAAAATTGGAAATTAAAAACTGTTTTTTTTTTCTAATTACTCGCGTATTAGGTATTTCGGAATGCTGTCAAAATCAGATTCAAGATGGTTGCTGTACCCAAACAAATAGCTGTCATTCCGTGACTTTTTTAACCATATTTTCAATTGAATTTAAAATGTGTTAAATGCTGCTTTCTTCGCTTCTTTAGTTGATAATTGAACTTTATATACTTAGTTTTATTAGGATTGCATCATCTTTATGAAAATTATTGAATAGTTGATGTGTATTCCTGTGGTGTATTCTGGACACTATTTGGATAGGTTTTGCTTGGTGTTTGTGTTCGAGTCGAGTCAGGTTAGATTGTTTGGAAAAAGTAGTGTCCTTTTTTATGCAGTCTTCAAACACACACGAACGATGCCTTGCTACCAAATCTGATCGATGTTGAAAAATATATTTTTTCTAAGAAGGTTCATTTAAGCCGAGTTAGGTTAGATTGTTTAAAAAAAGTAGTATCCTTCCTTATGCTCTATTTGTTCCGCACTATTTTGTCGCTCGCTATTTTGTCTAGCTCTGTTCAATAACAGAGCCTATTTTTCCTGACGTTATTTCCATATATGATTGTCAGAGAAGTAGTAATTTGGGAATTAATCAACGACGAACAGTCTTCAAGAAATTGATAAGAAGGGTATTCATTCGAATCAAGTTATTGTTTGAATACTAGCAAGAACTTTTGTGAAACTAAAGTTGATACAACTTGGCAACCACGCATTTCCTCACCACGAGAGTCGGGTTTTTGTTTACTCCTTACCATGACGATCGTTGCCATGGCAACAGTTTTTCCATAACTGATTTCAGCTATACTAAACCCGATACAACTTGGCAACCATGCATTTCCTCACCACGGGATTTTGTTTTTTGTTTACCTGTTACCATGACAATGGTTGCCATAGCAACAAATTTTCCATAACTGATTTCAGCCAAACCAAACCCGATACAACTTGGCAACCACGCATTTTCTCACCACGGGAATTGGGTATTTGTTTACTCGTTACCATGACGATCGTCGCCATGGCAACAGTTTTTCCATAACTGATTTCAGCTGAACGAAACTTGAACCCCTCCTTTTAGCGGACACCCTGTATAGGTGGGTACCAAGGGTAGGTACTATGACTGATGATGTTTTTGTTTCAGGGTGGCCAGTGATTGTAGCGATTTTACTCACCATTCCCTCTATAATAGGTGTAGTATATTTGATGATTTGGCAAAGTGAAATACTTAGATTTGAATATATTATCTGTGCAATGCAGTTGGGATTTTGTACTGCAGAAATTATTTCAGGTATTTTGTGCCTTTTCAAATGTTGCCAAACACCTGAATATTATTAATTATTGTTACATATTATATGTTTAAAGATTTCTAATAAATAGAAAAATAGTGAAAGTATTCAACCTGACTTGGTGATGCACCTTTATGCTCTTCTATAATAACTGGGTGGAAATTGTACAGAATCAGTTATTTTATTTGAAATTTTAATTTCATAAAATGTTTTCAACTTACTGAAGGAAAAGCCACAATAACTGGAAATCTATTATTTGTTGTATCACTGCTAACTTGAGTATCTGACAATAAAATCACTGAAGACACATCATACCTCCTCTGGAAAGCTAAAATTCTGCAAAGAAATATGAATTCCATAAATATATTTTGCTGGTTACTAATTCATTTATGGAAATGTTAAGGAACAAAGTCTCCTCACTTTTGGAAATGGTCATGATGCAATTTGGAACATAAATTCCGCATTTCATTGGGAGTTGTCTGATGAGCCAAAGTATGATAAAAATACAGACTGAATTTGCTCAGAACTGCTCCCTTCAACTGTTGAAGCCATTGGAATAGTGCAGGCAATGGATTGCCTTTGAACATATTTCCTAATTTCCAAGTCTAGAAATTGAATTATTAGTTGTTTCCTCAGTGATATTTTTCCAGGTAAAAAGGTGGAAGAGTCTTAGGTGCAAAAACATGTACAGCTTTGCTCAATGAATATGTTACTAATTTAATGAGCAACAGTGTACAAACAATTTCCATTATGGGCTCAATAGTAAAACTTACTTCTCTTGACTGTATTTTGTTCTCCCAAGCTGCTAACCTGGTGTGAGCCCCATGTATGAGGGCTAAGGAAGGCAGAAATTGCAGTCTTTGCAATTCTGTTAGGGCTTTGAACAGTTGGTCAAGAATTTCACACTCAAGACTGAACACTGCTTTTGCAGGAGTCATGCTGATATCAGTAAAACCTCCAGAATTCTTTTCAATGACAGATTCTACCTGATGTACGATTTCATTGTAACAAATTAGTTGTTTGTTCAGACTTATATTATGAATCTTTTCATACCTATAGATGTTGAGGAAAATCTAGTCTGAATTGATGTTTTATAGGTAAATGAGCAGCCATATTATTATCAAGGATACAGATCAATCAAGTTTATCCTGGCATTCATAAATTCAATGATGTTTTTGCTACCTTTCTGAATTCTTTTATCAGCAATAGTTTGCTTACAGTTGTCCTCCAACTTTTTGAGATCATTCTTCATGGATTCATACACAGATCTCAGGGAGTTCTGAAATAGATACTTTGTCAATGCAATACTCCAAATAGATTCATGAAAATATTGACATCTTTTCTAAGGAAACTTTTATGCTTATTCTGTAGGAACCCAATTTCTATATAGCTCTTTTCTGCTAATGCAAGCTGCTGTAAAATGTTCAAAAATAAGCTCCATGGCGATGTGGTCACTTTGGGCTCCCTTTCTTTTTCCTGAAATGAAAGAAATCACATTTTCTGATTCTGGAAGAATTTAAGAAGTATGATTACTATATGCTCTTTGGCTTTTTCGTAACAAAGTTGAGAAACGTGATTGAAATAAGTGTAGAGGAATTCATCTTCACTTTCCATTACAAATCAACTGCAAAGAAGTTCTTACAAGTTAGGTTATGTCAGCGAATTGGTAATTTACATTCACGTCTTCTGGTCATCAACCACCGTTTACCACGCCTAGGGAACAAATGTAGACTAGAGTCCCTGTATATACCTTAGACAAGAGTCCGGACACAAAACTGACAGCCGTTGGGGTTTTTAATATTTTGTTTCATTTGGTTTGCCCACCTGACAATGTGACGAAACACCATAGTCGCCCCGCCCGCTTTTTTTAATTATCACTGTTACTTTGAAATTTTATGACCGCCAAAATTTAGCATTTCAAATTATTTCAATGTCCTGCTGCGTACATTATTGCGATAATTCATTAGAAAATGGATTCAAGTTATTCAATTCTCCGAATGATCCTTCAGAGACAATGTCATGGAAGAATGCAATGACGTCCAGAATGGAAAATTAATTTCAAGAAATCCGCAATATGTGAGGTAAATATTCAAATTTACTTGTGAAAACAGTACAAAAAGGATGAATTTTAGGCCCATTTTGATAAAGATTTTTTCAAGCTGATGGATTTCAAATTGAAAAAGTCTGCTGTGCCGTCAATTTATGAAATAGAGACGTTCAGAAAAAGAGTCCCGTCGTCATCGTATTGGGAATTACTGAATGATACGTTCGCAGAGAAAGACAATTAGAATGAGATGATGCGGAGAGGAATTGAAAGTTTGAAATCAAAACTAGAAGATTTAGGGAAACTGCAATGTGCTATATCATCAGAGTCCACGGTGTTATTGATTCAGATCAAGTTCAAAATGTACAGGTGAATGTAGACTGCAGGAAGAGGTGGGAAACACAATTAATAAAGCACTCGCTATCAAATATATTGTTGTTTTGATTTTGTCACTTTTATTTCTGATGAGTGTCATTAAATTGGGAGAATCGGAGAAAATAATATTGAAACAATTATATATCTTCTATTTTTTTATATCCCAACAAAAAACAACTATATTTTCTTGGCTATATGTGATACCACGTAGAACACTTAAATTATCATTCTTATATCTGATCAAGTGAAGGAATATCTGATGACAAAAATTTGCAATAGCCATATCTCAGGAATTGATTATGAAAATTATCGATTCGAAATTTGAACACCTTGTTGTTCATTATTCGAAAATCTAATATAGTTATTCTATAGTTAAAATAGCCCTATTTCTTACTTCTACCTACGGCTATGAACGTTTTGACAAATAATCTAACCCTCAAAATTGTTTCTGACAATCATTGATACTAGGGGAATTGAGAAGACAGAGCTCGATATATATGTCTTATTCCTTTATTCAATCATCAATGCATTTTTTGAAAACAGAAAAGGACAGAAGTATAGCTGTGTCCGGACTCTTGTCTAAGGTATATACAGGGACTCTAATGTAGACCAATGAAAATCAATTTGAGCTTGGGAAGAGGCCCACCCACGGCGGGTTTCTAATTCTTTTCCCATCATTCTTTTTTTCGCCATTTCCATGATTTCTCATTTCAGAACACAAGTGGATTTGCTAACGAATTTGAATTTTACGAAAGCGTAGAAGCGCCACATGATAAATTTCTTTAATAATTGACAGATATAACTGTCAACTAGCCTAATTGACAGATACTAAGTCGTAAGTAGTATACTTGACAGATACTAAGTCGTAAGTAGCATACTTGACAGATACTAAGTGGTAAGTAGTATACTTGACAGATACTAAGTCATAAGTAGCATACTTGACAGATACTAAGTGGTAAGTAGTATACTTGACAGATACTAAGTCGTAAGTAGCATACTTGACAGATACTAAGTGGTAAGTAGTATACTTGACAGATACTAAGTCGTAAGTAGCATACTTGACAGATACTAAGTCGTAAGTAGGATACTTGACAGATACTAAGTGGTAAGTAGTATACTTGACAGAAAGGCCAAGAAACAAAGAAGATTAAGAAGAAGGAGAATACAATGCCGACATAATAACCCTAACCAACAACAATGGATTAGGGAGACAAGATAGGTTGAAAATCACTTCGGATTCGGAATCAGGACGTCCAATTTTTGCATGACAATGTTTAAATTTATATATTAAATAACAATTTGCTCAATTCCCAACAATTTACTTCAGAATCAAAATCTGCATCATGTACAGGGCCATTTCTGTACACAGGGAGTTTCTTAAGTACGTGTACAAAATTCAGGAGCATAATGTTGCTGACGTCAAAATAAAAAGAAAAGTTTTTATAAACATATGTCCACAAGTTATTCGTTTCTGAGATACAGAGAGTCAATAAAGTTTCATTGTCATTCCGGTTTTTGGTGAATTCGAGTGAGATACCAAATTTATTCCCAAAAAACAGGAATAAGAATCCTTTGACACTCGACTGTATCTCAATAATGAATAACTTGCGGACATATATGTTTATACGAACTTTTCTTCTTATTTTGACGCCAGCAACATGCTCCTGATTTTTTTACACGTACTCAAGAAACACCCTGAATATTTAAAGAGCTTCGCTACAGGGTTTATCATTGAAGATAGAAACAAACTTCAAATACAAAACTTGTAGGGTATGTTCTCAACATCCAGAAAATTGTACGAGGTGAAATATAAAGACCCAAAAATACCATAATATTTAGAGAAACCTAAATACGTATTTCAGCAACTAAATTGCCAACCTGTAAAGTAAAAATGATTAGCAATAACTCCTTCGCTTTATCTTTCGGATATTGTCCAGAGGTCGACCTGCAATATCCGAAAGATACTAAGGAGTCAGCTACTATGCGAGTCAGCTAATCATTTTTACTTTACAGGTCTACTGAGGATGGCAACTTAGTTTCCAAAATACGTATTGTGATATTTTTTTGTCTTTTTATTTTGTATTTTATTACTTATAACCAGTCTCCAAATCTTCACTGTACGAGGTGCTGATATAAGAAATGGGTACCAACTTCGTTATTTTAAATGGAACACCCTATACATATTTTTCGAATGAATTGAGAATCCTCCTTTTCTGATTTCAAAAATATATAGGTTGTTGACCCGGTTCAGCCGTTCATGAGTCTTTACGAGGTCGAACACTAAGAATTAGAAAAAAAAATGTCATACAAGCTTATGCAATGCAGTATTTTGTTGTATTAATATGTTACAGTTGAATCATCATTGATAAGTCGACTAGCTCTGAGCCAGTATCTGTCAAGTATGCTACTTACGACTTAGTATCTGTCAAGTATACTACTTACCACTTAGTATCTGTCAAGTATGCTACTTACGACTTAGTATCTGTCAAGTATGCTACTTACGACTTAGTATCTGTCAAGTATACTACTTACCACTTAGTATCTGTCAAGTATGCTACTTACGACTTAGTATCTGTCAAGTATACTACTTACCACTTAGTATCTGTCAAGTATGCTACTTACGACTTAGTATCTGTAAGTATACTACTTACCACTTAGTATCTGTCAAGTATGCTACTTACGACTTAGTATCTGTCAAGTATACTATACTTACCACTTAGTATCTGTCAAGTATGCTACTTACGACTTAGTATCTGTCAAGTATACTACTTACGACTTAGTATCTGTCAATTAGGCTAGTTGACAGGTATATCTGTCAATTATTAAAAGAAATTTATCATGTGGCGCTTCTACGCTTTCGTAGAATTTACCTCTATTTGCATTTCAATTTTTGTGACGCCTACTACCTAGACAAAAGTCCGTGTGTCTAGTAGCCCGCATACGTGAAATCTAGTAATCTGAAATTGGGGAAATCTTCAAACAAACACCACTTAATTAATACAATAATAATTATAATGTATATATAATTATAAAATCATTATTACAAAACTTCATTAGGAATAATAATTATTCTTGTTTGGATGGTTTAATTTTCCATGCACCAATGGTATACCTAAGCCAAATGAGCCCTAGATCACCACCCATTTGTATCCAACTCCATACAGGTGTAACTTTTGATCCATCTATCTCAGTCCAGTTCACACCAATTTCAGAAATTGGAACTTTCAGTGTTTGTGCAATATATAACATCTCAACATCAAATGCCCTGAAAAATTAAATTAGGAACTTCACTTCACTATCAGTTGTATTGGTACTATTGGTAGTAAAACTAAGCATACCATCTTTCCACATGTAGGTTATCAAAGCACAACCTGGCTGCTCGCCTAGTTAATAATTTGAAACCACACTGTGTATCTTTGATGCCTTTTACTGCAAAGAGCCAAACAAGGAAATGGAAGCCATGCATCAAAATGGTTCTGAAAAAGCTCCTTGAGGCTATAGCTTCTTCTTCTAAATGTGCTCTGGATCCAATAGAAATTGCCAGTTTATTTTCTGCTTTGGTAGGCTCTTTGATATAATCACCTGAAAAATGTAGCATACAGAATCATTGAATTACTTTGCATGGCTATCAAAAATACAGTCTATCAATTTGGTCAATCCATTTTCCACCTTGACTAGGTCTGCAAATTTTGTAGCTCCATCTGCATCTGCAAATAGAACTGTGGAACCTCTTGAGCTCTGCATGCCCTAATAAAAAATCAACATTCACAGAAATTCAAATCAAAGTAGCTGATCATACCAAGCGCACTGCACCTCCTTTTCCTCTATTGGTTTCTAGTTCTAACACCCTCACTTTTTCAGTCCCTAGTTTTTTTGAATAGCCATGGGCTACTTCCACAGTTTTGTCTGTACTACCATCACTAACTATGATTACCTCATATTTAAAGTTGGAGTTTGCACATCTTTCTTCCAGGAATTCTGTGCATTCATCTAACATAGGTGGAACTAAAATTTTCCAAAATGTAGTTTGAAACTGCAATTCAATATGTTAAAGTTTTCATACGTCTAACTTCCTCATTGAAGGCTGGTACTATAACACTCAGATGTACTGAATGTTCTTCATTGATTGAAGGAAATTCCAAAGTATCTCCAGTGGAAGGATCCAAAAAACGTTTTTCTTTTTTGCTTCTGTATATTACTGGGTAAATTTTGGATGTGGCTATGAGAAGGATACAAATCTGTAAAATTATATGGATATCAATAATATTCTGATGTCTACTGATTACTCACAGATAAAATAGCAGATGCACCTAGAGCACTAAAATAAAATAACAATGCTTTTATGGAAAAATCCATCTTCAGAATTCTGTAATGACTGGAATGAGGCTGGAATATCTTTAGCCCCTCCTGAAATATATTCAAGTTTTATTAGTTTTATCAATGCATAGTTGGCATTTTTTTAATATTTGAATAATATGATTCTTGTTTGTCCATCCATAACCTTACAATGTTTCAAGTTTCAAGGTTTGACGTTTGAGCTGCGTTTTGCGTTTGTTTTGGATGATTTCAAGCAGTGTTGCCAACTCAGATTTCCAAAAGTTGCAGAGTGGCCACCTGAAGAACACCAAAAAACCCTAAACGCCCTAGGTCCCGCTTTGAGGACAGCTATGCTTCATATATGAGTAGTAGATATATAATTATAAACCATATGATATATGTCAAAACAAGTTTTTTGGGAAGAACCGAAGTAAACAAATAAAAAGTGTTCATAAATAAATAATAAATCTAAAATCTGATTGATCTTCCAGATCTCAAAAAGTTATTGTGGTATTGTGCAAGATATTTTTGGCTTTTGATATTATTTCTGAGAAATCTAAAGTTACAGGGAATCTCGAATCTTGAACACAGAAAGTGCAACTAAAGCAAAAAATTACAAGTAATGGAGATTGCTAAGGAAAAGCAACAAGCAAAGGTAGTACAATAATGTAGGAACTGTTTATACAATATATTTGAAATTACTGATATTTATGGAGTTTGGCTTGATTCGGGCAATTAAATACAAAGCTGGATGCAAGACAGTCCTTTTGTATCCCTAAAAAATAGAAGTATTCATCCATCTATTCAAAATTATCTAGTTTAGTGGATTTAATATCAATTTTTATTCCATATTTCTCCATCTTATTCAATCATGAAGTCAGGTGAATTTAATGGTTATGGGAATAACTTTCAGAAAAAGAAAAAACCCAGGGACAAAGCAGAAGCAACTGTTGTAAAAGTTGAGAAAGATGATGAAAAAGTTTCAGTGTCAAATGTAATGGATTCTGAAAGGGAAGTTGATAGTAAAAATGTATTGAATATAGAAAAAGGTAACTTACTTACTACTTCTTCATCAATTATAATAGTTAAAGAATGGTAGAAACAGTGATTTTCAACATATATATATATATTTGGAATCCTTTAATACTGTTTCAGATCAGTTAGCTGCAGGAAGTTCTATTATAAATCAAACCTTAAACTCTACAGTGGTTACAAAAATTACTGAACACTTAAGGGATCAATCAGGTATGAGAAACTAAACATTTTTACTCTCAAAAATCAGTCTTGATTTAAAATGAAAAAACAAAATTGTTAATTGTAAATCTCTTAGACAATGTTAAATTTGTTTTCAGAGTTTGGTGACCATCATACATGTAGTTTTTGGTGTTCTATTATTCATAAAAATTATATTCCTACCAGAAAAGTGTCAGCAATTCAAACTATTTTGTCTTGTTTCTCATTATTTAGATTTAGAACAAAAATGAGTATGCTGGGTGTCCCAAATTTTCTGGGACAGAGCTACCATATGTAATACAAGTCAAAATAAGTTGATTGTCCCCAATTTATTTATATCAATCAATCAACCAACTTTATTATTCCCAAGAAACAACATTTGTTTATAGCAGGGAACATAATGAATAATAGATAAATATATTTGAGAAAATAAAGAAGACAGTAAAATAAGACTCACCTCAAGAAGAAATAATTTTTTTTAAGTTCAACTGAAAATGATTCTAAATTGACTCAGCTGTTAGGTACCCAATGGAAAACTATAGTAGTTGTAGGAGAAAACTATAAAAATGAGATGAGATGTCAATATTACAGGAGTAGATGTTTCTTGAATTCCTTCTCAAATTTTTCAATCCCATTATTGACCTTCAAGTCATTTGGTAGTGAATTGTATTGTGTCATTCCATTGTGATAGATGGATTTTTTACCAATATCTGATTTAATTTTATTGATAGAAAAATGATCTGCATGTCTAGTTGTATGGTTGTTGTGACTACTATTGATTTGGAAAACCAAATTTGAATGCTTTTGTCAATATTTAGAATGGATGAATTGGAATGAATGATAATAATTTGAATTTATATAGTGAATTTATATCTAATAACTCTCTTCTTCTGTAAAGGTTCTTAGTAGGTTCCAAATAATTTAAATTCCATACTCATTGATTTATCTCTAAAATTTTCCGAATTACAGCTTTTTTGCTGATACCTTACGCTCCCACCAACTAAATTTATTGAAGGATCAGAGTACCCAAAATTGATTGGGTTGTACTCTGGTAGGATCACCTTGTCTTTAAAAAAATAAATGCCGTTGCCTCCATATTTGACCATTTGTCGTTGTGTCATTAATTAAGTGTCTTGTTTTATTGACTCAATTACATAAAATGCCTCAAATAAATCCTGAACAAGTAGCAAGATTAGTTGCGTTAGTAAACGATGGGCGTAGTAAACGTTACGCCGCTCATGCAGTGGGAGTTCATGAAGCAACTGCTCCTAGAGCAATCCGCAAGTACGAACAAACAGGAGCATCGCTCGGAGGGTCGGTTCTGGTCGCCCCCGAAAAACTTCTCCAAGAGATGATCGCTTCTTGAGATTGCGGATTTTACGGAATCGATCAAATACTGTGGTAAATGTTCAGCAAGATCTTCGCCAAATTCGTGATGTTGCAGTAAGTGAGCAGACGGTATGTAGACGTCTAAAAGAAGTTAATTTAAAAGCTAGGAGACCTGCAAAAGGTCCCAAATTATTGCCCGAACATCGTGCTGCTAGAAGAAATTTTGTTGAAAATTATGGATAGTGGAATATTCCTGAATGGTCGAATGTCTTGTTTACGGATGAGTCAAGGTTTTGCCTTATCATGGTGGATGGAAGAAAAAGAGTGTGGAGAAGAACTGGTGAACGGTTTAATCAAAATTTAATAACAGAATGCGAAAGTTTTAATGGTGGGCCCGTTATGGCGTGGGGAGGGATTTCAATGAATGGAAAGACACCCCTTTATGTTTTTCCGGTGAGGCAGTCGATGAATGCCCAAATTTACATTGACATTTTAGAGCAGTATGTTCTAACTTATGCAGAGTTAGTTGGCAATAATTTTATATTGATGCAGGATAATGCCCGACCACATACCGCAGCAATAGTGCGAAACTTCTTAGAAGCTACTGGTATTACCACATTATATTGGCCTGCGAGAAGTCCCGATATGAATCCTATAGAACATTTGTGGGATGAATTAGGGAGAAGGGTACGTTCTTGCGAGAGGTCTCCGGAAAGTCTCGCAGAAATGGCAGATGCATTAGTGGAAGAATGGGATCGTATACCAATGGAAACGATAAGCAACTTAATTTCCAGTATGCCTCTCAGATTAGAAGTTCTTAGAGTTGCTAGAGGAGGCAATACACGATATTAAGCAGTCATCCCAATTTATAATTTTGTGTTTAATACAAATATTTTTTAAAATTATTGTTATCAGTTTATTTCATTAGAAAATTGTTTCTCGATAAATTCAGAAAGTTGGTAATCTGCAAGGATTCAGCAAAAAAAAGCTGTAATTCGGAAAATTTTAGAGATAAATCAATGAATAAAAAAACAAAATGCTCGCAAAATAAGCCTCTTTCATATAGAGTGTAAGCACTTTCTATGCCATTACTCAATTAACACACAGGGTGAGTCAAAAATTAAGAATAAATCATGGTTCGAGTTATTCCACCACCATCAAGGAGGCTTTGAAAACATTTTCACCTCTTTATTTTTTTTTAATTGCATTACCTACCAACAAATAAAAAAAATAAAAATCGGCCTACTATTTCTTGTTTTTAAGAACTTTTTTTGGAACTGAGTGTATTTTCAAATCGATTTCACTCGAAAATGATACATCTGACGGATACGGAACAAGTGCACCTTTTTTTCTGTGAAAAGATGGGGAAATTTCTCGACTCATGTTCATTGAAACTTTTCTTTCTATTTTTGATCGTAGAAGCCGGTGATGAATTTTGGCTGGCTAATTTCGGGACATCTTGTATAATAATCATTATTATTTTGGAATTTTTGAATCATTTGGCTATATCAGGAAGTAAAAGTTTCAATTTTTCTTTTCTATATTCTTAACGGTTTCTAACTTCATCACAAATTCCAGAAATTATTGACCTGAGTACTTCAAACCCTACTACAATTTCGAAAGATATCACAAAAAACAATGAGAAATCAGAAAATAAACCAGGTTTGAGCAATTGAACAATTTTCAAGTATTGTTAACACAATACAAAACAAATTTTCAGTTCTTCATGCAGAAGTGGAAGGACATAACGAATTCAGTAAACTCCTAGACAAAAGTAAGGAACTTATAAACATTATAAAGTTGACAGAAATATCAGAGATCGAAGTTCCTAAAGTAGTTGATGCAAAACCTCACGTTCCTTCTGTCATAAAGCCTTATACTGAAGAGCAACTGAGTGCGTTGTACCATAATGGAGAGCTAGAAACTGTTGATGCCTTCATTTCACAATATGTAGAAGCTGAACTGAAAGGTAATACCTTGTTATGAAAAACTATGTGTTGAGCTATAGTATTTCATGCAACGATTATTCATCTTATAACCATTTTGTGATCATTGCATACACTATTATTATTTCTATGACCAATGAATAAATAATAAAATGAAAACAAGATTTGATACTGCAGAGTTAGTAGTGGAAAAAATGTAATGTTATACTTCGGGTGATGATACTATTATACAGCGTGATTCAAAAGTCGATAAACGTTATATTTCTAGAAACAATTCTTTTAGTTAAATATTATAAATATATTAATCTTTATATTCTATTTCTTTTCAGTTTGGCGATATACAGGGTGAGTCAATAGTGTGTTCTCCTTCGATATTAGCCAACCGTCGGGTATATAAAAAAATTCGAATACAACAGTTATAATAGAATTTTATGATAGATTTTACCTAAAATTATTTTCATATCTATAGGATGTTCGAATTCCAAGATATCGGCTGATGATGGGTGTTTTTAAATGAGACACCCTATATATTATTGCATTTTTAAATTTTTCCTGAAGAGCTGATTTCATCAATGCATCATACTTGGGGTCTAGCGGAAATGATTACAGAGATATAGGGTGTTCAGAATCGAAAATTTTTTAATTTGGGATTTTTTTTGGTCAGAACTATTCATTATTGGGCGAAACGGCTTACATGTCCTCCACGTTTGATCTACTATCTACTGATTTAATTGGAATAGATACAGGGTGATCAGAAATCTTGAATTTTGAACCACCCTGTATTTGTTGCAATTAAGTGTCAGTAGATGGTGAATCAAAAGTTTTTCAAATGTAGGTCATAGCTCACTATGACTTAGTTACAAATAACTTTTTTTTCTCTTACAGATGATATGTCGCTGTAATAGTTTTGTGTTGATAACAACGGAGTTATCGTCATTTATACAAAAACAAAAAATTATTTGGAAGCCGCCATCTTGAATTCATAGATTTTAACAAAAAAATCATGATCTCCGACATCAAAAACCCCCACTTACCAATTTTGAATGGAATCGGACCAAATCTTGTCCGCCATCTTGGAGCAGCCATTTTTTCAAATTTCAACAAAAATTCCATAATGTATTGTCACCGAAATTATGAACACCTGCCAAATTTCAAGTTGATCGGAGTTATGGAATTTTTGTTGAAATAAAAAAAATGGCTGCTCCAAGATGGCGGACAAGATTTGGTCCGATTCCATGCAAAATTGGTAAGTGGGGGTTTTTGAGGTCGGAGATCATGATTTTTTTGTTGAAATTTATAAATTCAAGATGGCGGCTTCCAAATAATTCTTTGTTTTTGTATAAATGACGATAACTCCGTTGTTATCAACACAAAACTATTACTGCGACATATCATCTGTAAGAGAAAAAAAAGTTATTTGTAACTAAGTCATAGTGAGCTATGACCTACATTTGAAAAACTAAAGTTGGTGCTGATATCTCAAATTCTAGAAGAGTTGGTATAAATTTCATATCTTTTTCAAAATCACTTTGAAAAACTGCCATGAGAATGTTAAATTCATATTTGAATATTTTCATAAATAAAGAAGTTACGGAGGAGAACGAATAGATTTTATCAAAATATTTTTTCACATTATAGTTGGCCTTGACAAACTCCACATTTGGTGTCATTTAACCGACCTCGTATCTCTCATCGTTAAAAAGATACCAATGGTGAGCATGGTAAGTGGGACACACTGTATCTGACGGTTTTGCTAATATAGAAGGAGAACACACTATTGACTCACCCTGTATAAAAGCGCGTTGTATTAGTTTTTCAAACTACTATTTATTACAATATCCGACCCGGCAAAGGCTAATTTGCTATATACCTACATTTATTTCTAGAAAATATTCATGGTCAAATATTTATCAACACACTTCTATTATTTTGTTTTTTACTTCTTTTTAGTTTGGCTATTCATAAAAACGTGTTTTCTTAATTTCTCAAACCACTATTAATCTGGTCTCTACTTCTTTTAAGTATTGCACCCTGTACAATAGCTCACTTTTTACCCTACGAGTATAACATACTAATTCTACAAAATTTACCAAACCTCGTTTAATTTGTAGGCACAGCAATCATACAACATAAACTGTATCATTTACTGAAAACTTATTTGCGTTTGAAAGAGAAAATAACTGGAAACACATTGGAACTGGATCAGATTCGCAAAGAGTATGTTGCACTCCAGAAAGATTTGTGGACGATTGAATCTGCTACGGTTACTGGAAAGGGAGAGTGTCAAGATGGAACAGTGGTGACGACTTCTCATTCTTATAACAAAAGTATCTTCCATAGATCAGTTTTCCAAAGCATAATAAGAATTTTGGGGAACGTGCAAAAGTTAACATACGAAAATCATACTCTGTATGCTTATTCTGCCGAAGAAGTACGTTTACAGGTAAGAATAATTTGAGAGAAGCTGGAGTAAGTTTATTGAAACTAATATTTTCGAAAACTACCACATTTTTTTTCATATATAATACCACAAGTGATAATATTTCCAGGAAAAATAGTATCACGAGTTGTATTCGTATGACTATTTCATGATTGAATGAGACAATATATATAAGAAATAGGAAACATAATTTAAGTATATTCCAACTCGAACTACGAAGAAGAACATAATGATAGTAATGAAATACAGAATTTACTTTTTTAGAAATTAACTACCTACTTATAGTTATTCACAAAGTGGAATGTACAATTTTGATAAACAGTATTTTTTTTTATTATCATGGAGATGGTTGCTCTCAAAAGAGTGTATACAATTACTATCCAATTCGAACAAAATAAATTGAATTTATGTGACATGGAATAATTAAAAAAAGGATATCGTCACCGAGGGCTCGAACCATCGACCTTCGTATCCTCGCGCAACAACCCTAACAGTTGCGCTACATCAGCTAATTATATTAGTCAGTCACAATAACTTGAGTAATCGAAGAAGATTACTTCAAAAAGGAATTTGAATTCTATTATTGTTGTGTCAGACCGTCAACAAATATGCAAACTTTTTAAATTACACGGGAAACGTCCAGCCAGAATAAAATTGTCTCGCCTTTCGTGCAAAATATCTCACTAACGCGAATTATAAGTAAATAAAATAAAGTAGGAACTTAGGTTATTGTCTCAGATTTGAATCCAAAGCAATCTTGACCAGACACGTTGTCAAAATTTTATCGCTGATAAACGAGGTTAGTTGGTCACGTGTGGGTCAATTCGGCTTCTGTATTGGTAGAGCAAGTCCGATAAAATTTAATAAACAAAAAATATCACTAGAATACAGAAGAAACCATGAAAATGGTCGATTCTGATTGGTTCTCGTGATCAAGAGTGGAATAGTCTTTACAATTTTCTAAGGAGGGGTATCCTAGTCTTGAAATAATTCAATTTTAATATAATATGTTCAATTGCCCTCTTTATATCTGAAACAAGAAGTGTACGTTAATTTGATTCCACCACTTGATTCGATATTTTGAGTGTTTTGCGTTTTTTTAGGTTTCAGATTTTTTCCAGATTTTATCAGATTTGCTGGATTTTTCCAGATTTTTTCAGTTGTTTCCAGATTTTTCCAGAATTTTCCCAGATTCTTCCAGAACTGTTCCAGATTCTTCCAGAACTGTTCCAGATTCTTCTAGATTTTAGGGCTAGCTTTCTACGTTGGGTTAGATCTTTACGTTGAGTTAGCTTCCTACGTTGGGTTAGCTATCTACGTTGGGTTCGATTTCTACGTTGGGTTAGCTCCTAGTCTATTTCCACTCGTGCTTGAACTACGTTGGGCAGACGAGTTTTTCAAATAACTCCATAAGAAAGCTTTTCAAGAAGTTCATTCTACCATCAAAAATAATAATCATAATTATAGAACTTTGACCTATTTCGGATTCTCAACTGAAAAATTTCGAAGTCACAAGCAACATTTTAACCCCTTTAAAGTGGTGTAGTATACTATTGCAGATAAAAAATGAATTCACCCACTTGTTGAATGTGTATTCAAAATACCAAATACCCAAATTAAAAAAAAAGGTAATCATCTCATAGAGATGCAGACTCCTCTAGGGACACTAGGGATATTTCAGTCACATTCCCCGTTGAACCCGGTTAGAGTATTTCGGTGAAGGTGGTGGGAGATAACTACGTCATAATGACGTCAGCATTAACTATTTTTGAAAACCTACATTTCTTTCACTTTACCCACTACCACAGTTTACCCCTGTATTTTCACCCCGATATCCACTCCATTCATTTTTAATTTGAATATTCCTGTTATATCCTCCATTTTTCACATTCCTCATTCATCGTTTGTAAAGATTAGCTTTGACCACCTTAACGAACTATGGAGTTGGTAAACGCTAGGGCAGGTAGGGGAGGTGTACCCAAACGGAAGTGACGTCACGGTTAAACACAATGAAATGGGATTATTCGCGATAGAAAATAAGCTTACGCTACCTATCGGAGTTCTTGAAAGCTGTCAAAGCGGCCTGTTTACTATAGGTTCATTCGGGTTCCGATTTTAAAACTGTTCAAGAATCGTTCACGAACTGCGTAGAACTAGTGCGCAGTCGTTTCGAATACTAGGACTGTTTCAGAACGGTTCACAATTGATGAAAACCCGAACGCGGCAGAAGAGAACCTCTGAGAACATAACCTCTATTAAGAACATGGAAAAAAAAACAATAGTTTGGAACCTGTATCTTTATTCGAATAGTATTCTGAATCTTCAAACTCTCGTTTGAGTCTATTCACAATATCTCTGGAAACACTCTGTGTAGGAATGGTGAATTCATTCCATCATAGCATTCGTTGCTACATTTTCAATATGTTTTGTCCCTTGTACCTACATGGATTTCGACACCCAACTGAAATGTTCAATGAATTGTGTATCTGAATATTATGGCAAAGTCTCCCCAACATAATCCTCCATTTTTCGGTTCATCTAACAAAAGTTCGAGAATTATCAGATTAGGTTCAATGTTTTCAGCAACTCCTTCACCACTGCTTCCTGAAGATGGAGATCTACTACTATCAAATGAATGTACTAAATCCATCATATTGAGAAAATATTGAAAAGAGCAATAAACAGTAGAGTACACAAAAATATATCATCATCATCATTATGACGTTACGCTACATCAGACAGAATTTAAAACTAAATGAAATGAGCATGCTCGAGAACAGTAGAGTACACAAAAATATATCATCATCATCATTATGACGTTACGCTACATACAGAATTTAAAACTAAATGAAATGAGCATGCTCGAGAGCAGGTACTGGTTTCAGATAGAGTTCCTGTATATATTGTCTTAGGTATTACAGGGACTCTAGTTTCGGATAGGTCTAGGACCGTCCCAGGACGATTCTGGAAGAACCCGGTTCACATTTGTTTTTTGTTTGCGCTTATTGGTCATAGCATCAAAACAAACCGCTCAGAAGTGTTCCAGTTGTTGCCGTCAGATGGGGCGACGTGCTATTTTCGAAACAAAAGTAAATATTTGATTGAACGATTGAATGTAGATTTTTTTTAGATTGAACTGTATCTTCAAAGTGTGATGTTGAACTGTATGAACGTCACACAATTGGACAGGAATGCCCCCGTCGCTCTGACATTACAAGCCGAGCCCCAACATTTGGCTCCTTATTTTGGAGAACTCAGGATATGCATTTCCATACTGTTCGCCTTCCAACGGATGCTGATCAGAGAAGTGGAATTCGTTAAGGAGACTAGAACTTGGTTGAAGCAGTTGATTGCTATACTGCTGAGGGTGGCAAATTATCAGGATCATTTGTTCATCTTGAATCACGTCTTAAGGTGAATATTATAAACATAACAACAATAATATGAATACTATCTTTAGGTTAGGAAAAACCATATATCTACTAGAGTCACTGGATGGTATTAGTTTGATAAGAGTTCGGACACAACTGAACTTTTGTCCTTTTCTATTTTCTATAATACAATGGTTTAAGTGAATAAAAGAATAAGACATATATTCTGCTCTTCGTCTTTTCAATTTCCCTAGTAGTGCCTGATTCTCAGATACGATTTTAGAGGTTATATTTTCTGTCAAATCAATCATAGCCGTAGATGGACAATGGATATAGGGTACAAACACCCACTTCAATTCATAGTGATACACTTCTAGAAGAGTAACTATTATATAAAAATGAAAAAAATGCATGTAACAACATCTTAATATCAGAGAATATATACATATGGATAAACTTATAGCTATAATTCCTTATTGTATGTGAAACTGTACTCTAGTGAAGTATTCCTGAGACAATTTTAAGAAATTGAGTCTATATAAGCTTGTGCCCGGAAATGCTTCATTCCGGAGATACAGGGTGTTGAAATACAGAGAACAAATCATTTTTTGATAAATATGTCAGGAAAAAAGTAATTTATTTTGACGAGACCTACCAAATACTTGGTTTTGTAAAGTTCTCAGCAACTTCACTTAGCGCCCTAGGAGCTAAGTAACATGGATATCAATATAGAAAATATCTCCAAAACGATACCTCCAGCGTAATTAAGGCCCTTATAATAATTCCCTTGATACATGAATATCTATTTACTTTTTACTGTTGAATGTTGAATTCGGTCGGCACCAAAAACGTCATTCAATAATATATCACGTTGTAGTTTACTTGCTTTTCTTACTTTCGTTTTCAAATTTTCAATTTCATAATGTAATTTTGCGATCATTTCCCCTTTTTCCATGATTATTTTGTTTTGTATTTTGTGTGATGATAATAATGGAATTTTGTTCTTGAAATCGTCTGCTTTGTTAATTGATGGAACAGCAGATTCTCTCAATCAGATTTTGAAATCTTTTGTTTGAAAATGGGCCTAAAATATAGATTCATTCTAATCAGATGATGTTATAAGAAGTGAATTTCAATGAGTACCTCACAAATTTCGCTCGTCTTCAAATTGATTTTCCACCCAGGCCGTTTCATATCTTTCTTCCATAAGCGAATGCTGGATATATTATATTTGATTCGGAAAATCGAATAAATGATATCCATTTGTTTCAGAATTGGCACAATTTATTACACAGCAAGTGATTTCCATAGCTGCTTTCATCTCGAAAGTATAATAATTATGAAATTTTATTTCAATTCTGACGTTCATAAAATTAATTGTCAAATTCAAAGAATTTTTGAATGAAAAAGCGCGGGACGACTATGGTGCTCTTGTCACAATGCAAGGAGTGACTCTAATATCTACTACTCATATTATATGAACAGTGTTGCCAACTCAGATTTCCAAAAGTCACAAATTTGCCACCTAAAAGACACCAAAAAACCACCAAACCGGGTGGCATTGAAAAAGAAATGCGCCGCAGGCGAATTTTTTGCAAATCTAGGGATTTTCTGGTGGTTTCTACTTCAGTCCAGACCACTAGATGAAATCAGATCAGGTGAAAAAAGTGTTTTCTTTCTTTCTTACGAACAAAATAAATTATTCATAGCATCATTGACATGCTTAAGTATATTATAATATATGAAGAAAACAAGAAGTCAGAAGCAGCATTTGAGATCGTACGAAAACAGTCAAAATTGGACATAAACGTAAGAAACTGATTTCAGTTAAAACTAGTTTTCCTATTAAAACTTTTCTCTAGTATTACACCGTTAAAATCAAAATATCATATAAAACAAAGGACATTTCGGATGCGCCCTCAACCACCAGAATTCACCATTTATTTGAAAAACTGAACACCATCCACTAGATGCCATATTCTCTCAAAAAACGAGAACTCAAACCACCAGTTCTAGTGTGAAATCCACTCAGTAGGCAACACTGTATATGAATCATAGCTGTCCTCAACGCGGTACCAACTTCTGTCTCTATAGGTAACGAAATCGACCAATAGGCGTTGATGACGACGTAGGGAAAAAATAATACGAAACTTGTCAAACCAATATGGCTGTTTCCATCCTTCACTCTCCGTCCTTATAGATTCAAAAAGTACCTCTCATTTTGGTCCCATTTTTGTTGAGATATCGTATACGCGATGAGCCATATATAGAAATAGTACATATATGGGAAAAACACACACAACCTGGAGAAATTAATAATATCAATATTTCAAGAAGAAAAATGATTAATGGATTAGTATCATGTTTTGGGTTTATTGCGCCTCATCCACATCGACAGTCTCAATTAACAACTTGAACATATTGAATATGTCCAACTTAAAGGAATCAATTATTATTTCACTCGCAGTTACGTCTATAAAGATATAATAGTTATGCCATTTGGTAAAAGGTTAGTTTTATAAGTATTGCAGTACGACTCAACTGTTGGAAAAAAGGAGAGATTACATTTCAACAAATTATCGTTTCACGTTGAGAAATCATCAGTCATCATGATATTTATTCTTCAACTTGGAGTTTGAACTTGAAGTTTGAACTTGAAGATTGAACTTGAAGCTTGAACTTGAAGGTTGAACTTGAAATTTGAACTTGAAGGTTGAACTTGAAGGTTGAACTTGAAGTTTGAACTTGTGGGTTGAACTTGAAGGTTGAAATTGAAGTATGAACTCCTAATAACTAGGGTCCCTTGATGGAAATTGACGTTAAAGTCACCTAACAGGGTACGGACAGATCATAGCTGCATTCTTTTTTAATGATCTAGATACTTTAGTTTTGTCTACTGGCATCCCTGACATTGCTGTCACGTCACATCCATGGGCGCTACAGAAAATCATTCTAAATTTTAATAATAGGTATGTACAGGGTATTTACTTGTTGAGGAATATCATATGGCGAACAAGTTTTGTAATTATGATCCGATTCTATTCAAGATTAGAAGATATCTGGAGTTTTCCGGGGTTGGAGATAATGATTGTTTCGTCAAACTTGGAAAATTCAAGATGACGAATCCAATATATAGCGAAAGAAATTTCTAACTATGATCTGATTATATTTAAGATTAATATCTGGGGGTTTTCGGGGTCGAACTTTATGATTTTTTGTCAAGATTGGGAAATTCTAGATAGCGGATCCAATAAAAATCAAAATTGGTATCTGGGGATTTCCGGGGTCGGAGATTATAATTATTCCGTCAGAATTGGGATATTCAAGATGGCGGATCCAATATGGTGGACGAGTTTTGTAATGAAGGTACGATTCTATTCGAAATTGGTATCTGGGGGTATTCGGGGTAGGAGATAATGATTGTATGGTAAAAATTGGAAAAATCAAGATGACCGATCCAATATGGCGAAAGACATTAGTTTGTATAATTATTACTCTACCACACATAGAAAATATGTAGGATGCAAGTGTGCAAATAGCATGCCTATAAGTTATACTGCGCATACATACTTTTTTGTTAATTTCATCAATAAATTATTCGAAAATGACTTTTTATTCAAGGGAGACAGAAAAATGAGGTGAAGTATATTCTATTCTTTATTTTCCTTCATATTTTACGTATTTCTTTTCATCAGCCTACTTTTCGTCCTGTAGTATCCCGACTAGGGTTTATGCAGGTTCGGCAGATAAGTGAATAAAATACACCACTTCAGTAACTTAACTATATTAATTATTATCATACAGTACCTATACTATCTATCACTAACCCTAATTCACCTTCTACACATGACGAACGACAGAGATTATTGTTCGTGAGCTCACAATGTCGTACCTTCCACAGACCAGTGTTGATGCCGATCAGATCTTGCTCCAACCGTTCAATACCAAATAACCGTTTCCACAATTCAGCTGGAGTTAATGCTTGGACTCAGCATCCAGGACTCCCTTAGTTATAATGTCGTATGAATTCAGCTTTTCAATACCGCAGTTCCTGTTCTTCTATTTAGTCATCTTTTCTGACATTTTCTCTTGACAATCCCCTTTTTGACAATTCTCTCAACAACTCCCTTTTGTCTCCTATCAGTTCCTACCTACCGGATCCACAACTATCTGGACTAATCTCTATGAAAAATGAATATACAGAGTGCTCTAATGTATATACATAGTGGTCTATTACAGTCCTAGACGGAGTTTTATACATAGTGTGATATTAGTAACTCCATAAATTCTTCTCCGAGTTGGATTTCCGAAAATATATTTAGTACACATGACATGAGTACCTACAGTAGTTTAGATACCCACATCGAGGTTTCCACCATTTCTTAATCATGAGGCTCTCCTCATTCAGCTCATAGATAAACTACTGCTCAGCTTGAATTCAGAATTCATTCAGTCAATTCAGTCAACCCTGGTATACAGTCTAAGAACAGTCTCTTTTGGTGAAATACATTATGAGCTTTCAGTACAATTTATATGTTCCATACCTCGCAAAGATTATGCTGGAGTAGTAATCTCTAAAACAAGAGGATTGTTCATCTATATCTTGGTATAGTTGAATCAGGAATTTTATATGGAAATTACGTATGATACGCCAGTGACCTCAATGTAACCTAAAAAACAACAAATGTCAAAAATCTAGTGTTTATCCCCAGAATTGAATAAGGATGGAACTATATAACTGTTTCACAAACGCTTTAGAGTGAGAGGAGACGAGGATCTGTCCGTACCCTGTTAAGATGTCTTTAACGTCAATTTCCATCAAGGGACCCTACTAATAACTATAGACATAGATCTAAACATGATCTAGGTTTCCATAAGAACATTGGTTTCACTCGCAGTTACAAAGAAGAAATTGTTTTCTCGTATCAGGTGTCCAGCAGGTGTGAGCAACTGGGCCTCGTGCTTCGTCCAAACCCCCCTGGCTTCCAGAACGTGCGAATCTCCGTTCGCGAACCTCCAAATAAACCACGTGCTCACCATCCTGGCCACCATTCTCACTCCCATCAGGGAGAGAGAGCGCTTCCTGGAAGACATCGCCCAGGGCAAGGAAATGGCAGGTATGATAAAACTGAATATATGATTTTTCAGAATTAAAAATGAATCTGTGAAACAAAGTAATGAGAAAAAGTGTTCCCTTTCTAAACGCCGAGCTGCGCCTAAGTGGTTCAGGAACGCCTGACTACCTGCAGATCGGTTTCGAGCTGCAAATGCTGAGATGCGTTTACGTTGGGTCAGGTTCGCACCAGATAGCGGTCAAGAAGCTATCTGGGACAGCCCTGTACTGATTACTGATGAGAGCCAACAGCTCGAAACCGGTCAGCAGGTAGCATTACTTCAAATCTTTCATATACATATTTCATTGTTCCTTGAAAATTTTCGGAAATTTCGATAAAAGTGAGCGGCAAATTCTAGAAATTGAAGGAATTTAAATAAATTTCGTATATTCCATGATAATCCAGTATCTTTATACATCACAGTATGCGTCAAATCCGGTAGTTCTGATTTTTTCGCAGACTTGTTTATGATGTTGACCTAATGAATAATCCAAGTTTGTGACCTTGAACGCCGTACGCAACTTTGTCAAAAATCGAAAAAACTGCGAAAAGATCTTTTTTTTTCAGTTTTTGGCGATTATAACCCTAAAGGACTAGTTTTTGATAAAAACTCTTCAGAACGTTTTCAAAGTAGATCAAATTTGCTACAATATGATATAAAAACTGTCTCTGTAGACTCATTAGTTTCCTAGATTGAGCCTTTCAAAGTTAATCATTTTTTTCGAACTTCGCAATTTTTTTGCAATCCTGTCGTTCTGATTGAATTTTGACCCTGATTATACAATCGATGCCCACACTTTCATGATGATAGATGATGTGTTACATGCCATTTTCTCATAAGGTGAACCGCCTACTATTCTTGGTCCACCCCATTAGTTCATACCCATGAAATCTTGTCGACCCTTAAATTATAAGAGAAATATTCGAATTCAGTGAAATTGTATCTAGTCCCCCACACTAATTGTTTGCATTGGCTCCCGTACTATATTTATTCTCTTCGCACTGCTTCAGAAGTAGTCGATCAGTTGAAAGTGCATCGGTTATGCTATTCCATAATATATAGTCTGAGGTTGATAAAGGTAAGTATGTAGTGTCCATTATGCTTGATTTATCCAAAGCCTTTGACAGTGTTGACAAAAATATTCTCTTACTCAAGCTTGAACATATGGGTATAAGAGGATTCATACTAGGTTGCTTAAAATCCTACATGGAAAATAGAAAATTATCTGTTAAGTATAATCAGTACTCTTCAGAACTATACGACATAATTCTTGGGGTACCGCAAGGGTCAGTACTTGGACCACTTTTATTCACAATATTCATAAATGATCTTCCTCGTTATGTAAGCAAAGGACATACCATCATATTTGCTGATGACACAACTATCACTATCACGGCTTCGAATATTGAAGAACTTCAAGTAGAGTATCAAATTAGTATTAGATGAAGTATCATCCTGGTGTGATAGAAATAAACTCATCCTGAATAAAAGTAAGACAGAATTTCAGAAACTTCAGTCTGAGAAGAAATGTGATTTTGGAAGATATTGTTCTGTGTGATTATACAAAATTTTTAGGAACATTCATAGACAGATCTCTATCTTGGAATATTCACATTGACCATATCTGTAATAAAATGAAGAAAGCTTTTTTGCACTCCTACAACTTCGCAGCATTTTGAGTGAGTCGGGTCTTGTATCTGTATATTATGCATTGGCATATTCACATTTATCTCAAAATGTCCAGATTTGGGGAAAAACTAAAGATGTTCAAAGAATTTTCATCATCCAAAAGAGGATTGTAAGGTTCATGTTTAATTTAAATTACAGGTCTACATGTAGGCCCGCTTTCATTGACAAAAAGATCCTAACCATGCCCTGCATCTCTATCTATAAGGTTATACGCAAAGAATCATCTGAATGAATTTCATCAACTTGGAGAGAACCACACATACAATACTAGACATCGGCATATTCTAGCAATACCAAAGCATAAGACAGCAACGTTCAAAGATAGTTTGAATAACAATTGTATAATTTTGTATAATAGACTTCCTGAAAATATTAAAACTTTGAATTGTATCACTTTCAAGAAGGCAATCCGGGAAACACTTCTGAAAAATGCTTTTTACAGTATGCACGAGTTTATCGATAGTACGATTGATGTATAAGATAGTAAATTCCAGTAGTATTTTATACTTTTTCATGTTTGTTTGTTTGAAAATGTCTCATTGTTGTATACAAATTGATTCGTATTGCTATCTGCTTCGATCATTTTAATAATTTTTAATAACATGTTATTACCAGATACTGACTAAACAGTAATGTCATTACTGTTACTCCCTAAGATGTATATATACCAATTTGACTTGCCTCATGTACATGAACATGTACCTCAAAATGGCTAATAAAGTATTTCTATTTCTATATTTCTATTAATCACGATTTTTTCGCGGTTTTTTCGATTTTTGACAAAGTTGCGTTCGGTGCTCGAGGTCACAAACTTGGATCATTCATTAGGACAACATCATGAACAAGTCTGCAAAAAATCAGAACTACCGGATTTGACTCATACTACCCCCATTTATGTTCAGGCGGCAAGGTTACTGGACTATGAACATTTCAAGTGAAATTCCATTTCGTGATTAAGACTGAAATTTTTCCAACCCTGATCGCAGGCGAGGCCCTTTGGGTGTTGGTGGACTCGGATGGGGAGGAAGACGAGAATATTGGGGTGTCCTTGAAGGAGAACGATCTGGTCGGGTTGCTGAATCAGCTGCCGCTGGACGAGCTGTTCAGGAATGTGTTGCTGATCCAGCACAGGGACTACCAGGTGGATAATGCAAAATTATGTTTTCTCTGTGACGGAAAAAAGTTTGATGTTTCATCTCTTTTGACTGGTTATAAAATGTAACTTTTCATAAATTACTTTTTTTCTGTGACAGGAAAGAAGTTTGGCATTTCATCTCTGTTGGCAGGTTATAAAATGTCACTTTTCATAAATTACTTTTTTCCCGTGGGAAAAAAGTGAGTACTTTTTTCCCGGATATATATCACATATATATACTCTGTTAATGGCTTTTGTTGTGCTGAAGTTCCGAAAAATGAGTCAATAATACCGTCTCCGAGAAAGAACTGCAAGTCCTTTTATCTTCCATTCGACTTCGCGGTTTCGTATATCACTAAACAACTACTGAATTCGCAATTTTTTAAAATCAAATCACAGAATTGAACTGACAGAAGTGACATCAGATATTTGATTACTTCAAAAGAATGATAAAGATGCCTATAAAACGCAGGTGTCCCTACTGTTAAAAACTTGAAATTTCACGTCGATAATTTTCAGATTTCGAAATAATGTGATATCTTCTCAATATTGATTCGTCCTCCCTTCTGTCACAGAAAAAAATAGTGTATTATACACGGGAAAAATATTAGATTTTAGCTCACGGTTTCCCTCCGCTACGCGTCGGGAGACAACACAACCTGGAGCTAAAATCTACTACTTTTTTCCCTTGTATAATAAATAACTATTTTCCCACAAGTGAGTACTTTTTTCCCGGAAACAGGCTGATTCACGGTGGATGGCACATTAGACGTTTCTGATGAATGCAACTCAGGTTTATTATGAAAAGTTGGTGCCTTGAATAATTAGTTGTGTTCTATCGATCTCAAATATTCTCAGTGTTGTGACGTTGCCGCTTATATTGAAAAGAAGCAACAACTTTGATTTTATTATTATTCCATTTTCAGATTCTTCCTGAAGAGCTGATTTCATCGATCTATCACATTTGGGGTCTAGCAGAAATGAAAACAAACATATAGGGTGTGAAAAATCGAGATTCTTCAACTTTTTGTGTCGATAATAATAATAATAATAATAATAATGAACGACTTTATTTTCAATTACAATATAAACATAAATAAATTATAGCAAAGTCTAGCTTAAAGCTATTCTACTTAACCAACAAATAGGTACAGGTTGGTCAAAAAATCTTAATTCTGAATTACCCTGTATTTTTTTCAATTAAATATCAATTGATAGTGAATAAAATGTTTGGATAGGGACATGAAAACCGTTTTGACCAATTATGAATAGTTTCGACACAAGAAAATCCTAAAGATGAAAAATCTCGATTTTTCACATCCTATAACTCCGTATTTATTACTGCTAGACCCCAAGTGTTATAGGTCAATAGAATCAGCTTTTCAGGAAGAATCTGAAAATTGAATAATATACAGGGTGTCCCGTTTGAAAAATCAAAGTTGTTGCTATTTTTCAATATAAGCGGCAACGTCGCAACACTGATAATATTTTAGATCGATAGAACACAACTAATTATCCAAGGCACCAACTTTTCAGGATAATCCTGAGTTGCGTTCTCCAGAAACGTCTAATGTGTCAACCACCATGAATCAGCCTGTTGATGGCTTTTGTTGTGCTAAAGTTCCGAAAAATAATCCAATAACACCGTCTCTGAGAAGTCCTTTTATCTTCCATTCTACTTCGCGGTTACGTAAATTACTAAACAACCTTTAAATTCGCAATTTTTTTAAATAAAATCACAGAATTAGACTGACAGATAATTGATTACTTTGAAAGAATGATAAAGATGCCTGCAACGATTTCTGTTAAAAGCTTCAAATTTCACGTCGATAATTTTCTGATTTTGATTTAAAGTAATATATTCTCAATATTGATTCGTATTTTTTCCTGTCCTAAGCATATTAGGAAAATAAAGGGGGTTCAGAGGAAAGTTTTGCTATAGTTTTGATTTTCTCTATACCCATGTTTTTTGGGTTGCTGATCATGTATTTGAAGTTTGCTGGCAAAATTTTGGCCCGGTCTTTAGTAAGTAATGACTGCATTTCATTCGTTTGTTCCATTATTTCAATTACTCTCCCTATATTCATTATTCATGTAGGTCTAGGTAAGGAATATGTCTTTTTTGATGCGCTCTAGCGGTCGAATGGTTAGTCTTACAAAAAAAAAGTAATTGAACAAAAAATTGAGAAGATTTTGTCAACTCTAACTTTGAATATAACACGCTTTTCGAAAAAACGGTTTCTTTCTGAGATATAGGCCAAAAACTGAAAAAAGTGCAAAAATTTGTGCAAAAAGTGCAAAAATTTGTGCAAAAAGTGCCAAAAGAACAAAGTTCCGGGCCAAAATTTTGCCAGCGAACTTCAAATTCATGATCAGTGACCTAAAAAACACTGGGGGTGAGAAAATAAAAACTATAGCAAAACTTTCCTCTGAGAATCCTAATATGCTTAGCCTACTTTTTAATGTCTCAAAATAATATTGAGATTTTCGATCTTTGACATACAGGATGTGTAATTGTTTTTAGGAATGTATTTTTTTCTAGCATGTGCTCTAATGTATTACAGTGCGTAGTAGTGTAACTTTTTCAAATCCGCAGTAAACAATTGTTGACAAAATTTCCCATATTCGAGATCCCGAAAAGAAATTGCAGAGAAAAAAATCTTTAGTGATAGATAGATATTTATTCTAGTTTTTTATTACGTGAGTACAATCATTTGAAAAAACATTTGATAAATAACCATTCATAGGATAATATACAAACAAATAAATGTTTATTTATATCTGTCTTTCTCGAATTCAATGATGTCCAGGGTGGGCCAAATTGAAGGGATTTGTTTTATAAAAGCTGATTCCATCAATGCATCACACTTGGGGTCTAGCGAAAATTATTACAGAGATATAGGGTGTTCAGAATCGAAAATTCTCAAATTTGGGATTTTTTTGTGTCAGAACTATTCATTATTGGTCGAAACGGCTTACATGTCCCTATCCCAACGTTTGATTCACTATCTACTGAAATGTAATTGGAATAGATACAGGGTGATCAGATATCTTGAATTCTGAACCACCCAGTATTTGTTCCAATTAGTGTCAGTAGATGGTGAATCAAAAGTTGAGATAGGGACATGTAAGCCGTTTCGACCAATAATAAATAGTTTTAACCCTATATCTCTATAAACATTTCAGCTAGTCCCCAAGATGAAATCAGCTCTCAAGGGAGAATCTAAAAATGTAATAATATACAGGGTGTCTCATTTGAAAACACCTATCATCAACCGATATCTTGGAATTCGAACACCCTATAGATATGAAAATAATTTTAGGTGATAGTTCCTAAGAAACCCTATAACTGTTGTATTCGAATTTTTTCTATATATCTGACGGTTTGGCTAATATAGAAGAATGTAGAAAACGGTTGAATGAGGAAACCTCTAGACGATTCTATATGCAATTTAACTCGGACACTTCTTTTTCACAGAGCTGTTTGAATTTGCACATTTTACAACTTTTCAAATAAAAAGATGAGAAAACGGTCTCTCCATGACAAGAATTTCTCGACAAATCAACAGGATAAACAACTGAAATTCTAAAATTCATTAAGAAAATACCAGATTGTTGTCGTATCGATGAAAACTCAAACGAAACTTCTTATTTGTTATAGGATTTTTATGACGTTACTTCGATTACCGAACACCACGTTCTGAGATACTTCGCCTTTTCGACAGTGCTGCTGAGAATATTGTACAAAGGCATCCAGACTTACGATCAACCGAGGTACAACCAGTTTTCGAAAAGGTTGAGTCGTTTTATTCGGCATGTGGCACAGTACGCGACGGACCAGTGGGAGCAATTTCTCAAGGTAAAATGTTCTAATGGACATGTTCACCATTATTTTTGGTAAACGCAGGAAACAACACCCAGTATTTCAAACTTCCACTTGAACCTGATGAATGAATTATCCATTTCTTCCCGCTTCTGAATCTAAGAAGAAAGTTTCATATGAACGTATGACCTAAACTTTTGAGATACAGGGTGGTAAAGTTCTCAAAAATTAATATAGCCTACTACAGTGAAAATTTCAAAATACCAAATACGAATACGAAGTTAATAAACTATGAATTCTATTTCTGATATTTGATTTAAAAAATAAAATCTATTTCTCTGCTCTGATATTGTCATATTAACGATATTGCAATAATCATGTAGTGAAAAACTTTTTATTTTTTAAGCGAAGACCGTGCATCAGATTGAAAAAATTGTGGTGATTAAATTTACTTAGAAATGATTGGGAATTTCAGGAATGATTTCAATTTCGAGATCAATCAGTGGCGTACCATCAATGTCTGCCAAAATATTTTTATTTATTTTAATTATTGAACAAATAACTTCCAGACAGAATAGGCTCTGGTTTAAGGAAGTACATAATTATATACCTATAGGTGAACATAGCATCATTGATTATATATCAACAACTGTAAATTGGCAAACAAAGAATAATATTTATGAAAAAAAAAGTGGCATGATTAATTTTATCCAGCTCGCTCAGAAATAATCAGGTTTTTTTTACTTCATTTTTGAATGTACCTATATTTCTGCAATTTTTTATATTGTCAGGTAGTTTAGAATTCAGTTAAGGCTGAATGGGTGAATCTTTTTTGTCCGATTATGGAGCTAGCGGCGTCAAGATGAAACAAGTTATATTGTCTAGTTTCATGATAATGAATTTCAGAATTCCGTATCAAAATGAAATTCGACTTCAATTTTTTATTTATGATATTATATGATATTTTGAGAGTTTCAATTCTATATATTTCATCTAAAGAATACGTATTTGTTATTTCATACAATTGATTGGTTGGTGTATCAAATGGGAGACGATACAATACTTTTAATGATTTTCTATATAATATTGATATTTTATTGAAATTATTTTTTGAACAAGATCCCCAAACATTTATTTATAGTTGATACGACTCAGTATATGAGAGTAGAGAATCATGTTTGCAATTTTAATATCAAGTTTGGGACATCTTCTCAATGCACCAATAATTGGAGATATTTTTTTTGTCAGAACAACAATATGTTTGTCCCACTTCAACCTGTCATCAAACCAAATACCAAGATATTTTATCTGGTCAGTTTGTTTTAAGAGTTCATTTTTCATTTTAAGGTTGAGGTAAACTTTTTGTTTATTTTTTTCGTGAAAAATCATATATTCTGTTTTGTTAGTATTTATCGATAAAAGGTTAGAGTGGAGCCATTTTTCAAATATTTTCAAGTCTTCATTTATCATATTTTCTAAATTTGAAGGATTCTTGCCTTCATATAAGAGTACTGTATCATCTGTATACATGGTATATTTACTTGTGAGACCAATTTCACTGATATTTTGAACATAAAGTAAATATAGTATAGATCCTAAAACAGGGCCCTGTGGGACACCCTTATTGATTAATAATTTATTTGACACAGAGTTGGTTGATTTTGTATTGATTGTCCTATTTTCAAGATATGATTTCAAAATATTTCTCACAGTGCCTCTGAGTCCCATTGTTTCTAAGTTTTCTGAAAGTGTTGTATGATCAACTGTGTCAAAAGCCTAGATTGATATTCTCAATTCCTTCCTGACAAAATGAATAAAACAACAAATTTCGAGTTTATACATATAATGAAACTAGATTCAGCAAGTCTTTAGGTTTGTATAGATTTACACTTGATTCTGAAGAAGGTAAATTGAAAATGCACTCTATTGTTTTATTTTATAATTTCATGAGTGGCATCAAATGTGAAATATTTGAACTTTCCCAAATAGATATTAGATATTGTAAATTTGAATAAAAAAGACAGAAATAAATACTCTTTAGGCATCTAACAGGAATGAAATTTCGAATTTTATATATAATACCAGCAATAGGATTCATTTTTTTTCTCAAATGTATATATGTAGAGTCCACGATAATTGTTCATCAATATAAAGACCAAAAAAGTTTGTTACATTTGTATATTCAATGGATTTGTTATTGAAACATATATCCGTTGTTCTTCTTGAGATTTACATATACGTAGATTTACTATAATTAACAGTCAACTTATTGGTCGTTAGCCAAGATGATATTATATTCAAATCATCTTTAATATCATTATTGATATCTGTCTAGGTACAAAATGTCGAAGACAAGGCGATGCTCGACCGCCTCCAAGTCGAATACGACGCGTTCTTCCTCCGCGCCATCCACTACCTCTACTCCGCGCATAAGCCAGGCGCCTGGCAGTTCCTCGCCGTCATACCCTATCACATGGTCTCCGCGCATGCGCTGTGGCGCATCTTCCGTTTCCTGCACAGCCTCGACAGCGAGGCGCAAGACATCCTGCGGCCGCGAGCGGAAGAGGACGCTTTGAGGCCTCAAAGAGAGGAGGTGTGGGAGCGGAAAGCGAGGGGGCAGTTCGAGGAGAAGCTGGCGGGGTTGGAAGATGGGGAGGTGTACTATCTGTTGAACACTTTCGCTAATATGGCGCTGGCGAGGGGGGATGGGGATATGGAGTTTATTTTTGCGGCGACGATGGATTTGTTGGAGGTCAGGGTTTTTGTCTTTCTGTTTTTTTTTCATGTTTGATTATAATTGCAAGATTCCTCTTACAATTGATGCTTAAAATTGACATATTTATCTTGCATTTAAGCTAATTGCAAGATTTATCTTGCAATTAGAGCTCAACTGACAGTTTAATCTTGCATTCAAGCTGATTGACAGATTAATCTGGCACTTTAGCGAATTGCAAGATTTATCTTGCGATTGAGGCTAAATTGACAGATTTATCTTGCATTTAAACTAATTGACAAATTTATCTTGCTATTAGAGCTTAACTGACAGATAAATCTAGCATTTAAGCTGATTGACAGATTAATCTGGCATTTTAGCTAATTGCAAGAATTATCTTGCAATTGAGGCACAATTGACAGATTTATCTTGCATTTGAGCTAATTGCTAGATTTATCTTGCAATTAGAGCTCAACTGACAGATTAATCTTGCATTTAAGCTGATTGACAGATTAATCTGGCACTTTAGCTGATTGCAAGATTTATCTTGCGATTGAGGCTGAATTGACAGATTTATCTTGCATTTAAGCTAATTGACAAATTTATCTTGCTATTAGAGCTTAACTGACAGATAAATCTTGCATTTAAGCCGATTGACAGATTAATCTGGCATTTTAGCTAATTGCAAGAATTATCTTGCAATTAAGGCACAATTGACAGATTTATCTTGCATTTGAGCTAATTGACAGATTTATCTTGCAATTAGAGCTTAACTGACAGATTAATCTTGCATTTAAGCTGATTGACAGATTAATCTTGCATTTTAGCTAATCGCAAGAATTATCTTGCAATTAAGGCAAAATTGACAGATTTATCTTGCATTTGAGCTAATTGACAGATTTATCTTGCAATTAGAGCTTAACTGACAGATTTATCTTGCATTTAAGCTGATTGACAGATTAATCTGGCATTTTAGCTAATTGCAAGAATTATCTTGCAATTAAGGCACAATTGACAGATTTATCTTGCATTTGAGCTAATTGACAGATTTATCTTGCAATTAGAGCTTAACTGACAGATTAATCTTGCATTTAAGCTGATTGACAGATTAATCTGGCATTTTAGCTAATTGCAAGAATTATCTTGCAATTAAGGCACAATTGACAGATTTATCTTGCATTCAAGCTAATTGCAAGATTTATCTGGATTTGGAAAGTCTGACTACGCCACTGGGTTCTACGTGAAAAATGTGTAAAAGGCAGTTTTTACTTTTACGATAAGTTGCAACATAGCTGAGATACAAGGGAGGTCCCAAAATGCAACATTCTCAATTTTACCCTGTATCTCAAAAACGAAATGTTTTATGATAATTTTGTTTTCGGTATCGTGAGGTTTGCAAAAAAGGAGCCAACGTTCGCAAAAACTGCAAATCTCTATCTTTGAAAATAACTGAGATATCCCGTAAGGACATCGAAAATGGGACAGCCTTTACAAGGTCGTTCGCGACAAGCTTTCGTTGAGAGTATATATAGGGTGTTTAGAAATTTGAACGAAAACATAACCATATTTTCTACGCAACTGATGAAATAATGATTATTTTTTCAAATACCCTGTACATTGTGTTGACAAAATATATGTCCTTCAACTTGGTGAGCAAGCCCATAGTAGGCTCCGAAATATCTCAATCGGCACACCTGGAAATTCATACCAAAATCAGTTTGTTTGGTTCTTCTCATACTTCTAACGGAAGCTCGTCGAGAATCACCTTGTATTCGAACATATTCAAATTTTTCACGTTTGTGATTCAGGTCGGTTTTGTGAGCGAAGCGACCCAAGAAAGTTGTTCGAAATCATCCAGAATATTGTTGACACATATCACATCAAAGCACCCCCACTTGCTGACCAATATTTTGAAAGTAGTGAAGGAAAATATGGATAAGATCGGTCCTTTGGCATTGTACTTATATGAAGAATTGCCTCTATCCATATGGAAAATCACCGAGAACGATATGGAGATGATCTCAAGGTTGGCTACTATGTACTCTTTGTTGTTAGCCTTAGGGTCCCTTGATGAAAATTGACGTCAATTTTCATCAAGGGACCCTAGTTAGCCTCACTTTAATATGGTTTTTGTGCAACAATATTTGCGAATTCTGTATTTTATTCACTGCTGTTTTGACGTTTTTTGTATATTAGAGTACGGACACTAGACAAGCAGTGACAATCAAACATAACCACAAACGATTTTGAAGCAAATCATATGTTTTGCCAGACAAGGACAAGAATAAGTTTTTCGCTTAGATAAAGGATCCTTGCATCTTCCTTCCTCCACAAGTCCTGGGAAGAACACATCCATATAACTTTCTCTGTCTTTGATTTTTGTATGAGAGTGCATAGCGTCTCCTCGAGTGGGTAAAAGGGTACGATAAATTGATTAGAAAATTATTTCTTCTCGAAATATTGAATGATAAGGCTGAAGGACCTCAATGGAGGTTGATATCAAGTTGGTATGTACATATATACCAACGAAATACATATATTATTCCTATGAAATGAGTCTCTTATATGTAGGTATATACCGGGTGTCCCATTTTAATCTTTATTTGGAAATTTCTCGAAATGTATGCATCTGACAAAAAAAATTGACGAATAAGAGTTGTATGGTTTGGAGGGGGACGTCTGGTTATAAAACAAGTTTCACCCCCTGACCCCCAGGGGAGTAAGAAATGGAGGTAACATTGAAATCTTTAATGGAAACCCCTATTTTTTATTGCAGATTCTGGAAGAGCATTAAAAACTATGAAGCTTTCATTCGGGAACTTCTTTTTTATTTTCACAAGATGGCGCTGCGATCGTAAAAAACAATATTTCACTATTTACACATTTCAACCCCCTGAAGACGAGGAAGAGTGTAGGGTGTGATATTTTCCCAGACAAACGCCATTGGGGTGATATTCACACGACAAATTAACGCTAAACGAACTTACTTACCTTGACACCTCTACATAGAAAAGAGAAAAATAAGCATGTTTCAGCAATTAAGGTATCATTTAGGTCAGACTAAAGCTGGTTTTAAGTGAGATTGACTACTTTATCAAGTGTTCGAAATGACCTCCATTTCGCTTTTGGGTGTATGATAAATTGACATTCATTATACAGGGCGTGGAAATGAATTCTGAATTGAGACTCTATTTTCTTGAATACACAAGTTCACTCGTTTTTCAAAATTCCGCACTGTCGCTTCCAACATAGCAGGCGTTAAAGCCATGCACGCTCCTCTAATTCTATCTTTCATATTCCCGCGTGTGGTTGGGGGTTCGCGAAACACAATGTTTTTGATGTAACCCCACAGAAAGAAGTCTGGGGAAGTAAAGGCGGGTGATCTGGGTGGCCAACTACAAACTAAATAGTAAAATATTGTTTTTCAAGATCGCAGCGCCATCTTGTGAAAATAAAAAAGAAGTTCCCGAATAAAAGCTTCATAGTTTTTAATGCTCTCCCAGAATCAGCAATAAAAAATAGGGGTTTCCATTAAAGATTTCAATGTTACCTCCATTTCCCACTCCCCTGGGGGTCAGGGGGTGAAACTTGTTTTATAACCAGACGTCCCCCTCCAAACCGTACAACTTTTATTCGGCAATTTTTTTTGTCAGATGCATACATTTCGAGAAATTTCCAAATAAAGATTAAAATGGGACACCCGGTATATACGTTCAGTTGAAAAATTTTTTATCACAAAAGTTCAGAATGGGGTAAAAACTGATGAATTTCAACCAATGAAACATACTTTTATTTCGTATGGAACAATTTCACTTCTACAAGAGTGGTTGGTAATAAGTAATTAATAAATGAACAAATGATATGGTAACAATAACAGCTGATTTCAGTTAGGATAAATAATAAAGGTTCTCCAAGACATAGGGAAATAGGTATAAATGGACTTCAGCGCTCGACTCACTATAGATCGCCGTTCACATTGCTAAAGGGGATTGTTGGATTGAACCCGGCAATCGGAAGATCTTTTTCAATACCTAACATAAATGGTGCACTCGTTAGGCGTTCTTGATTTGTGCTCTGATAATATCTTGCTCGTATATTGGTGCCCAAGAAGTTGTTCAAAATCCACTAGGAGCTATGTAGTCGTCTAGCACTTCTCAACTAGGCATGAACATGCACATTCAGACGTGGCATTTCAACTTTTCGATACTCGCTCAGTTTATAAATTGTGGGTTCGGCTCTTTCTCTCAATACGACCCTATTGCGTTGAAAAATGTTCTATATCCTACCAAGAAATTTGAATACCTCGCAAATTTTGTGTCCTGAACCTATATTCCATGCCGGCCGCATCATATTCTGTTTCCATTTTTGTAGAATAACGTTATCCGATGGAAATTCGAATAGAGTGAATTGATTTCCCGTGTTCTCACAGTTGGAAACTGCACATACTCGCATATTTCTCCTAATTCTCTGAATTTGTCAAACCTTTGAAATTTATGTCATGTACGTCCGTGTACTGTCAGTTCCCGCTTTTTCCATCAATTTATTTGTGGTTATGTCTGATTGTCAGTGCTTGTCATAGTGTCCGTACTCTAATATACAAAAAACGTCAAAACAGCAGTGTCAAGTACATTTAGGAACTCTAGTCACAACAAAAACAAGTTGCCCTACCCTGCACACTACCCACTCGTATGGGGTCAGCAAATTTTCCATTGTATTCTTGGCCACATCTGATTAATTTTTTCTCCTTTAGGTTGTTACTGAATCACAACTCTGTGTCTAGTAATGAAAACAAATTATCCAGAATGATTTTGTCGAGATTGGACTGGGACAAGATACCGTATGAAATACACTGCGATGTTGCCATTTTGGTGGTGAACGCCGTTTTCCAAAATCCGGCCATGGAAAACTGGGCATGGCAAACGATTTTGAGATTGAAACTGCATATCAACGATAAGGCTTTCAAGGAAATAGGAAGGGTACAAGAAGTTGAGATGTATGATACTTTAATGAAAGGTGATTTATCTACTATTGAATAAACTCATTTTGTTAAAATAACATGTAACACAGAAAGAAGTGAAGAAAAAACTATAAAGTGAAAAGTAAAATGGATTGAAGTAGAATAGTGAATGAAAAAAGCAAAAATTGTATGAAAGAGTAAAATCATTAAAATATAAATCAAACTGATTGACACGTCGGTCAAGTAAAGAGTATAGAGTCAAGGATGTAGGGTGATTGATTAAGAATGGGTAATCTCTGAACTAATATTAGTAAAAACTCAAACTTAATAATTAAGACTAACATGCCTAATAAAAATGTTGTTGGATTATGAGATACAGGATGCTCAAGGAGAAGATGTTATTTCAAAATGTCTCTATAACTTTTTGAGTTACAACAGCATGAACACCCTCAGGGGCTCTCGACTTGTGAGTACGGGAATGGCAATCCCGAGGTACCCTAGCCGGATACTCATTAATCTTCAATTATTTGTCTTTGGTGGTATCCTCTCCACTCTTCAATTTTTTGTATCAACCTCTCTTGGTCAATTCTTCTCTGTTCCTTCTCCCCTAAAGCCCAAGCTCACCATGGTACGGGGAGCACAAGAGTATTGCACCTATACAAACCTCATCCCACTCTGACCCCTATCTAACATGCATTATTCTTACATGAAATACCTGCCAAACCAAACGTAGTTTGGACGTTCCAACGCCGTTCAGGCTTCTAACCTAATATTACTCCTTCAACCTACCCTTGTGGGGGGATTAAACCACCCTCTAACCTACCCTTTCGAAATGACCAAAAGAGCATTCGGTGACAGATGACACGTGACCTTGGAAAAATCTTCGTTTCACTTAATTAATATTTAATAATAATGACAATCACTAACAACATCAACAACAAACAAAATTTCAGAGTAAATGACAAAAGTTATTGAGAAGTTTTGAAGTACAATTTTTCCCTAACACCCTGTACCTTCTGAACCAGCAACATTTTTATAAGGCCTGCTGGGATAAATCTTCATATTATAGTGTTTCCTATCTGAAGTCCAGAGACTGCCCATTCTTGATGAATTATCCTGCAGACTAAATGAAAGAGTAGAGAAGAGATTGAAGTAAAGAGTAGAGTGAAGAGCAGAGTAGAGAGTATAGTGAAACGTACAGTGAAGAGTAGAATAAAGAGTAGAGTAAAGAGCAGAGAAGAGAGTAGAGTGAAGAGTAGAGTAAAGAGTAGAGTGAAGAGTAGAGTTAAGAGTGTAGTAAATGTGATGTGGGGTGTCAAGTATACGAAATGGAATCTCGTAGTCGATCTGAATCGTTTCAGGTTTGAGGGAACAAAACACCTTGGCGATATTCGTAACAATTCTGATGACCACCTGGGGTCACCTGGTTCCTCTGATCTGCACCAAGGGCTTCTCACAGCTAGTCTACCTCCAGACCCAGGAAAAACACGAAGCGGTCCTTTTCGCTCTCTTCCTATTGGTCCCGCTCTTCATCGACAGCCAGGAGTGCATAATCAACCTGGAAAAGTTCCAGGAAATTATCCAGAATCTACTCGGGGCCGACAGAGGCTACATTTCCATGGCCAAAAGTCTGGTGTACGCCCAGAACACGGTGTTGCAGCAATTCGGCAACATGGTCGAGGCACAGATCAGCAATTTCGCCTACTACGACCTTGACAGTCCGAGGTGTTTAGTGAGGTTATGGACGAATGCTCTGGTGTCGTTGCCTGGTTGGAATAAGGATGTGGGGGTGTTGTATCTGTTGGATGTCATCGTGAGGACTGCGTTTCTGCATGCTGACGCTTTAGATGTCGTTTCTAATATACTGAGGGATCAACAGCAGGTGAGTGTTCAACGCTTCTACTGACAATTCCCAAAACATTCTTGAAGAAACTCATATACAGGGTGTTTAAAAAAAGGTAACCTCATTGCTAGGGTAGGTAGAACACTAAACACTTCGAAACGGCATCCGTTTTCAAGATGAGATACAAGGTGTTAAAAAATAGTAGAGATTGTTTTATTAGGATCAAAAGTGACAGGGAAGGTCTATTAAATTTTCGAGGATGTTCGAATTGAAATTTCAATATAAATACAACCACAGAGTGACCTATTTGAGTATTCTATTGAATCGATGAATTAATTTGGACCAGGTGTCAGCCCTAATAGCAAATACCGCGTCAGTGCCAGGTATAGGAAAAAGAAGTGGAAAATGTAAGCTTAGTGAGCTTATCAACAATAATAATGGCGATCATTTATTTCTCTTTATATTCCACTATTCCACTGTGTTTGGCTAGGTAATCAAATGAAGGTAAACAATATCGTTCTACGAGACAAAAAGGTATTGCTGGCCGTTGCTGATGTTCAAGTTAACATGAAATTTGGACTAAAATATCTAACCTCAAAAAATTCAAATCTTCTCGATAAGAACCCTATAATTAGCGCCCTCTATGAGATTTCGATATGGAAATGAATTCACGCTTCCAAAACATATTAATACAAAATTTCAATACAATGTTGCGAGCAATGTTCTACCTACCCTAGCAAAAGGTCCACTATTTTTTGAAACTGTATACTTGAGACTTTCCTTGTACGAACGTTGTTTGCATTCTAGTGTGGTACTCCGCAAGAAAATTCCGGTACCATTAGTTCCTTGTTCAAATGGGTATCGAATAACAATGTCAACGGCAGCTTGATACCGAATTCCCTTGCCAACAACACTTGGCTTGCTTATTTGATGATATCAGTTGAGCACGAGGAAAGGGAATTACATACCGGACTTTGGAACGAGGTTTTGGTTCAGTTGGGCAAACAAAAGGGCAAGATCAACGTTGACCAAGCCATCAAGGTGAATTTTTTCGAATGTGAAACTTTGAAATCGCTGATTTGTTTTTTTTAGAAAGCTGCAAGTGTGGTAAAATGCCCTTCGTTCACTTCAGGATACCTTTGTGTGTTCCGTTGGGCTCAACAAGCTCTGGATACTTCCTTAGATCACCCTTTGCTACCCTTATTGTGGCAAAATTTCTTTTGTTTGTATTTAGCGCGTATTCCCACCGCGAGTGTGACAGAAAGATCTTGCGTTGGGGAAAAATTCTTTGATGGATTGGTTAACTTTGCGTTTCTCAAGAGGATCAAGCGTAGGTTGCAGGAATCGGTGGACTATTTCCAGAGCAAACTGGATGTGAAAGATGAGGTGAGTTTTATTCATTTTTCTACGACAACTTTACGGATATCTGATATTGTGATAAGTGACCGACAGTTTTTTATTGTATATCAAAAAGAGACTTCCTTTTGCTCTATTGGCCATTATTTTTCACATTAACACAAGTCAGTCTTTGAATTCCTGACATATTATGACTGAATTATTCAGTCGGTTCAGTATTGCATTAAAAAGTACGTTTTCCGTCAACCTCGTATAAACGAGTAAGTTTAATGTTTATGAAATTGATCTCTGATGACCCCTATTAATGATCAATTTAACTATTAATGCATGATTGTTGTATAGGCAACCAAACATACACCGCAGTCATTCACTGTTTGTGCTATAACTTACGGAATCTGCATTTAAATCGAAAACATGGATTTCACTTATTATTTCACGTTAATGGTTTAGCTACAAAACAAAAATTTTCAAAGAAGTACGGTAGCCTTCAATCTGTGCGAACGAACTTGCTGAAAAAATTGGGGACTGCAACCAAAAATGGCCAAATGGCTCTATGCCAGTGTCATCAGGTCTATGATAGCATATGGGTCGGTAGTTTGGTGGCCAAAGACACAACAGGCTGAAGTGATTCGAAGGCTCAGTCTCATTCAAAGGCAAGCTTGCCTGAGCGCCACTGGTGCAATGAAAACCACTCCCAGCTGCCTTAGAGGCCCTCTTGAACTTGCCACTACTACAAATATACATTCAAGGCGAAGCCAGAGCAGTCGTGAGTAGATTGTCCAGGGGTCAAGCTATATGATGAGTTTGAAAGCGACCACATCAAGAGAATGCCAACAGATGGCAATTCCGAAATATAGCTTTGAAAAAACTTTTAAAATAAGCATAACGGACAGATAGTAATGGAAGGAAGGGCCTCCTATCAATTCAGACTGTGTTGTCTATACGGACGGCTCCAAAACTGAGGAAGGCTCAGAAGCTGGTATTTACGGGGCCAAGCCAAAGTCAACAATCTCACTGAGCTTAGGCGGTGTTTCAGGCAAAAATTTTTGCAAAAATCATTGCGTAAAGAAATTCATAAGGCAAGAGTTTAAAGGGAAAACCATTGAAATCTATTCGAATAGCCAGGTAGCAATCAAAGCAGTTAACTCGATGAAAGTTAACTCAAAGCTAGTATTGGACTGCTCAGAAACCCTAAATACACGGTACGAGGGCGATGAAGAGGCAGACTCACTTGCCGGAGCAGGAGCAAACAAAGCTCTGAATGGCCCAGAACCCTTTTGTGGTATTGCGAAAGTTATAAAAAAGACAAGTATCAAATCATGGATGCGAACCAAATCTCAAGAATGGTGGAACAACTCGCCAGGAATGAGATAGGCTAAAGAGTTTATCAAAAAACCATCGTCAACATTCACAGAATATCTACTGAGCCTGAAACTGGGCACTGGGCATTGTAGGCTCAACAAATACATGAGTACGATAGCTCTGACTGAAGAACTACTGAGCAGGTTCTGTCAGGAAGAGAAGGAAACGGCAGTATATACACATACTCTGTCACTGTGAGGACTTGTCAAGACTAAGGTTCCTTACGCTGGGTGAGGAAAAACCAAGAGCCCAAAGTTACACAGGAGATCTGAAAGCTAGCCTATGGAGTCTTATAGAGAAGGCGGGGCTAGCCAAAGAACTCTAAACGATTTTGAGGGCAGACACAACAGATCTGAAAAGGTCGCGGTGTAGAGGCAGACAGCTCGAAGGCCCCACTCTAAATCTAATCTCAATCTATCCTTTCCACGTTTCTGAACCGATTTTAATCCCTCCTTTCTAACACTAGGAATCCATTTTCTATGTTGATTATTTCGACAAATGTCAAATGATCTCAGTCAAATGTAACTAATGTCAGTGACAAGGGCTACACTGGGTGATTCTTAGTAGTTGCTGAATGAATAATGAATTCGCGAACCAAGTTTTCTTCATTGCAGGAGAAATGAGAAATATAGTCGACGAAAAAAAAAATTAATCTACTCGTATATTAAAAGGCGTTTAATGATTTCGAACATTAACGCGATCGCTTTGCTCGCACGTTAAAATATATCGATAATTAAACGCCTTCATTAATACACTAGTTGGTTGAATAACTATTTCCGTCGACCTCGTATTAACGACTAAGTTTAATGTATATGAAATCGTTTATTAATGACCCCTATTAATGAACGATTTGTTTATTAATGTACGATTGTTTTATAGGCAACCAAACATACACCGCGTGCATTCATTGTTTATGCTATAACTTACGGAATCTGCATTTAAATCGAAAATATGGATTTCATCGAAGATTTTCCGTTAACGGGTTCGCCTTTCCAAGTTTCTGACACGATTTTAATCTCTGTTTTCTAACACAAGGAATTTATTTTCTATGTTGATCATTTCGACAAATGTCAAATGTCACTAATGTCAGTAACAAGGCTACTGGGTGATTCTTAGCAGTTTCCCGATGAATGATGAGTTCGCGAACCAAGTTTTCTTCATTGCAGGAGAAATGAGAAATATAGTCGACGGAAAAATTTTGTAACCAACTTGTATATTAAAAGGCGATTGATGATCTCGAACATTAACGCGCTCGCTTCGCTCGCACGTTAAAATATCTCGATCATTAATCGCCCTCATTAATACACTAGTTGGTTGAAGAACTATTCATGAATCAACCAACGCCAAATAACCAGGTGACCAATGCCTTCATATTCATAACAAAATCAATGAACAAACACTTCGCCGCATAAAAAAGAACAGATTTCACACCCACTAGACTGTCATACATTTATTTGCCTTTTCCATGTTCGAAAATTTTGATTTTCCGTAAAAAATAACGAAACACACTCCCACATATAAGAATATAAAAAAAAACTTCTAGTGGGCAGTTGGAATGAAAAGATAAATATTTCTCTCATATTATTTCGATGTGATAAGGAATAATAATGTGTCACTTGTAAACCATATCAGAGTGTCATGTACTTGGAATATTGGCTTGTTGTCACTGACCTATGCGAATAGAAATCACAGGTGTTCTACTCCAAGAACAATTTTTATTTTATATATGATATGATTTGAATATTTTGTGATCGCAATGTTCGACAATGAAGTTTATTTTATCTTATTGAGGAGAACGACGAGTTGGATAAGAAGCAATTCTATCAGGGATGCCGCAACGTTTTCAGAGCATTCCTGCTATGGCTGGAGGAGCCTAGGCTGCAGGAGAATAACATTCTGCTCAAGAGTTTGCCGCCTCAGTACGATCCTGCTTTGTTGGCTACAATAATGTTGGGTAGTAAAGTCAGTAAATCAATACTATTTTATTTCGAGCTGCTCAACTGTATCGATTTTTTTAGACACCTTGGTACCAATTCATAGACTATGAGAAAATAAAAAAAGAACAGCAATTGCACGTTCGAATTTGGCGTATAAACAATTTCCGGGAGAAAACTAACGTTAACCAGCCGTTGTTGAATGCGGGAAGCAGAGTGGAAAGTGATGATCCTGTGGAGAGGATATTGAGGAGATTGACTTCTTATGACTGTCCGAAACCGGCTCCGGATATAGTTATTTCGGCTCCAGTCATCCCGATTATTGAGTTTGGTGGTAGTAAGTATTTTTGTCATTGAAGAATATTGAATATTTTGCGTTGCAATAACTTAGTTGATGGCTGCATTCAAACTTTTTATCAATAAATACTGATTAAACTGAATATATGATTTTTCAACAAAAAAATAAACAAAATATAAATTTATATCTCGGTATTAAAAATGAATCTTTGAAATAAACTAATGAGAAAAAGTATCTTGGGATTTGGTTTCATGATAAATTAAAGTGGGGCAAACATATAAATGTTTTGACGAAAAAAATATCTCGTATTATTGGAGCCCTGAGAAGATGTCCCAAGCTGGATAAAAAAGTTGCAAATATATTCTCATATACTCAGTCGTATTAACTATTTGATAAATGTTTGGGAGATACTGTTCAAAAAACAATTTTAATAAAATATCTGCATTATATAAAAAGACATTGAAAGTATTGTATCGTTTACCATATACCAACAAATCAATTATATAAAATAACTGAATCATTGTCATTAGAAGAAATGTTCCAAATTGAAAGACTGGAAATTACATACAATATCATAAGTAAAAGATTGAAATCCAATTTTATTTTAATACGAAACAATGAAATTCATAATTACTAAACTAGACAACATGGTTTATTCCATCTTGATATCGTTAATTCTTCTATAGGCCAAAAACGATTCACCCACGCTGCTCTTTTCGAATATAAAAAATTACCCGATAATATAAAAAAATTGCAGAAATACAATAAAATTCAAATACCAACTTGAAAAATTTATCATTTCTGAACGAAATAGATGATTGTTTTTTCAACTTTTGATTCATATTCGAATTGATTGTTGCTCACCAATATGGAATGATTATATACCAGAACTTGATTCTGACTGGAAGTCACATTTTCAATAAATAATAAATAAATAAATAAATAGTTATTGAAATAATATGAGTAGGTACTTTGGTATTTTTTTTGGATTGGGAGATGGAGTATCGGATAGATTTCGCTTGGCTGCAAAATATTTCAATAGTTGATGTTTGTCTTTGTCATTAGGGGATGAGATGTTCAAGTCTCTCGAGCAGTCTTTCAAGAAGGTGAAACAATCCGCTCACAGTCACGCCCTCAAACTGTCCGAGCATAAGGCCCTCGATAGCGCCTTCAAAGAGTTGATACCCCAACTTTACCGTTCGGTTTTACACAAGATCAAGAAAAGCGTGCCATGCAAGGGCAAAAATCAAACGGTGCATTGTTCGGGGTCTGCTGTGATAATTCTCGAGATGCAGGTTGGTAAAAAAATACTCTATTTCCGGATGGAAAATGATTTTTTCCTCCACTAGCTATAGAACCTACAATTATCAACTCCTTTTCAATGCGCAAAGTGTTTCTGAATGTATGATAAATTGATATTCATCAGAGTTTATACAAGTATACTTCTCTTATTCATGTCAATTCTCATTTCAATACTAATCATGTTGGTAAGTTATATTTTTATATCATAATACATCATATTATCTTATCCGATTTGAGAGATAATGTCAATTCTCAATTTCAGAGGATTATCATTTTTCATGCTCTCTTTTTGGATGCTCAACAGATATAATTCAATGTTCGACGTGGCAAATAGCCAGGAAAGTAGTTGTTTTCTGTTGAATATTCAGAATGATATTATGTGCATATACATATATATTTATATGAAGGAGAATGAAAATTCTCTACTTCAGAAGATTTACTTTTCAAATTCACATCGTGTGTGTTCAATAAATTTAATTCAATGTTCGTCGTGGCATATAGCCAGGAAAGTAATTGTTTTCTGTTGAATAAATCGAGAACGAATTGATTTTTCATCACATGGAGAATGCGAATTCTCAATGTATTTCTTTATATACAAGGTGTTTGTGAAATAAGTGCACATATTCAGCACATTATTATGATAAAGTCTAAGGAATATTCCCATGATAACAGATTTTTTTCTAATTCTTCTAATAAATTGGAAATTTCATCCCAAATATTGAACATAAATACGAGAAAAAAATCAAGTAGGCCACTTTAAAACAATTTAAATGATTGAACTCCGCGTGATTGTGCCTACAACATGGAAATTTGAACAGAGGTGACGTCAGATTTGCTACAGTGTAGAACTTTGGGTGGTAAAAGGGGTCTAACTTCAAATTTTATTTTGATCCCTAATTTTTCTTATTAGTGTCATTCGATAGTACACGTCGAGCTTTCTCAGTGTTTGAAATATTCGAACTTATTTCAATGCCACGCTGTATATTTATATATATATATATCCATTTGTTTATGTTTATAAATATATCTTAGAATACTCCTTTTTAATGCTTAAAGTGTGTTTTTACTACCAAGGTACTTTTCGTCATTTTATGAACCACCAGTCAATAAATACATAGCCACCACCTCTGTTATAATTAACCGGAATTCACTGTTCTGATGCGAGATTCGCAGGAATGGGACTCGAATCTAGTAGGTATTTGTCAATAACGAATTGTCATATGCTGTCATGGTCATGGCTACTAGATTTTAATTGGAATTGTGATTTCATGGTGACATTAGGTCAGTCAGTTTCACAGAACTATAATGATTGAAATCGATTGCTAGTGGTGAAAAATTCAATATACTACACATCGGTAGTGAAGAGTATTATCACCACGGACCTTATACACCTCGGCTGAAGCCTCGGGATATAATAATAATAATAATAATAATAATAATAATAATAGGTCTTCATTAGGCGAAAGTTTGGTATGAAACTATTCTTACACTTTAACCTAACAACTAATGTGATGAACATACATATCAATGTAGTATACAGCAGTAGAACTACAATTTGTATTGAAAAGAAAGAAAAAATAGCGGAAAAAAAATATTGATAAATGTGAAAGATAGATATATTATGACATATAGCTTCTTGTCATGTGTTAAGGATAATCTGTTTGGTTAGAAGAGAGATTCATTTAGTTATTTTTTATCATAAATTGATGATCAATTGTTTGGCTAGAAGGTTTTTTTTTTAAATTTGTCTTGAATGAACTTACTGACATTCTCGTCAGATGGTTATCTAAATTATTATAAACATGAGGAGCTCCGTAGGCGAAGGAAAATTCAAATCTCTTTGTATAGTGTGAAGGAATATGAATATAATATTGTGCACGAATACTAACATTATGGAGGTGCCCGCGAAATCTCAATTTCTCATAAAAATAAGATGGAGTTTTCGTTAACATGATTTTGTGACAGAACGTAGCCAAATGTAAATGACGACGAGACTTCATTCTCAACCAGTCTAATTTAGCAATGTTCTCAGACACGTGATCATATTTTCGTGAGTTTAGTATATATCTACAACAATTGTTTTCAACTTTCTGAATCCTGCAAGCGTCAAAATTATTAATATGTTTACCGTATACCACGTCACAATAGTTGAACTGAGATAATATTAATTGATCACAGAGCATTTTCTTCAAACTATTTTGCAAATTATATCGGTTGGTATATAATAGTTTTCATGCACCATAAGATTTCTGCAAACATGTGCTGATATGGTCAGAAAATTTAAGACCTGGATCCATCTACACACCAAGATTTTTTGCAATCTTTGTGGGCGCTAGAGTCACGTTACCAATTTTAATGATCAATCTCTCTTCTGCTTCAGACGACGGAATTTTGTTGCCAAATATCATGAGCAATGATTTCTTGGGATTTATATGCAAATTATGCTCGTTTGAACGTGATACGATATTTTCCAAATCAATATTCATCAGATGGCTCACATGATCCACATCATTCAGGGAAAAATCGTAGTAAATCTGACTGTCATCTGCGTGGTAATGATCCTTGCAATATTTGAGTTCATCATTAAGCTTGGCAGTATAAATCAAAAATAGCAGTGGGCCCAGTATAGATCCTTGCGGGACACCTTTGTGAATCTGCAACGGCGAGGAAATTTGTCCATTAATCATCACATGTTGGAAACGATTAGTCAAAAAATTTTCAAATAAGGAAAGGACACCTTGTCGGCAACCATAGTATTTCAATTTCGCATATAACAAATCGAAAGCTTTTGAGAAATCGATCATTATAAGTGCAGTCAGTTTTTTATTATCATAAGCTTCAATAATATCATCACATATAATCTTTGTCCCTGTGTTATAATGATATTCTTCACTACCTTGGTGTATAAATAACTATTCTATGTTGAATTTGTAGGAAGCTAGGATAAATGAGAGGATAGAGCACCAAGTGCAGTTGAACCGGAATACATACGAGTCACTGTTGACAGATGCTTTACAACCAGCTTCTCTGAATCTCTGCTCTTCTGCAGTAACAATTCGACAATCAATCAAGTAAGTAAAAACCGATTGTCTGAATGTAATAATAATGATATATAATAATAATATTCATCAATCAATCATGTAACAACATAATTGAAGAAAACAAAATCATGAACATAATATACATGTCACGACGAGCTTACACTAGCTCTATATCAAGAATCAGTCGGAAGAAATCCATGAAAATATGCATGCTCATATTTTAGAATACGCTCTCTTTATTTGATATAATTTCAGCAATGCGGTGTAGCCGCTTCTATTAAAAAGTAGCAATAACGTTGTTATTTCGAATAGAATACCTTGTACTCTATTGCATTTCTAGATTCTCACTGAAGAGCTGATTTCATCGATACATCACACTTGGGGTCTATCGGAAATGACTACAGAGATATAGGGTGTTCAAAATCGAGATTTCTCAACTGTAGGATTTGTTTCTGACGAAACAATTCATTATCGACCAAGACGGCTGACTTGTCCCTATCTCAATTGTTAGTTCACTAGTTACTGATATCTGATCGGAACAGATACAGAATTCTGAATCTTGAACCAAAATTATAGAACTTTAACCTATTTCAGATAATCAACGGAAAAATGAGTTTCATTTCTACATACATGGGACTTGAAAGTAGCATATTGAATAAATAAAGCGTTGGGAAGGTTTATAAAAAATAATAAAGTCAAAACTTCTAAATTCGAAAAATCAGGGGCAAACAAACTCAACTGTGGATCTTGCCCTAAGGTATTTATCGGAAAGACAGGTCGTACCTTCAATCATCGCATTCATGCACGTAAGATGAATTTTTTGAAAAAGAAAACATATGCAACATACGCCAACCATATATTAGAAGGAAACCATAGTTTTGATGATAATTTCGAAATTCTACACGTAGAAAATGAAGGAATGAAACTCAATCAGTTTGAATCATTAGAAATCAACAAACTCAAAAATTCTTACATTTTATTTAACGATCAACTAGACCTCAATAGTTCACCACCGTTGAATTTGTTTTCTTAGTAGGTAATAATATTTATTTGCTATCAACCCTTTCAAGATAAATTTTAATGTAGATATTGTGCCTAACTTCCGAAAATGAAGGTTTATCGAATCTGTCCACAGGTAACTAATCCTTCAGGTTGGGAAAGTAGGATATATAAAAGTTAGGCAAGCCAAGGTTAGTTTATTTCATTGTACCAGTATATCACCTGATGAAGCTACTGTGCTAGCTAACTAACCAAATAAATATAATCTTCAGCTTTTGATTAAACAGCAGTAACAGTGACATTATATTTTCTATTGATTGTTATCTTTTCAGAATGTTGCAGTCTCAACTCCAGTGTAACCCTGCAACAGCAGAACTTGGTGTCGAGCTATTTTACTACATATTATCCCTGATGAACGAGGAAATGAATGCTTACCCACCAACAAAAACGTTGTTTTCGACTTGCTTGGAAAATTTGGGACAGGTGATTTCCTCTTTCAGAGTAGTGTCTTCGGATGAATGAACAAAGAGATGTGAAAGACACAAAATTATTTTGAGATGTTTCCCTTCTAATTTCACGATCGAGAAACTTGGCAACATGGTAGTCGCTAACATTTTTGGTGTTTCACACCTCTTTGATACATTATCCAAGCGCAACTTGTATACAGGGTGTCCGTTAACCATAGACCATTCTCTAGCTGGAGATAAACATGACCTTTCAGAAAACTACAACTCGACCTCAGTGAAAAACGTTTACGAGAGTCTCTACCTTGGTCATCACATATTCAATTGCTCAGGAAAAAAAAAAATTCTCCCATTGTTGGTATATTATACAAATTGAGGTCTTTTATACCTCTTAAATACTTGAAATTGATTTATTTCAGTTTGATTTACTCTAAATTGCAGTGTCTAATATCGATCTGGGGTACTGCAGCAAAATCTGTTTTGAAACCTCTGAAATCTCTTCTAAATAAAGCCATAAAATGTATTTATAATCTACCATTTCTGGACTCAACATCTAGATTATACAAACCAATGGATCTGCTAGATATTGACTCTATCTCCAAGATGAAAGTATGCATTTTCATTCATTTGACTAAGAATTTAAAAAAAAGCACTCGAATCATACTTTCAATATCAATTCTGATACCCATGAACATCACACCAGACGCAGTGAACATTTGAAAACTGTCAATATAAAAACCCAATTCGGGTAAAAAATCGTTGTATTTTTGTGGAATACATATTCAACAGAATAAAATCTATTAGGTTCGTCACAAAATTTGAGTGTGAACTGGCTGGAGACAGCCCTGCACTGATAAGAGTCAAAGAGCTCGAAACCGGTCTGTAGGTGTCTAGCGTGGCCTGGCTGAATCGAAATCAATAGGCATTCAGGAAATAATCACTTGTATCTATATTTATTTATACGAGTCGATGAATAAATTTTGGAAGGAAGTAATTCAATATTCTGCGTGGCATCAGCCAGGAAAGTAGTTTGGTTTTCTTCGGAAATCTACCATTGTTGTTCATTTTATGAATATTGTGTGGAAACGACTGTGAGCCTTTTGAATTTCATTCCACTCTGAGCATTGTGGCTATTTCATAGTTGAAACCTAGATGTCCTGAATTTTCAAGATTTATTTTTACGAGTTACCTATACACCGAGTGGCAAAGTAGTCTGCGGGCGGTAAAGTGCCACTTTGCTACTGCACACCCGTGGTCGTGCATAAAAGAAATTATATTTTTCATGAAAGTTACAATATCTCGAAAACCTTGAGGTTTTCATGAGGTCAACTTATGGTTTTCTGATCTGATAGGTTATGAACTCGCTCATCACCAGCTAGAGTATGATCCATGGTTTACCGGACAGCCTGTATATTCCGTGAGTGCAATTTTATTTCAGTCGCACATTTGCGGTGTGGAGTACGAGATGCCGAGACTGCTGCAAAAAATTCTGAAAGAACCGAACTGCGGACAATATTTGGCGCCGCACTTTTGTCCCAGCAATGTTGGCTCTGCGAATTTGTTGCTCATGTACTCGACAATATGCAAAGAAATGGGCCAGAAGTACGATATCGCATTTGCCTTGTTATCAAAGGTAATAATTATTATTGATGATCTTTTGAATTCTTACTCTAAGGTGATTAGCAGAACCTTTTACCTGTCTCTCCTTTTTATTTTTTTGAGTGAGCTCTCCCTGTTCTATAGTATAAGTTCTGATCCATTACCTACTTTGAGTACAAATACAAACGAATGCTAGACCATTATCGTTCTAATTGAAAACCTTTATCGACAATATTTTCAGTAGGTCATCAGTGACCTCTTTTTCCAACTAATGTATTTATTTGTTATCTCAACCCTAGAAATTTTTGTACTTCTGTCAAGAAGAAACTATTTTTTCAACTTTGTAAATAAAAATGTCTCATATTGAAACACCAAGTATGAATATTATTCATATTCACACATACAGGGTGTTTCAAAAAAACCTGACCCCCTTACTAGGGTAGGTAGAACACTGCAAAATAAGTTGGGTTTACTCAGTAAAAAAATTCATTACGGCATCCGTTATCAAGATACAAGGTGTTGAAAAAAGGATTTTTTTACACATTTTTCAAGATTATGTCGAAACTACTGGCAACATTGTGATGAAATTTTGTATGGATGTTTCTTGGAATCTGACACATCGCATGCCTTTGTTTCTATATCTGACTCTCATAGAGGGCGCTCGTTACACGGTTAGTACCGAGTAGTTTTGAACATAACTTTTTTGAGGTTAGATTTTTCAATTCAAATTTGATGTGAACTTGAACATCATTCAATTTCACACCAAAAAGGTACTCTTGGTAAAACTCGATATTGTGTTCCGTTTCATCTATTTATTGAAAACCGAAAACAGCAATACATTTCTGATGCTAAACTTATTGATTTAACAATGAATCACAAGAATAACATCGAAACAGATTTGACTAAGAACATGGATTACACAGTTTTGTTGTATCTTGAGCAGATGAAAGTCTAAGCTACATAGGTAAATTCACGTCTAGAGTTGTGAGACAGAATCGAACATCACTTAAATGACCTAACAACTGATCCTCAACTGTTTAGAAGAATAATACATTCTTAAGAAAAGAATATAGAATCGTGTATTCGTCGAAACGTAGGACATTTTGAACACTTACTCTAACTGATTCAATATTTCATGTTACTTGTCAAATATCTCTTAATTTTCAACTTATGATTCTTTGTTCCATCAATAACTTCAGCACAAGAATGATCCTATTGTTTTTGAATCTGAATAAGGAGGTAATTGAACTCAATAAAATTAATTTTATATCACCATCAATACTACTCCAATATTTTCAAATCAAAATATTCCGAAAACGGAACATAGTATCGAGTTTCGCCAAGAGTTCCTTTTTGGTGTAAAATTGAATGAGGTTTAAGTTCATATCATATTTGGATTGGGAAATCTAACCTCAAAAAAGTTATGTTCTAAACTACTCAGTACGAACCGTGTAACTAGCGCCCTCTATGAGAGTCAGATATAAATACAAATTCATGCCATGTGTCAGATTTCAAGTAACATCCGTACAAAATTTCATCACAATGTTTCCAATAGTTTCGACATAATCGTGAAAAATGTGTAAAAAAGTAATTTTTTCAACACCTTGTATCATGGAAACGGATGCCGTTAAGACATTTTTTCACTGAGCAAACCCAACTTATTTTGCAGTGATCTACCTACCCTAGCAAGGGGGTCAGGTTTTTTTGAAACACCCTGTATATATAGTTTACATAGGTAGTATTGTTTATTGTTTATTAAAAAACTAGCGTCCAGTCAGAAATAACATTTTGGTATGAGGAAGTTGATTACAAACAACAATAATAAAATAATATAAGGTGACAACAACGAAAAAAAAAATCTAAAATATCTAAAAATGCGAAATCGATCAAGTCATAAAAATAGCCACAGGGACTAATCAGTAGATGGCAAAGTATAAATTTTATCCATTTCGTAATGACATCATGTGTTTTTTTAATTCAATTTTGAATTTTGAAATATGTCTGCAATTGTTTACATTATGTGGTAATTTATTAAATTCAGCTAGAGCAGCGTGAGTAAATTTTTTTTTTGATAATTATAGAAGTAAATAAGTTTGATTGTCTCGTGTGATGACCGTGAATTTCTGAATTTCTTATCAAAATAAAATTGGATTTCAAATTATTGTTCATTATATTATATGAAACTTTAAGAGATTCTATTTTGTATAATTCATCCAATGAAAATTTTTCTGTTATGGCATACAGATCATTTGTTGGGATATCAAATGAGAGGCGATACAATACTTTCAGTGCTTTCTTATAAAGTGCAGATATTTTACTGAGAAACAAAAAAATTATGAGTGATAAGTAGAAACAAATTGATGTTTCACACATCAGTAATCCTGTGGAATAATAGAACCATAATAGGAAAATACAGGTTCTTCAACAATGATTGAGAACCACGTGATAACTTCGCAATCAGGACTACATTCTTATCACTTTAACATGGATGGAAAAGAGATGCAGCTTCAGAAACGGTCACAGGGCACTATATGATCATTGTAGTCCCGCTAATATATGAACTCACTATTGAGTGAAAATATACCATAATGTCGATTGAAAGTAAAACGAAATTGATATATCCACATCTGAATTGAGGATATAATATACCAGGAGATGGTGACAAGTGACGATCTCCCATTTCACAATGCATGCATTATTAAGGCTTCATAATTAACCCCAAAATATGAACGAAAGATGGGTTCCTGGTTCGCGATTTCCGTATGGGTTACGTGCAAGAACTGTCAGATGACCGACCCTGGAGTTGAAACATTGAAACACAACCTCACTTTTCTTATTTCTTTACAAATGATTGAAATAGTTTTTCACAATCATTTTGGCATACGATAGATGTTTTTCGGCTGTTGTACAATGCACAAAAAATGCAGCGGCAGACAAAGGAATCCGGTTGGTACATTATGATTTAAAAGTAAGTACCTACTATAGTCACTCACATATAGTTTTTATTTTGAAATTTGGTAATTTCTCTGATTTTTCATCGGAATTCCTTCTGCCATAGGAACTTGCGGCGAAACTCAATTAATCTCAGGGGGTAGTTTATATGGGTCCACACTGTATATGTGGTTTCTGGGTAAGAAAAACTCGCTAAGTCGGACAGACCAAGTTTTAATTCCACCCAATTGTAGCATGCGTCTAAAACTGACAGAGAAAACCAAATACAACATTTTTTCCCACGATATGATCCGAATACAATTGACAAATAAGTAGCAAAGATAATCGAGTCCAGTAAACTATAAGCAATATATTTTAATGACGTAACTCACCTGACAGATCAGGCACACTGTTGCTGAAATAATTATATTTCAGGACAGATGAGAACACAAAAGATTCTGTGCAGTAAATGGCAAACACTTCCGAAATTGGAGAAAACTTTTTGGTTGACGATATCAGCTTGGATATATTTTACGCACTGAACACTCCCAACAGCTACAACGTTCGAAATTTTCACTTTTTTATAAAAACGGGAGCTCGCTTCTTTCGGTATTCGACAAAAACTAGATACAACTAATTAATTTTGAAATGAGGATTCGGGCACAGGGGAGTACCCGTGGGGATAATGATAAAGTATGAAATGCTATATAATTGGGGTGATTATTTTGGGAAATGACTGGAATATAGCAATCTCGTATTGGTTTCGCTACAAGCTAATAGGAATACTCGTGAAATTTCTAGAATAATGCAAGAAGATTGGATTCATATGCAATCAAACGGGAGGACTGGTCTGACATGCTGACGAAATATGATTGTGTGTTGTAGACATTTTCAATCTATAAGATGCAAATATTATCGAGGAAACTGTAAAGTAACTAGGCAGAGATTATTAGACATAGACCTCACTCATTTTCAATCCATTAGCAGAATTATATAGCTTCAATTGCAGAAGTGGCAGAAGGAATTTTGATAAGAAATGATATTCCTTCGTCTCTCGCTGCATTTTTTGTGCATTGTACAACAGCACAATGAGAAGGCATGCTTTAACTATTTAAATCCTTTGATTCCTCTGTAAAAAAATAAAAAAAGTGAGGTTGTGTTTCAATGTTTTACAGAAAAGTCAGGTTGTGTTTCAATATTTCAATTGAAACAAATGACTCATTGACATTTCTCAGTAAACCAGCGCCATGTTTTGGGTCGATATTATACCTCGCCTACTTAGTTTTCCTTTAGTTTGGCAATGGCTGGACATTGGACATACTAGGACGTGACTATTAAATCGGGTATAATGAAGAAATCGTTGTTCGTTTCAGTTTGAAATCGATAATTGGCTGAACAATAAGACACCGAAGTTGAGCCAAAGGTCCCAGTTCATACAGTCCGTGATAAAAGCGTTGACCACGCTGGGGTTCGAACCGCCCACGGACTCCTCGACGTTGCACGGACTGTACCGGAAACACTTGCTCACCGTGTTCGAACACCAATTCCCGGAGCATTACGGTGAGATACTGTTGCATCTTCTGAAAGGCAGCACGGGGAATCCGGAGAGCAACCTGCTTGCGCTGTCTGTGTGGATGGACGTGTTGAATTCTCTGGCTCGGCCTGTCGTCTTGAATATAAAGTCTCCTCTAAGGTATGTCAACGAATCGTGAAACTATGTTGAAGTACTCCATAGAAGGATTTATTTCATTAACCCTTAACCTGAAACATAATACTTTTAGTGCTAATGCGAAACATTGGTCTATTGGACCAGTATTGGTAAAAATTGAAACAAATCTCAAGCAAATGTAGCATTTGAAAATATTGCAGGAAATTAAAGGTTTTAATGGGTATGAACAAGCAAGGAAATATACATACATAGATATACTCAGGTGGAATTGAATATTATCTGATGCATACAAAAAATGATATTATATACGGTTTATAAGGCAACAACAAACATAAATATGATTCTATCGATGAAACGTAAAATATGCTGCAGTTACTAATTTTGGAGACAGGTAACAAAAACTTTTCTACTACACTCCAAACAAATAGCCTTTGAGCAACGCACACATCTATAATTTGTCTTCCTCATTTTCGACGATGGCTTACTAGACCTACAAGTTCATGAAACTAACCTTACTACGACGTAAACACTATAGCGATCGCTACGATACTGAAGGACTATGATTGTTATACACTCTTCAGAAGGTATTCAAACGAACATGCGCATTGCACTTACAGTGTTGCCACGATTAGCAGATATTCTTTCGCGTTGGTCTGTTAGACCAATGTTTCGAGTTAAGGGTTGAGTTACTAAAAATGAATACTTAATTATTAATTATTAATGGCGCTTCGCACTTAGTATCAATTCTCAATTTGATTTTGTATCATTATTTTTTGACCCACTGAATACCTGTTTTTGGATGTTTATGAGTGCAAAAAATCTCCAATTGTTGGTATACACTAGAGTTCCTAACTGTACTTGACACTGCTGTTTTGACGTTTTTTGTATATTAGAGTACGGACACTGGACAAGCAGTGACAGTCAAACATAACCACAAACGATTTTGAAGGAAATCATATGTTTTGCCAGACAAGGACAAGAATATGTTTTTCGCTTAAATAAAGGATCCTCGCATCTTCGTTCCTTCACAACTCCTGGGAAGAGTACATCCATATATTTTTCTCTGCCTTTGATTTATGTATGAGAGTGCATAGCGTCTCCTCGAGTGGGTAAATGGGTACGATAAATTGAGAAGATTATTTCTTCTCGAAATATTGAATGATGAGGCTGAAGGACCTCAATGGAGGTCGATGTTGGTATGTACATACACAACAACGAAATACATATACTATCCCTATGAAATAAGTTTCTCATATGTAGGTGTACATATACGTTCAGTTGAATATTTTTTCATCACAAAAGTTCAGAATGGGGTAGAACATTTCAACCAATGAAGCATACTTTTATTTCGTATGGAACAATTTCACTTCTACAAGAGTGGTAGGTAATTAGTTATTAATAAATGAACAAATGATATGGCAACAATAACATCTGATTTTAGTTAGGATAAATAATAAGGTTCTCCAAGACATACGGAAGTAGGTATAGATGTATTTCAGCGCTCGACTCACTATAGAACGCCGTTCACATTGCTAAATGGGATTGTTGGTTTGAACCCGGCCGTCGGAAGATTATTTTCAATACCTAACATGAATGGTGCACTCGTTAAGCGTTCTTGTTCTGTGATCTGATAATATCTTGGTACCCTAGAAGTGGTTCAAAATCCACTAGGAGCTATTTAGTCGTCTAGCACTTCTTAACTACGCATGAACATGCACATCCAGACTTGGGATTTCAACTTTGAAGAAGCGATACACGAACAAAATATTCAACTCTTTGATAAAGATACATCAATATTTGGTATCTAAAGAATTCTTGGGAACAGGGATGTGAAATCTGTTTGAGTCAATCAATTGAGGAAGTTGCTGTTGCTGTTTCATCATCAGATGATCGACCATGATCTCCATGGCTATGTGATCTCTGTTCCATCATTCCATCACAAGCAATTACCAGAGTCTAAATTGGAATAAGGCTCTTTTCGATACTCGCTCAGTTTATAAATTGTGGGTTGGGCTCTTTCTCTCAATACGATCCTATTCATCAACATCAAATCTTCCGTTCTGCAGTGTACTTAATAAAAATGCGTTGAAAAATGTTTTATATCCTACCAAGAAATTTGAATACCTCACAAATTTTGTGGCCTGAACCTATATATTCCATGCCGACCGTATCATATTCTGTTTCCATTTTTGTAGAATTACGTTATCCGATGGAAATTCGTATAGAGTGAATAGATTTACCGCGTGTTCTCACAGTTGGAAACTGCATCAACTTGCATCTTTCTCCTAATTCTCTCACTTTGTCAAACCTTTGAAATTTATGTCATGTACGTTCCTGTACTGTCAGTTCCCGCTTTTTCCATCAATTTATAGGTGCGTTTTGTTGTGCCATTCCGGGAGTGATAGAATGGGTGGGCCCAAGAAAACGGATCGGCGCCAGACAATGCGAATATTTGGAACTGTAGAAACATATGTTCAAAAATTACTTAGTGAATTGAATATATTTACTCTCAATAATTAGTATTCCTCCGTTCTGCGGCTCTCTTCAATTTCTATTTATTAGTATTAGCTTGTATGCGATAAATCCTGACAATTTTTCATTTTAACCCAATTCTCATGTCACAATAATAATCACAAGTCACTTTTATTTGTCATTCTAATTTTCAATCCTTCTCATGAGGAGGAATGCGAATGGGAATGGAAATGGGTTTGAATGCACAACAAAACGTGTACAATGCCAAGAACCATATTGAGTTATGGCACAACAAAACGCACCTTATTTGTGGTTATGTCTGATTGTCAGTGCTTGTCATAGTGTCCGTACTCTAATATACAAAAAACGTCAAAACAGCACTGTCAAGTACATTTAGGAACTCTAGTACACACTACACACTGTTTTACCACTAACCAAACCGATTTTTTACACCTCGACACGTGTTTCGCTAACTATGTTAGCATCTTCAGGAGAAGATCAAAACTATATGCTCTATCCTAGTGGGCTACTTATATACTAAGAATATGTCCACCCAACTGTGAATGGACAATAACCGCCAAGTTAATGTTATTCATGGTTGAGTTCACATGTTATATTACTAAACTATACAGAGGGCTAAATGGGATAGGTCCATTATCCTTATTCATTACTCTATTACTTTTCCTGAATATCTCTAAGCTTTTATATGCATCTAATTTTCTGACATTATTAACTTACTCAACTAATTTAAGGTTATTAATACGTGTATGGATTCTATTATCCACAAATTGAGTAATTATTAGAATTAACTTGAACTCTTTATTTTAATTATTAATGACAATTCACATCAATCATAATCTGACATAATTCCCAAATGTTATATAATGAGGGTTCTGAACCATACTTCAAATGTGATAAGTGTTCTTTGAACCTTGTTTTTATGGAACGCCTGGTTTGGCCTATATATGTTTTATCACAATCTTTACAACTAATTTAATATATTCCTGACTTTTCAAGGGTGTCCACCTCATCTTTTGGATTACCTAATCAATTGCATAACTTTGACCCAAACTGATAAACGCTTTCAAAACCTAAGTCTTCAAAAACCTTATCAAGTCCTCTTCTGTACTTGGGATTGAAGGGGATTGGGATTTTTCTCTGATTGTTTTTATCCGCTTGAAAAGTCATAGAATTCCTGAGTGATAACTTAAATTTATGTCTACGTATCAATTTATCTACTATGCTATAATGTTCAAAGAGGATTTTGGAAGAATAATCAAAAGATTTTTTGAAGATTATTTTCATTTTTGAATTGATATAAGTGGTTTCAACGCTTCTTTATATTGACCTCCCCAGCCTATTATGCCATAAGCCAGAATAGATTGAAAAAGACTATAATTGAAACTGATAATCAAATTCCGACTGACAATGTCTCTCAGTAACCTGAATTTATAGTGTTTTCCTTAGTTTTCGTATCAATTCATTAATTTGTTTATGCCATTTGAGCTTGCAATCTAAGTGTATTTTAGGGACCAGCTCAGGCAATATGCGCAAAATCGCCAGGTTCTGCAACACCAAGAACTGCTGGAAACTGCTGAATTGTTGTCGAAACATTTCACTCAAGAAAGACTCCAGTATGGCATCTACGGGCTATACCCCAAATGCCGGAACTACATGGACGTTTTCGTGATCCTTTTGGGACTGATAGGGCATGGAATTATCGTCAGTATGATTGACACCCATCAAGGTCAGTTGTAATCTGTGAATCTATGAATAATAATACTAATATAAGTTTATTCAAAATAGCCACAATGCTCAAGGTGGAATGAAATGTTAAATAAATACAAAAAGCTCAAACTTACATTCACATTTATAATATTAGTAGACTGAGACATAACCACAAATGATCCATCCCATCTATTTCTATCAAATTTTGAATTTCAAGATACATCTTGCTCCTAAATAGCAACATTGTACTCCTAATATTCTTCAATTTGTTATTCAAATCTAGTTTGTTTTTCCAATTATAAAAGTTTGCTATAATTTTGTTCATTAAAACTTCGAATTTTACTAGAAATTACTATATTTCACGCTGGCCGCTTTATGTTTTCTTTTCATTTTCGTAAGTGTTCTATTTGATTTGAATTCCCAGTATATTTGCAGATAGAAGACACAATCTTGCATCTTATTATTCTCCCAATTTGTTATCAATGGAGACCTCGCTCCAAATCGACATCCTTAAAAGCTCTACCACTGTAGAAGCAATATTATGGAAGTTTGATTACTCAAATAGCTTTATTTTGGTGGAATCTGATTGAAGGATTCCTCAGCTTTCTAATGAAAGTTATTCAGAAGAAAAATAAGTTTTTGTGAACTTCACATCTGTGTTGGGGAATACCAAATTTAGTGTACTTCGGTACCCCAATTATATTAATAAGAAAAAGTCCAAGTCATTTCGCAACTCAATATATTCAGTTTCAGCAATCGAGTTACAGACAATAAGTACAGCGGTTGAAGTTCTGATGGAGAATTGTCCTCGATTAGAGGGATTCAATGGTTTTTATAAACGACACATCACGTGACTTAGGCAACGCCATAAAGTAAGATAGAAATATAAAAAAATAGGACAACAATAGTTTGTGGAAATGCATACAATACCCAAGGCACATGAGGTGTCATCATTTTGTAATATGTTTATTATAACACGAGGTAACTAGAGCAATGTTTAATGCGATGTGAATAAAATATGATATACAGTGTGATACAATAATATATAACATAAGTAATAAGTAATCATAGTTATAGCACTTTACAACATCTGACTGGTTGAAAATCATGTTTCTGCATCTGCGGTACGTCAATACTGAAATTTCAATACTTTCAATAGTGTCAGAATAGGCCAATCAAATAATTATATTTTGAGGAATTAATTTCCAGCAAGCTGGAAATCATTTAATTACCTTCATTCGGTCCCAAATGCGTGTAATCTAAGTTTGCACCATTCCAGGAGTTGAGCTTAACTTTTGATAACCAAAAAACCGCCACATTTTTGCACTTTTTTAATTTTTTTGCGCTTATAGCTGCAAAATGGTTCATCGGTCGAAAAATGTCATTCTATTCAATAATATAGAAGGCAAAATTCTGCGTCGAATGACATCTGAAAACATCAAATTCCGTTTAGTAGTATAGCCGAAATCGAATGTTAAAAAAGAAGAAAATTTCGTAGTTCGGTGCAACTGCAACGGCCAGTCATGCTCGAATTCAGAACAATTCGAGGATGAGGATGTGACCTTCATTGCCGTAGAAGCAGAAATAGGTGAGGATAGTCCCTTTGAAGATGATCCAGATGAAGGGGGCCTCGATATGCAATCGCGCCGTCTGAGCTTCTCAGAAAATGCGAACATGAATGCTGCCACATTTTGTGTTGCATGCCTATTATATATTGATTTATGCCACAAACTGTTCATCAATGAAGTGTTTTGGTTCCTTCATTGTACCTTAACTATTAGGAACTATGATTATGAAATTTTATTCTCTACAACTTTTATTCAATGAATTTTTTCAATAGGAGTATCTGTTTTCAAGAAATGTCGTCTTGGAAAGCCGCAAAATGTAAGTTTGCACCGAACTACGAAATTTTCTTTTTTTTAACATTCGATTTCGGCTATACCTCTGAACGGAATTTGATGTTTTCAGATGTCATTCGACGCAGAATTTTGTCCTCTGTATCATTGAATGGAATAACATTTTCCGTCCGACGCACCGTTTTGCAGCTATGAGCAAAAAAATAAAAAAAGTGCAAAAATGTGGCGGTTTTTTGGCTATCAAAAGTTAAGCTCACCACCTGACATGGTGCAAACTCAGATTACACGCATTTAGGACCAAATAGAGGTATTAAAACGATTTCCAGTTTGCTGGAAATTAATTCCTCAAAACGGTTTTTTTCGATTTAATTTTATTAGCCTAGAAGTATCACAAGTAAAAATGGTATATCAATGAATTACTAAATCTTCGAATAATGATCAAGAGACTTTCATGAGGAACGTGAAAACACATAATAAACTGGATGTGAGGGTTCCAAAGTCTGGGGCTACTCTCGAACCGTCGTAATGGTATTCATCATAACTTTGTTATTAGGTCTTTATATTTATTTATAGTTGTTCATTTCTATTTCCTCACTACCCATAATATATCATGCTATAATAAATATTGTGATGTTCGGAACGTCTTGTGATTTCTGCTACCATTAAACTATCTGTGTCTAATTATTTGAAGAAAGGTACGTTATTTTGATATTGTTGTATTCCGCCATTTGTAATATGTATCTGTATTATTGGAAACTTTGACCAGTTTTTATCCTTGGTGAGCCGTGTATGCTTTAAGAGTATGTATTGAATGATTTATGTTCCCTATTGTTCTTTTTTACTAGGAAAATGCTTATTATTACATAGAATTTTTATTTATGATATCGACTGTGATTTCTTTGTTTCCACACAGTTATGGTTTCATCCACTTAAAGAACTTCTTTGGATTATTTTCCATTTCAGGAAAAGGTTGAAACTTCATCATTTTATTCTTACAAAGTCATCTGGATCGATTTTTTGCTCTCAAATGAAATATATTCCTACTTCCTACTGCAACGATCAAACTTCTTTACCAAAGAATGATGAATAATAGTGTTGTCCATGAATAAAATAATCTTAAATATGTAACAAAATTGTGACAAGTAATAAAATTGACCACGATCACAAACATCATTATGATTTTCAACTAATCAGAACTGGAGCTCACAAAAATTAATTTTTCTTCTGAGGAACTTGCATTAGTGAGCTAAGTAGACTCCTACAATCAGATTTTATCATATATAATACCACAAGTGATTGTTACGACAGTTTGTTGCCTAGTAATTTCGTGAATGACATTGTTATCAAAACTACGAGCCGTAGGCGAGTAGTTTTGGATCAATGTCATGAGCGAAATTAGAGCAGCAAGCTGGAGTATGTCAATCGACGAATATTTCCAGGAAAAATAGTATCACGAGTTGTATTCGTATGACTATTTCATGATTGAATGAGACAATAATAGATATAAGAAACTTGAACTGCGAAGAAGAACATAATGATAGTAATGAAATACAAAATTTACTTTTTTAGAAATTAACTACCTACTTATAGTTATTCACAAAGTGGAATGTACAATTTTGATAAACAGTATTTTTTTATTATCTTGGAGATGGTTGCTCTCAAAAGAGTGTATACAATTACTATCCAATTCAAACAAAATAAAGTGAATTTATGTGACATGGAATAAAAAGATATCGTCGCCGAGGGCTCGAACCATCGATCTTCGTATCCCCGCGCAACAACCCTAACAGTTGCGCTACATCAGCTAGTAATTATATCGGTCAGTCACAATAACTTGAGTAATTGAAGAAGATTACTTCAAAAAGGAATTTGAATTCTATTATTGTTGTGTCAGACCGTCAAAAAATATGCAAACTTTTTAAATTACACATGAAACGTCCAGTCAGAATAAAATTGTCTCGCCTTTCGTACAAAATATCTCACTAACGCGAATTATAAGTAAATAAAATAAAGTAGGAACTTAGGTTATTGTCTCAGATTTGAATCCAAAGCAATCTTGACCAGACACGTTGTCAAAATGTTATCGCTGATAAACAAGGTTAGTTGGTCACGTGTGGGTCAATTCGGCTTCTGTATTGGTAGAGCAAGTCCGATAAAATTTAATAAACAAAAAATATCGCTAGAATACAGAAGAAACCATGAAAATGGTCGATTCTGATTGGTTCTCGAGATCAAGAGTGGAATAGTCAAAATAAAGCCATTTGAGTAATAAAACTTCCATAATGTTGCTTCTACATTGCTAGTGCATCTTTCCTATTTCTTTATTTATTCCTGTTTTCATTTCCTTAGTTGACAACACACATAACGTAAGATACACTGTATTTCTATGAATCTCAAATGGATGGTCGTTGGAAAATTGCATAACTCGTGCGAAATAAAACATTTTACACACTATTTTAGGTTTGTTAGGGGATAAATTGTGCGAAAAGATCTGGCCGTGTATCAGAGACATGTTCGCCCCTTGGCTGGTGCCTTATTCAATGCAGAATTTGAAAGAGAACATGGCCTCGTGGATACAACAGCTCGCCGATGACCGAACAGTGTTGCTGCCTTGGATCTCTGCCGATGTCAGTTTCGCTCAAAAAACCCTCGGAGCTTTTCGTGAATGTATTTCTTTCGTCATTCACACTTTACCAGGTAAGAAAACCGAAGATCGATTGCTGATTATTTAATAAAAGATTGCTAAGGGATAATCAACATTTTAATCTGATTAATCATGGACTGATCATCAAAAGATCTTTAATTCCTAAATTGTAAAGTGTTTTTTAATTATGTATGTTTCAGCTTCTAGTAGTATTTTGAGCTACATTTGGCAGTGGTATGTTGCGTGTTATGCACATAGTTCTGTAAAAGACCACATATTGTTACCGGTACATCAGACATTTTTGACATTTCCTTGGTACAACTTCTGGCCATCCGTTGTCGACGTTGAATGCATGCTTAAGGTAATTATATACCTTATAAATTACATATCTATATTTTTGAATCAACACTTGATAAAACATAGAATAAATTGATGAGTGTTAATCGCCATTTTTACCCCTAGATGTATTTTTTCATATCTGTCAGATTTCTCAGTAGGTTTTGGCACATGAATGTAAAGTCGATGTTCAGACACCCAGCCGGTTGAGAAATAATTACAATGATGCTAGTCCCTTTATGGGACTAGTTAAATTACCACATGATCACGTGATATAGATTTTGGGAAGTAGCGAATGGGCTTATATCACAAAAAAAGTTCATTCCATAATTCGATAGAACTCACCCAAACTAGCTCACCACCGCAAACCGTTTCTTGATGTGAGCTCCCTACGTTTTATAAAAAATTATTGAAATCCCCGATTTTTCGGACCTCTGAAAACGAGGCGATGATGTGACGTCAAAACCCTAATAATGAAACAAGACTATTCCAGACAGAGATGAATGATACATGATTTCTGACAGAGTAAATTAGCGTGAGATCACAGTTGAAAGAATTAATATATCAGTTGCCTCAGTTTCCGTCGGGCGGTTGGTATTTTCTTTTAACTATGGCGAGATGAGGTTTCTACGTCATAAGAGGGTCCGTTTTCAGAAGGTACTATTATTTATGTCCAAAAATAAAACATTCCAGTTAATTTTCCGATCGAATCATGTCGTCAATCATTATAAATGTATAAAATGATCATTATAAACATGGTTTGAGTTAAAAGTTCTACTAAGGTGTACACGCCCATTGCTGCTATAGATACTTCATGTCATTTTGAATTGTTATTATTCTTTATATTGGTTTTATTACGATCTGCATACAACAAATGAAAATCAGCTTGACATTAAGCGAATCAAATCTGACATATAGCGAATTTCATTAGAATGAACTGATGGAGTATTTCTGCACTCAATATACAGGGTGTCCCTAGACCAGTGGGACAGTTAAATATCTCCTGAACCAATAGGAATTTTCAAAATATTATAATTCCACATCATATCGCATTATGAGTGCTAACTTCAGGAATGACTATATTTTATACGAGGGGCGCAAGTAAGGCTCACAAAATCGAACATCAATTTTTTCAAATGGAACACCCTGTATTTCATTGCATTTTCATATTCTCCTTGAAGAACTGAATTCAACGACCTAGCACACTTGGGGTCTAGCGGGAATGATTTCCGAGATATAGGGTGTGGAAAATCGAGATTTTTCATTTTTGGGAATTTTTTGTGTCAAAACTATTCATTATTGGTCAAAACGGCTTACATGTCCATATCTTAACTTTTGATTCACTATTTACTCGTATTTAATTTATACAAATACAGGGTGGTGTAGAATTCTCAGTTTCAGTCGGAATTCCACACCATCCTGTATTTGTTTCAATTAAATACGAGTAAATAGTAAATCAAAAGTTAAGATATGGACATGTGAGCCGTTTTGACCAATAATGAATAGTTTTGACACAAAAAATTCCCAAAAATGAAAAATCTCGATTTTCCACACCCTATATCTCGGAAATCATTCCCGCTAGAGCCCAAGTGTGCTAGGTCGTTGAATTCAGCTCTTCAAGGAGATTATGAAAACGCAATGAAATACAGGGTGTTCCATTTGAAAAAATTGATGTTCGATTTTGTGAGCCTTTCTTGTGCCCCTCGTAGAAAATATAGTCATTCCTGAAGTTAGCACACATAATGCGATATGATGTGGAATCATAATATTTCGAAAATTCCTATTGGTTCAGGAGATATTCAACTGTCCCACTGGTCTAGGGACACCCTGTATATGTTTCTTACTTATTGGCATGGAATTTTTTGACGACAGGTTGAAAACCCATCATTTTTGTTGGGTTGGGACAGAATATGTATGTTGCTCAAAAGAACGCAAAGGATTGAAAACCACCAAAAACTATGTTCAAATTGAAAAATGTAAAGAAAAAAATATGGGACGTAGGGCGAAGAAGAAGAAATATTGCAAATATACCTTCTGACTTTTTTTATGAAATCATTGTCAATGGGATATGCACCATCATCTTCATCTGATGTATGGCTCATTTGAACATTAATTCACTTAACACCTTGGTCTCTGCCATGATATACAGGGTGATTCACATAAGAACCGACATAGAGCAGGGGCATGTAGGGGGTCCCAAAATATGGCAATTCAACGCAACTTACCTCTATACCAAGTTGCTTCCCTAAGGAGATGTAGGCTTTGAGAGTGAAGTAATAAATTTTGAAAAAAATCAATATCTTCGTTATTCTTCAACTTAAAGCAACCAAATTTGGTACACTTTGTGGATGTATTTAGGGCGTTACTTGACAGTAACTAGAGTTTAATTGAAATTTGTAGCGCACCATTAATATTCAACATAATTTTGTTAACACTTGATGGATTTCAAAAATCTTTGCTTTGTTTTGTGGGCAATTCAATTCTAAAACTTTTCTTACTCCAGTAATTTTTCGAAAAACCTCATCATTTTCATCAAAAACTCGAATAAATGAAAACGCGCGCTCTAGGTGTGTTATTTAAAATCATCGAAAATTCAAAAGTTGGCTATGAAAATAAACGTCAAACTTGACAATGAGGCAAGTGAGTTGTTCAATTAAGTAATTGTTGTTTGAGTGTTTTTAAAATAAACGGGAAGTTTTCTTTTAACGAGCAAGTTGACATGCTGTTAGTGTTATGCCTATAACTCCTTAGGGAAGCAACTTGGTATAGAGGTAAGTTGCGTCAAATTGCCATATTTTGGGACCCCCTACATGCCCCTGCCCTATGTCGGTTGTTATGTGAATCACCCAGTATAGTCCAACAAATAGATATATGAAACATAAAACATAAAGAACGAGGTTATTTTATCATCATCATTTTATGTCAGGCGGGTCTCTTTCACGTTGAGCAGACAAGCAACACGTGCTGATTAATCTTTTCTTGTGTAGGGGAGATAGGGAACAATTACTTTGAACCTGATGACATTTTTTACATTCTAAGTATATCTTATTATGAGTGAAAGGGATAGAATTTCGAATACTAAGTTGAATTAAATAGGGTTGACTATGATCTCGATTATCTTATATTTGTCAGTATTCTTGTCGCTTCTTTTCTGTGTTCCAAAAATAGTTCATGCACTACTAGAGAATTCAGGACTCGACGATAACATTTTTTTTAGGTAGTCGAACAATACTTGCCCGAATGCCACTCCTTCTTGGGCCACATTTTCATGTCCGTCTCTTGGTCCAACTGGTTGAACAACTTCTCAAACGCCCCCGCCCAACTCAAAAGGTAAGCTTAATAAAAATATATCTTCTTGAGAATGAATAATTTATTTTACTGTCTTCTTTTTTATTATTTTGAACCATTGTGTCGTTCTGAATGAGAACCGAGTAGGAGAGGTGTAATACTGGCTGTTCACAGACTCAATATACCGGGTGGCACAGGGTATCGGGTCATCCCTGTAAGTTTTGTATTCGTTAACGAATTTTTCTAAAATTTGGTAGTTATACAGGGTGTCCCATTAGTCATGGATCAAAAGAAGTGGGGTGCTATTTAGCGGTACACCAATTCAACAGCCGAGACCTATTACATAATGGGTAGATAACAAGTTTTGTTCAAAATCTGGATGGAAATTGTATTAAAAAACCAAACAGAGAAGGAAAAATGCATGGAAAAATAAAATAAATAACACACTGCGTAACGATGTGTATGAACTGAAAAAAAGTACGGTTAGAAAAAAGTTCATACACAGCGCTACAAACAGTGTTAAAACAACTACAATAAAAAATATCTATTCTATTCTGAATTGACAGGTTATCACGGCAGAGGCGAGAAACGAAGAACATTTGTTTGGGCGACTGGCAGGTAAAACGTGGTGAAACTACGTACAGGTAGCCTAGGAACGTGCAAATTGATACGCGCAAGCAGGTATGGGCAGTCAGTTTGCGAGACCTTATAAAAATAAAATACCCAAATATGTACGACGCATTTCTAGGGAATTGACTTGAAATCTAGAAAGAAGTGCGGTCGCCTCGCGTCGGATAGAAGCCATCACATCTGAAACTGATGTACTTCAGAAATCGCCTATGAATATTTTCTAAACTGTCACTATATGTGATTTATCCAGGATTCCAAACAACGCAGCCATTTTCAAACTTTGACCTCACAAGCGCATCAAAAAGGAGTAAGTCGGTTTTAATACCAGACAACCATTCCAGTCGCAGTCATCTGACGAATATATCTGCCCAAACAATTCACAATCATCTCTGCGTGTAAGAGGATTTCCGAATCCAAGCCCAGGCATATGTCATTTATAAAAATAATGAATAGTAATGGGCCTAACACAGATCCCTGAGGGACACCAGATGATGCTGTTATTTCTACAGATTTAAATCCGTGGTACTGAACTCTCATATGCCTTTTCATCAGATAGGATTCCAAAAATAAGATGAAGTTGTTGGTAAAGCCAAAAGAAATGAGTATATTGAGAAGTATACCATGGTCAAGCATATCGAAAGCCTTAGAAAAATCTGTATAAATGACATCGACCTGGGAAGACTTATCCAATTCATCAGCAATAAATTGTGCAATGCACGTCAAGTTACTTATTGTTGATCTACCCTTAACGAAACCATGCTGATTATCAATAATCTGACATTCCACATGTGCATATATAATATCATATAAGACCATTTCAAATAATTTACTGTTATATAACGATTGGTCTATAGTTTTAAATCAAATATTGTCAGTGCTAAATTGAAAATGCCTGATAAGGGCTTAGCAAAGATGATAGCGCAGTCTTTCAGGAGGAAAGATGGAATACCATCAGGACCTGTGGTCAATGCATAACATGGTTCGAAAGAGAGGTCACTAGCTTACTAAAAATTTCGTCGATAAGGTATATTTTTGCATATTTTTGTTCAATTAATAGACATTATTATTCCTCGCCTACTAAGGTTTTCATTCAGAACTACGGTGGTCGAACCAGTCAGTGTACTATGTTCTCTGTCAAAAACACATTATATTTCTTGGAAGTAATAATGAAGTTGATTGATTGAAAAGCCGCGTCTACCAGTGCTTCATCAGCCTCGTCGTCAAACTGTGCAACGAGCCCAACGTGAGGAAGAACTATGCCGACCAGGCCAAGTCCGTTTTGGCGCAGGCTGAGAACTTCGATTGGACCGTCTTGGACGTGTCTTTTTATCAGCACGTGATGGACTGGTTCGTCATGAGTTGCGATTCGTCGGTCATCTTCAGAACCGACCCTCTCGACTTGGACTATAGAGTATTGCAGTGAGTAGCCTAACCTGTATTAAATGGAACATATAGGGTGATACAAATTCGTGGCTAAGCATTGAAATCTCGGTAACCTTAAGAGTAGTTCAAATTGAAGCAAAATTGCACCATTTCATGCTGCCTTGAAATTGGCAAAATTTCAATTACTTCCGGAGATATCCGAAAAAAAAGGAAATATGCAAAATCCTTTTTATTTATTCTCAGTTTATTTGAAGAGATGTTTCAACATGAATGTCACTTTATCATTGCCACTTTTCCTCCTCTCCAAAATGGAATTATCAAATTGGAAATCCGCCGTTTCTTCTTCGAGCGACCATCATCAACTTAACTTTCTTAAATACTGACCTGGATTTTTTCTTTGATTTTTCGAAAGTTTTCGATCTCCTTGATATGATGGTGTATCAAAATATTATCAATCATCTTTGTCTAACACATTATTCAGTGCGAAAATTCACATGCGAAAAGTATTGGTTCTAGAGGTTTTGATAACCACTTACTAGATGTAAAAATAAATCTCAGTTGAGTTTTCGTAATAAATCAGTATAGAGAGTACTTAGAGAACATTTATAACTAATGCCTAGTATTTCAAATACTTGCTGCTTTACATTTACTTGCACGCTAATGTAGCAATGTCTCAACCAAGTGCTTGTAGAGTATATCAATTGTTAGGTTAAATTCACGTTAAAAAGCCAGAAATATAGCAAGAAGCAATGAAATAGTAGATGGATGACTAACTTCACAGCTCCATTTATACCGCGGAGTGGAAATGTAAAAAACTAACCACAATTTTAGAACAACAACAATTTTTTAGTGGAAATTCTGGGGTGGTTAAAAAAGTTCTTAATAACAACGTTACCTACCAATTCAGCCACCCTGTTGAAAACTTCTTAGAGAATCGGACCGGTATATTTCTTGTCATTGAAGATAATCATTTTTCTTTAGCACCCACCGATATTTCTAAATGTTTCAGCTTCCTGAAAACCGTAGCACTTTACAAAACTCGCCTACCTGTCACAACCAGTGACACCTTACCCAGAAGACTGATCTACGTTAAAACTTATACAAAATTGTTATCGGTGTACAGTAATAGACATAAGAATAACGTGCAGCGGAAAGAACAAGAAATATTCGTCCTCGTATCTAGACAACTCAACGATTTGGAATGTGTAGTTGAACAAGCAGAGGAAATGACTGTATTACTGGCGGAACTGGAAGGGATACTGAATATCGACAACATTGAATTGATCGCTTTGAAATCGTTCACGAAATGGATCGAAAACAAAACCGGAAACGGAATAATAGTTAGCTCTCTATTGAAAAGTCTGGGGATGGCTGTGAGAGATCCTGGAATTCTAGCGGAGCTACTGGAAGTTACTATTACAAGCTATTTCATGAATACAAGTGAGTGAAAACCACTTTTCATTGATTGATTGTCTTTAATATCCCAAGAAACATTATTGTTGTCCACGATGATTGTTTCCTAATATAAAGACCTAAAAATTTTGTTACATTCGTATATTCAATGGATTTGTAATTGAAGCACATTGGGATATTATTCAAAATGTCAGTTGTTCTTTTTGAGATTCAGAGTCAACTTATTGGTCGTTAGCAAATATAATATTTGTTTCAAATCATGTTCAATATCACTATTGATGATATCGTTGAAATTTTGAGGTATAGATTATTGTTGTATCATCTTTTTCATTCAATTTTAAAGTATATATTCAGTTAATGTAAATTAAAAATAAAAGTGGCCCGAAAACTGACCCTTGTGGTACAACACATGTAATATTCATCAATGAACTGAAAGTATTATTCATATCAACATACTGTTTCCTATTCTCAAGCTCATCTATCTTTTTATTCAATCTTAATCAAAGGATTGTGAGAGTCTTATACTTTTTTCATCCTGAATGTAATGTTCCATCGATGATTTTTCATTTGCTTCTCCATTTTTCAGTTTCAGATGAGTTTGAACCGACTTGGAGAGAAGTAAGCGGGTTGTTGACTGTCCTAGCTTCAAAACAGACTGAATTAGAACGAGCGTTGCTCAGTAAGGGCTGTCTTTTGACCTTGAACGCCATTTTTGTACAGAGGATATCGAATTGCAATGATGTGGGAGCCCTGTTGAATTTGTGCCTCGATTGGATGGTCAATACGAAAATCAAGTAAGATGAAAATAACTGTGGATAAGACAACTTTAGATTATCCAGTATTTTACTAATAACACCTAATATTTGAATAGTTTCGGTTAATAATGGTGACCTTTTAACCAGTTATCTAGTATCATGAAATGATTTTACGGCCACACCATTTTGTACAATAAATGAAAAATGAAAACTCAGTTGCAGATGACTTGATTTGATGACAAGCAGAATTTGTGAGGCACATACATTAAAATTCACTTCTAATAACAGCAGATTGAAATGAAACTATATTTTAGATTCCATCCAATTACAAAATAGACTTTAAAACAAATCTATTATTATCATCTCCCGAAATGCAAAACAAAATTATCATGGAGAAAAAGAAATTGATTGCAAAACTAAGTAATAAAATTGAAAATTTGAGAACGAAACTGAGGAACTCAAGTAAATTGCAACGTGATATACACTGTGTCCAAGATAGGATGTCTATCATGGGAATCGTTTTTATTTTTTCTGACGTTGACTAAAGAGATATAGGAAAACAGAAGACACTTTCTCATTTCCATTTTTGAAGCTTTACAAAATAGCGTTGAAACATTTTCCATACGATGTTTCGTTTCGAAGAAACCATCATCAACTATACCCCATGATACATATCCTTATCTTGCACTCACTGTATATAATTGAATGGCGTTTTCAATACCGACCGAACTAGCTATAAGTACATTCATATGTGTCTATTTTGTCTTATTGAAATGTTGTTACATGCATTCTTCTCATTTTTATAACTGTTGTTTTGCGAAAAGTGTCATAAATTGAATTGGGTGTTGATACCCTATTTCTACTTTCTATCTACGGCTATGATTGATTTGATAGAAAATCTAACCTCTAAAATCGTATCTGACAATCAGGCGCTATCAGGGAAATTGAAAAGACAAAGAGCAGAATATAATATATCTTATTCTTTTATCCACTCAAGCATTTTAATATAGAAAATAGAAAAGGACAGAAGTTCAGCTGTGTCCGAACTCTCATCTACTAATACTAGAGTCACTGCTTTTATGTTGGCACCATCGAGCTTTTTGGTTCTTCAACTCTGGCAACTTCTCACTTTACACAAGTCGACATTTTTGACAGACGCATGCCCACAAGCGTAATTTGCATAGTGGATAATGCATAAAAGATAAAAGTTGGTTAACTTTGTGAATTATGCATTATGCATTATATAACGAGTTGTGCACTTTGAATTGTATAAACGGGTACATATGAAAATTAAGTTTTAAAATTATGCATTATGCATTATGAGCTGGCTAAACCCGCCTTTCGTCTTGTTAGTGTAAAGAATCAAGGCTTACTGAAATGGTGGTATGATTCAGGTAAGATTAAAGCGATCTGTGAGTCAGTTCAGTTGGCGTAGTCATAAGGAGTTATGTTTAATCAGGTTGTTGAGCATTCTTTTTCCTGCAACTAGATGTTATTCTAAGTCTCATTGAAGAATCGTTAAACACTGAATTATTATATTAATCAGTCCCAGCAAATATCAAATCTCTGGCCGCCTTCTAGCCCAGTACATGATAGATCGGCAGATTGCTGGCCATGGCCAAGCTGCACTATAATTCAGCCGGCACTGTGCCAATAGTGTCAACTCGTATTATATTTTTACCTACGTCATACAATCGTCTATATGGCATATTGAAATAGTTTAACTATAATCTAGCCAGCACCGTACAAAAAGAGTATGATTGGAGGCGTATGGAGTTAGTAGCAAAGCCTACACAGAAGACTAATGAGCTGAAGGACCTCTCGTAAGGTGGATGGCCAGTTGGTACGTACATACATATACCAACCAAGTACGTATAGTACTACTACTGTTTATTCATTGCATTTGAATAAGGTAAGCAAGTGAGCATATGTACTTCGTTGATATGTATGTGCATACCAACTGGCCATCTACCTTCCATCAGAGGACCTTCAGCTCATGTGTGTTCTGTTCAGACTTTGGTACTAACTATATACGCAGGAGCAGCACTGTTGATTGGAACGCAACAGCGAAAATTATAATTTATAACTCGTTTTATGAATAAAAATTCTCTGCTCTGCTAGGAATCAAACCTTGCAACCTTTCGGCGTTCTAATTGCTAGTCCAGCGCTCAACCACTTCGCAATTCTGCCGTTTTGCATTTAAATATCATCATGAAAGTCGTCAAATTCGGCCATAAAAATTAGACAAGTCGTCTGACTCATAAAATAGAAATTCGGTAGTCTCTGTTATGATGATGATTTGAGAGTTAACCACAAATAAATTCCGTTCACACATATCATTTCAATGAAGGTGTAGTAGCTCGCCTGGAATATAAGTTCGATTTTTAACCAAGTGAAAGCGGAGGACCAGGGTTCGAATCCTGCGGCGGTCTTCTTTTTTTTATTGAATGTATGGGCAAACAAGTACTGGCCCATCAATGTTCACAAGAATTGTACCGTTCCTGCCAATTCAGGCCATCATGAGGCCGACCAAAATTGTTTGCTGGGGTCCTAGTAGTTTCAGCGTTCGTTTTTTTTTTCAGCGAATCCACGGAACCGAAGATGCCTCTGATCTGGTGCGGCTTGCTGATGTTGGTGTCGCAACATTCCGAGAAGGACGAGCAATTTTGCGCTGTCGTCTTGCACAAGTTCGCGCAGATCCTGTTGCAGACGTCTGAGGACAAGGGTGGCAGCAGATGGGGCAGGGGGTTGCTCACCGCCATCGGCCTCAGCAAACAGGCGAATTTGTCGCTCAATTTCAAGTTTCTTTGTCGAGCTCTTGCAGGTATATCCATCCATGCCATTTTACATATTCGCGAAAATAATGAAGTGTGCGGCCCCTGGTGTCGAGCTTTAGTACCTTTTCTGAGGGTGGTCAACAAACCAATTTATCATTGTCATCCATTGTCATAGAATTTATGATTGTTTCTAGCGGATTTTGATTATTTCCCGATAGTTTTCGAACTTATTTTGTGTCTATAACATTAGTGCTTGTTTTTTAAAACATCTATCTATTGAACAAACCTATTGAATCCAGGAAGTATTTTTCAGTTTCTTTGTAGATATTGTGCCTAATTTCCGAAAATGAAGGTTTATCGAACTTGTCCACAGGTAAATAATCCTTCAGGTTGGGAAAGTTGGATATATAAAAGTTAAGTAAGCCAACGTTAGTTTAGTTCATTGTACCAGTATATCACCTGATGAAGCTACTGTGTTAGCGAAACATGTAGTGTGCTCAAGAATTTTGTGGAAATCTTATCGTTTGTGGAGCTCTTACATTTCTCCTACTATTATTATAAATGTTTGTTGACCACTTTCACTCCAAAATTTGACGTTGTTTGAGCGCCATCTATTGGTTCATGATTTTATCGAACAATGCCTTGTTTTCAGGATATTTATTGGCGCAGCTACCAGAAATGAAAGGAGAGCCGCAGGTGATCAGAAGAGTTCCTAACGCGTCTGCCAGGGTTGGTCAAGCAGGCGGTAATACAGAGTGTGTCAAAGTACTGTTGACTTTGGATTTCGGACAGTCCCAGGGAAAAATCAAAGAGAGTGCAGAATTGGCTCTCAAACAAGTAAGTGCTTTGGTAAAACTGCATTCATCATACGATGTTTTTTTGTTTGATACTCACATTTTTTTTGGCCTGAAAAACACGAATTATGGGACTAGAAGATTGAATTACTTGATAGCAAATACATTATCCCAATATGTAACGACAATTCGAACGACTTGATGAAAAAATGCCTTTTGTAACATAATTATGTCGTTGAAATATTCGAAAATGAACAAGAAATATATATTTTCAGAATAGATAGTATGACAAAATGTGACATTATTTGTCATAAATTGACAAATCGTTATGTATATCATATAGATCAGAGATCTTTTACCGAGTCTTCTACTATAATAATTGAAGAAAATAATGTTTCTAAGGGAAGTAGGATTGCTTACAGTCACTGGAGTGCTAAAATATTCAAACAGTGATTCGTAATTATTTGAATATACGTGGAGGAACTGCAGGGAAATAAATAATTCCCATCAAATCAATATGAACCCACAAACCCCAATATCCTGGAAGGAACTTGGAGTGGTTTGGTTCTATGATTGAATAGTTCCAGAGGGCCAATGAGGGATGAAAAGCAATGGAGAACAGTACCTATGTATTATTTTTATATGGGTTTCGATAAAAAAATGAATAATTCACTTCTCAATCTACCTATTTTGTAACTTGAAATCATACCCATTTTTTTGACATATACAATATCTTAAAGATTCGATACAGTGAGGTAATTGTCTACAGTATGTCTGATATTTCATAGGTACATCTGCTTGGGACATAGTCCATGATTTGTCTGTTTCTATAGATTTTTGGTAATAACAGATAGGTACATTAGGAAGTAGGTACTTTCCGATTATATTTTCAACAACTGATGGTATATACTAGTATTCCTACTGGCCTCCTTGGGATACTGCAACATATTATGAGAGAATACCCCCCAAACTATAGCTCTCTGGGTAACCGACAATCCTCCCGAAAGTTTTCTTCATAATACTTTCGAATGGTTTACTAGCGTCCTTCAAGCGTCTATTCAAATTTTTATTTACTTGCCTGAATCGAAATAAACGGTGAATATCAACAAATATTCATATTTAACTCCTCTGAAACCCTTCGGAAAATTAAAAAAGACTGACTGGATCCATCTCCAACAGGAAACCGATTGATGAGAGGATATTATGATGCGTTCATTGTTTTTGTGTTCATGTTATCCTACCGATACTCTGTATAGCTATCGTCTATAAACGATGTTCTGATGACAGCTTGTCGTTCGTTGCCGACTGTCAAATCGGTAGTGAATTCGATTCAAGAAAATTATCGTTATTTAACGATATGTCTTTCACTAACGACACGTAACGATAACGTTATGAGTAGGGTCCCTTGATGAAAACTGACGTTAAAGTCATCTTAACAGGGTACGGACAGATAATAGCTGCATTCTTTTTTAATGATCTAGAGATTTTAGTTTTGTCTACTGGCATCCCTGACATTGCTGTCACGTCACATCCATGGGCGCTACAGAAAATCATTCAACATTTTAATAATAGGTATGTACAGGGTATTTACTTGTTGAGGAAGATCATATGGCGAACGAGTTTTGTAATTATGATCCGATTCTATTCATAATTGGAAGGTATGTGGGGTTTTCCGGAGTTGGAGATAATGATTGTTTCGTCAAACTTGTAGAATTCAAGATGACGGATCCAATATATAGCAAAAGAAATCTCTAATTATGATCTGATTCTATTCAAGATTGGTATCTGGGGGTTTTCGGGGTCGAACTTCATGATTTTTTGTCAAAATTGGAGAATTCAAGATAGCGGATCCAATATGGCGAACGAAACTTGTAATTATGATCTGGTTCTATTCAAAAAATCAAAATTGATATCTGGGGATTTCCGGAGTCGGAGATTATAATTATTTCGTCAAAATTGGGATATTCAAGATGGCGGATCTAATATGGTGGACGAGTATTGTAATGAAGATCCGATTCTACTGAAAATTTGTATCTGGGGGTTTTCGGGGTAGGAGATAGAGATTGTTTCGTCAAAATTGAACAATTCAAGATGACGGATCCAATATGGGCAATATGGCGAAAGACATTAGTTAATATAATTATTACTCTACCACAAATAGAAAAAATGGAGGATGCAAGAGTGAATATAACGTGCCTATAAGTTATACTGCGTATACTTAGCGTATACCTACTTCTTTGTTACTTTCATCAATAAATTATTCAAAAATGACTTCTTATTTAAAAGAGACGGTGAAATCATGTGTATAACATGGGGGTGAAATATACTCTTTTCTTTATTTTCCTGCACATTTTACTTATTAATTTTTATCAGCCTACTTTTCGTCCTAGACGAAGTTTTATACATGGTGTGATATTAGTAACTCCATAAATTCTTCTCTGAGTTGGATTTCTGGAAATATATTTAGCACACATGACATGAGTACAGTAGTCTAGATACCCACATCGAGGTTTCCACCATTTCTCAATTATGAGGCTCAGGTCATTCAGCTCATAGATAAGCTACTGCTCAGCTTGAAATCAGAATTCATTCAGTCAATTCAGTCAATTCTGGTATACAGTCTAAGAACAGTCTCTTTTGGTGAAATATATCAAGCTTTCAGTACAATTTATATGTTCCCTAAATCGCAAAGATTATGCTGGAGTAGTGAACTCTAAAACTAGAGGATTGTTCATCAATATTTTGATATAGTTGAATCAGAAATACCATATGGAACTTACCTCAGACGAGTATGATACGCCATTGACCTCAATATAACCTGAAAAACAACAAATGTCAAAAATCTAGTGTTTATCCCCAGAATTGAATAAGGATGGAACTATATAACTGTTTCACAAACACTTTAGAGTGAGAGGAGACGAGGATCTGTCCGTACCCTGTTAAGATGACTTTAACGTCAATTTCCATCAAGGGACCCTAGTTATGAGATAATCGGGTCGATTCTGTTCGGATCTTATTATAACATTGCTAAGATAATAATATTGTTATGATCATAACATATAACAATATTGCTATGAAGTTCTGTATTCTGTTTGCAGAGTAACTGCAAGACTGGTTATAAGTTCAAGTGATAGCAATATTGTTGGAAAATTGAGAATTTTTGAGCTGACAACACTGTTTTCAACTAATTGTTCAAGTGTTAGGTATCGATTTTGCCATTATTTCATGAAGAAGAAGAGTTCAACCTCTCAAATTAGCATAGCTACAGCTACCATATCAATGAGCACAAGATATGGTACGGATATGCCGTCCTTCGGAGGGGACGTTAAGCCGGCGGTCCCGAGGCCATGGATGTTGGACTCGTTAAAGATCCCTACCTCTGGTTGGAACACCAGAGGATTCGGCAAAATTTCCGGTTGGGGGTATGGTGTGCTCACCGGCGTCGGTGATTAGCCTCAGTAGCAGAAAAAGGCCGACGTTAAAGAAACGAATAAAAAAAAAATCAGTCCTGCGACCTGCACTGACATTTTACAAAATTATATTGTTTAAATCGAGAGATTTTGTATTTGCTTAATCTGGTCGTCGTTGTGCGACTGGTGCAAGTAATCAATCATGTCCCCGAAATGAAAAAACAACTAAAACAAATTGTGATTTTTTTTTTAATATTCTAGCAAAATAGCTTGATAAACTATCCATCAGGCAACTGAAATTTCTCTGATATGCCGAAATTGTAGTCTCATATTTCCTCTACAAATTGGAACTTCAAGAAGAGGTTTTCAAGTAGTTGGTCACAGTACACAGCAGTTTGTAATCACCAACTTTTTCAATAATTCTTCTACGAATTGAAACTTTGAGGAAAGGTTTTCGAGTATTCAGTGACACAACTGAACTCTCATATGTTTTTAATCCACTATTTTCTGAATTTTCATACAGTTGGAAGAATTTGTAGTGCAAAAACAAAGAATCCACTACCTTGTTATCAGATAGCAAGCACAAAATTGATGTTGCCGAGATAGCAAGAAAGCTGACCAGATGTCATTGAAATTGACAGATCATATTGCCAAAAATCGATGATTAGAATTCCACTTTTTCGAATCTTGCTATGATAGCAATATCTTCTCTACAACCATATTGCTATTTGCAAACAGAATCGACCCGAATGAATAGGCCTGTAATGGTATACAAATTCGTTACCGAATGAATTGAAGAATATACATGATGCAAGAAGATTTAAAATCAATCTTAAAAATACCTGCCTGAAAAATACGAGGCATGATATGATTACTGAGAAAAGAAATTTTATAACTTTCATTTTAAGAAAAATATGAATTTGTTTCCACTAAGTGGAATTCGTCAGTTAACCTGTCATTATAATTAATTTTTTATAAGTATTCATATATCCCTATCATGAACAAAAACGTTTCTTGGGGTAATAAAAACAATCAATCAATTTGAATCGACATATCTTGGCAACCCATCCTAACGGAATATATTTTTTTTCAGATCCAGGATGCTAGTAATTCTTTACATAATGCTAGAAAATTCGTTATGCTACTTGTCAAGCAGTTTTATACAAAACCATATCTGAAGGACATAGGGTAGCAGCATTGTGTTGTGATAAGCTATTTTATTATGAATTTAGTTTTAGGAGTTTTTGAACAACTATTTTGTTGGTGAAGTATTTTGTTGATAGAATCAGTGAAGATAATGTCAAATCCGAAATAATATCAATACCTTATCACAAATCAGTTTAGACGGATGGCTATTTGTTGTTTTTGGGTACATTGAAACAGATAGTACGGGGAATATTGGGGAATAAACCTCTTGAGATCGTATCACGTTTATTTCAATATTGAATTTTGTCCACCTTCGATAATTATTTTTTTTAGGGGGGAGGTGGTTTTCTCAATGAACATTTTTGACAAGGGATATATGTAGAGGGTGGCTAACAACAGAGTGAAATTTCAAGTTCAGACCTAAATTTAAAAATGCAACTAATACTGATGGAGTTTGGTAATTTTGGCATGCCCTATATATTTTTCTTCGAAACCATTTTCATATACCTAGTTGTGATGTTTTCTTACTGAGTTGAGATATAATCAATTTAGGAATATACCTTGAAAAATACTATTTAGTTCATAATAAATAGAAAACTTAGGATCCCCAATCATCTATTTCAATATCACCCTAGAGTGCTTAATTTTTGGTTGATTTTTTTTTTCGTATTTTATTGAATAATGTAACAGAAATGTTTACTGTCTATACATTTTTGTTAATTTCTTAGTTTCATGTTACATTTATATGTTTATTTTATTCTTCAACATAAGACTTAAGTGATAATCTGGTGATAAAGATACCATTGCAAATTTATAAATGAAATAAAAGGATTTTCTAGATAATTCTCGTTTTGTTTCTTCATTTTTCTCTGGTCTGAAACATGATTCCTAAGCATTTCAATGATATGTGAAAAATAAAACACGGATTATTTTCTTATTCAATTTCAACGATGTGTTGAGTGGAAATTATATTTGCTTCAGTAGGAATAGATAATTTAATATCAAGGTATAATTATTATTATTTCACTGAAACAATACGTTTTCGTTGAAAAAGTCTACTACTGAGTGTGAAAAGCGTTTGTACCCATCATTGTTTGAACCAAATAATATTTGCTAAATTTATCAGCTTATTTTCATGTTGATAGCTCAAATTGAGAAGACAAGATATTTGAAAACGTCTCTGAGGTTCAGATAAAATAATTAAATAAATTAAACCATTCGTTTTTTCGTCTAAGATAGTGTAAGTATAAGTTAGATAAGAAAAGCATTCTTATCTGCTTCAAAAGGCAATTCTTTCCTCAATTCATAATATAAAAATGTAAATATCTCTGAAGGTTATCTATTTATATAAATAATGTTCACGTAGTGGCAATCTGTTGGTGATTTCCAATTCTACATTCTCGTTAAAATGTTTTTTCAATTGAAATACAATTTCAAAACAGAAAATTTCGAAAATAGATCCACGGAATCCAATTTTGGATTCTTCGATATAATATATAGGATGAAAGAATATATTTAAAATTAAAAGAGAACTGAGTAGTTTTTACCCACAAAAAACTTCTTAAGTTCGAAAAATGAAATGCACACTTAATCTGTTATGAAGAAATGATGTAATCTATTCTGTGAAAATATGTTGATAATCAATATAATGATTTTCTAATATTATGAAATTCACTTAATCCGATCTCATTCAGAGATAACAGGTAAGAGAATAGATATTATGACAAGTATCATATCTGCAACACTCAGTTTTTTTCCTACTTATCTGTTCAAATATCCTCATTTCTTACATAATCGGTATTTAATTATTCTTATTGTATTATTTCATATTATCAGTTCATGTCAGTATTCAAGATAATTGGATCATTTCAATTCCATCTGAGATTGTAAACACATTACTACTTGGCTTCAAAATGGTAAGTTGAGTTAGATGTTAGATTATAAATGAAAATGTGAATTTTTCTGAAATATCTTTTTTTCGGCAGGTCGTTCTGAAATACCGAGGCTTGTGTGCACCAGTATTCACCGTTTTTCGTAATGACCTGTGAGTTTTTCAAATTTATTTTATGTAGGGTGTTCCATTATAAGTTCTCCTGTTGATTTCTTGTTCATGAAGATATTTTAAATTTTCAAAATGCAGTTATTGGGACTTTTTCAAATAGTCTCAGAGTGTAATAAAGAAAAACTGAACGAAAAAAAAAAATAAAAGAGACAATTTGAAAAATTATTCAAGATGCCGGGATCAATTTCAAATATCTTTATGAACAAGAAAGTCACAGAAAGGAAATTCATGGTGGACCACCCTGATCCTACTATAGATATGAAAAAATGTTGATTATTCTTTTCTATTTCATAGAGTTTGTGAATCGGAGTAGTTTTCTTTTTCAATAAAAAAAGTCGATGCAAATGGTGTGTTTTATGTATATACAGGGTGGCATTGAAATAAGTGCAAATATTTCAAACACTCAGAAAGCTCGACGTGAATTATCAAATGGCACTAATAAAAAAAAATGTGGTGAATATGAGCACTTATTTAAAAAACACCTTGGATACCGTGTTACACAGGAGACATGTAACAGCCTGTAGTTTTTTAAGTTGAAGAGATGAAAATTTGAAATTCGCAAGGGTTATATCATCGATGATGGCGCTTCCTTTGAACCCAATGACAATTTTTCTCAACCACCTGTTTGATTGGAAGTAGACCCAACTTTTTTTTTTTCAAATGACACCCCGTATATTTCTGTAATCCGTCTTATTCACCTTGAAATTCCCTATTCAACTATGTATCACAAGTTGATATTCGTTCATGAGTTTGCTGTTAAATTGAAATACATGAAGTTGGATGTGGCCCGAATACAAAATAAACTCACGATATTATAACGATACATCAATTATTGCAACAATTTCAGTTCCATGTATCCAAATGGATGATCAAAATGTTATGGCTACATGGCAAAAATGAAATACTAGTAGCCAAATGAAAAAAACTGAGTTTCTATCTTAGTTTTCTCAATATCGTGAGTTATTTTCGGATGATTTCTTTAAACTCAATGAAATTATTGGCAATTTTCTGGGACAGATTAGGGTAGGGAAAATATTCCGATAATATTGTATTAGTAATGATATTTGGATTTCCAAGCCTAACAAGCACCGAAATGTCATTGCATTTGGGCCACAGCCAACTTATGTATTTCAATGAAATGCAATTTAACAGCCAATTAATGAGCGAATATCAAATTGTGATACATAGTTGAATAGAGAATTTTAAGGCAAATAATAAATATACAGAAATATACAGGATGCCATTTGAAAAAAACAAGTTGGGTCTATTTCGGTTCAAACAGGTGGTTGAAGAAAATTGTCATTGGCTGCAAGGGAAGCGCCATCATCGATAATATAACCCTTGTGAATTTCAAATTTTCATCTCTTCAAATGAAAAAACTACAGGCTGTTACATTTTTCCTGTGTCACCAGGTATAATTCTTATGTTGACTAATAATATGTTTTCAAAATGAAATATTATTTGTACTAAATGTGTGATGAAATAGCAAAAAATGGATTGAAATGCTATTTTCATTCGCATATTCACATCTCTAAACAAAAAGTAAAACTACCTAGTAAAATCAATTTATTAATCTAGTGAATAGTATACGATTTGTTTTAGGTCCGTTGATGTGAGTATCATCCCAAGATATGCAAAATTTTTAGCAGATAATGGAGTTGATGGAGTACTGGGTGAGTGTCTTTCATAAAGAGATCGAAAAATACCTTCTAATAATAGTATATTACATACCTAGGTGGGAAGAGATTCATTCCTGTCGTGAGATTAGTTAGTTAACCGAGACGCAAAGCGTCGAGGTTAGGTTAGTAGTTTTGACAAAATTGTATCTCGATCTTTAGAATACTTTGGAATTGGTTGCGTGCAAGAACTGTCAGATGACTGCCCCGGAGGTGAAACATTGAAACACAACCCCACTTTTATTATTTGTTCACAAGTGAATGAAATAGCTTTTCACAAGTATGTTGGCATACGAATCGTGTTTATGATTCAAAGGGTGTTGAAAGTGAGTATAGTATATCCAATATCAATTGCAGAATATCCCGCACTGTGCGGCGTCGGCGTGTTTGAAGTTTCCTTTGAAGTGACTGCAGGTGCGGCACGAGATTCTGCAATTGTTTTTGGATAAACTATACCTCTACTATATAGTCACTCACATATAGTTTTCATTTTGAAATTTGGTAATTTCTCTGATTTCTCATCGGAATTTCGTGTGCAATAGGAGCTAATAAAAATAATGCAAGAAGATTGGATTCATGCAATCAAACGGGAGGACTGGTCTGTCATGCTGACGAAATATGATCGTGTGTGTTGTAGACATTTTCAATCTATTATTAGTATTAGCTTCTGTTGAAAAGTGGCATGAATAAGAAATGACAACATTTTATGATGAAAACTATGTGAGGTTACTATTTACCTGAAAAATCATATTCCTCCGTCTCTCGCTGCATTTTTTGTGCATTGTACAACAGCACAATGAGAAGGCATGTTTGAATTAATGAATAGCGCAAAAAACACGATTCGTATGCCATAATATTTTGAATAACTATTTCAATCCTCTGATCCCTCTGTAAACAAATGAAAAAAATGAGTTTGTGTTTCAATGTTTCACAGGAAAATCAGGTTGTGTTTCAATATTTTTACCTCCAGGGTCGGTCATCGTGCACGCGACCTATACTAGCCTAACCTGACATAACCTGTCATTCAGAACAAAAAACGTCCAAATCGGACAAGTAGTTTTGACGAAAATGTATCTCAAACTTTAGGATACTTTCCGGTGGTGCCTTAATTATTTGGGAAACTGTAGTTCCTCTGAGGTTGTTTCACAACAATTTTCTTACAGTTCACGGCACTTCCGGAGAAGGCATGTCGATGACTGTCCAAGAAAGAAAAGCCGTCGTGGAGGAATGGTCCAAAGCGGTGAAAACCACCAAGCAACATCTGATGGTCCAAGTGGGCGGGTGTCCCTTGCCTGACGTCATCGAGTTGGCAAAACACGCCGAATCCATAGGCGTCGATTCTTTGCTGTGTCTTCCTGAGCTGTATTTCAGGTGCTTAAATTAGTTATAACGAAAAGATTGATGAACTAGGCATAACTATTCAAGGTTACATAATCGTGATGTAATTATTATAAGCTTGACATCAGTTTTCTCTTGAACCCATCTCTCGATCTCAATTTGGTATTTCAAGAATTGTAGCTTGATTCCTCACGTATGCATGTGTCGAATAGACACCTTAAAACGATTCGTCTTCATATCATATACAGAGATGGTAGGAAAGTACGAATTTTTTTATATTTTTTAAGACATCCTGTGGAGTGAATCACGGACAATTGACACCAGCCTGTATCACAAATCTGTAGCTTGATATTTTCCGAACATTCTCTCGTTTTATTCATACTGATATCTCAATTAATCAAAAAAATGCAGAGTTTCAAAGAAAAAGTGGGAATTTGTCTGAATTTTACCACCTCGAAACTCGCTTCTCAAGTTGTTTCTGTGAAAATTTCCACTTCAAGTTGAATATTGCTCTCAGTTTAACTTTTGTCAAGAATTCCTAGAAATATACAGAGGATATTAAAAAAAAGAAAGGTAGTTTTCTCAAAGCCCCCATTCAATAACATTAACTTAACAAACAATAAAGATTCAATACACCAACAATGATTTCAATAACGCGTTTGACCTCCACGCACCCTTATCACAGCAGTCATCTGTTTCCTGATGCATCCGATGACATTATTGATCATCAACCACAGCTGCTACTATACTTGCTCGGGATTTTGAACAGTAGGAATTCTGAACCTCAATTGTCTCATAGACGTTCGATTGGATTATGGTCTGGGGAACATGCTTGCCAATCCATTGATCTTATTCCGACTGTATTTAAAAAGGTGGAGAATGAACGGGCCAAGTGACGTCGCTGCATAGAGCTTCCTTTGTTCTATAGGCCCTCAGACCAACTTCTTGGAGCCTTCTGCCGATGGTCCGATTACTTGTTCGCCTTCCACGTACTTCTTCCAGTTTGTTTTTCATTTGGGGTACGGTTCTACGTCTGTTTCTTAGTCTCACATTCCGATCAATCGTAGATTTGGATTCTCCCAGCATGTCAGCAACATCAGTGTACGATCTACCATTTCCAATTAATGCTACTGCCCTTGCCACATCAGTTGTAGGAGTCATATCTCACATGTTGACTTTCCATAATTAAAATTATGACTTTTGAATTATGAATCGCTTGACTTTGACAATAAAACTCCATAAGTTCTGTAATAATTGAGATATTGAAATGATTAAGAGATGAAAATATTCGGAAAATATGGGGCCACAATTTAATGTTGATAAATCGTTCCAACCATCAATGGTTCACTCCACAGGGTGTCTTGAAAAATACGGAAAAATCTGTACTTTCTTCACATCCCTTTATATGATATAAAGACTAAACGTCTGAAGGTGTTTTTTTGTCAGATGTATTCATGAAGAATCAAGGTACAATTCGTGAATACAAAAATGAAATCTCGCGATGAGTTCAAGAAAAAATTGATGTCAAACTAAGTGTAAATTTTGCCCGTTTAATTAAAATAATGCCTTCCAGTTTTTCAAGAATTTTTCAGTCATATTTTGTATTAAACATATTAGCTGTGGAAAACCGAATACATTTCAATATCAAGGAACTGAGTTTTGCTTATAACCTTGAACATTTTTTTTAGGCCGACGGTTACCAGACAGCTGATAAATTATTTGAGGGTGATTGGAGAGGCTGCCCCTAAGACACCACTACTTTATTATCACATTCCTGCATGGACCGGAGTAAACTGTAAGTACCTATACATAACTGATTCACATTTTTCCATATCATTCAGTGAAGTATCCACCACGGTATACATTTCACAGGGTGATACAAAATATAATTTCAATATGGAAGGAGTGCCTCGAACATCTCATTACACGCCCTTTGAAGAGTTTGACCACCCTTTTGATACTCTGACTTGTAAATGATGAAAATATTTCAATCGGCCCTGATGCGACTTTCCTTCTTACATAAAAATATCTAAATAAAACTTCACATATACAGGGTATGTCACGACGAGCTTACACTATCTCTATATCGAGAATCAATCGGTAGAAATCCATAAAAATATGCATGCTTATATTTTGGAATACGCTCTCTTCATTAAAAATATTTTCAGTAATGCAGTGTTGCCGCTTCTATCAAAAAGTAGCAACAACTTTGTTATTTCAAATAGAATACCCTGTATTTTATTGCATTTTTAGATTCTCCCTGAAGAGCTGATTTCATCGATGCATCATATTCGGGTCTATCGGAAATGATTACAGAGATATAGGATGTTGAAAATCGAGATTTTTCAACTTTAGGATTTGTTTGTGTCGAAACTATTTATTATCGGTCAAAACGACTCACCTGTCTGTATCACAAGTGTTGATTAACTATTTACTGATATTTAATCGGAACAGATACAGGGTGATCAGAATTCTGAATCTTGAACCACCCTGTATCTGTTCCGATTAAATATCAGTGAATAGTGAATCAAAAGTTGAGATTGGGACATTTGAGCTGTTTCGACCGATAATGAATAGTTTCGACACAAAAAAATCCTAAAGTTGAAAAATCTCGATTTTGAACAGCCTATATCTATGTAATCTTTTTCGATAGACCCCAAGTGTGATACATCGATAAAATCAACCCTTCAGGGAGAATATCAAAATGCGATAAAATACAGGGTGTTCCATCTGAAATATGAATGTTGCTACTACTTTCTAGTAAAACGGCAACACTGCATTGTCGAAAATATTTTTAATGAAGAGAGAGTATTCTAAAATACCCTGTATTCTGCATAACCGATCTCTTCCCTCCGCTTACTGAATATAATTTCTGGCTTCATTGCTCTGGATGGTTCATATTGTTAGTGTGAATTGATATTGATCTTTCCGTGTATAAATAGTATTTATGCAATCATTCGTTATTTGAAATCTTGACAAAACTGGCCCCTTAAGGAAACGCTAGGTCTTGATGACTTGTTTCACTGGTGAGTCGACCTACAGTTAGACCGTTGGCCCATAACACTAGGGGTGTCGATTATCTACGAAGATATGCCCTTCAAGAGACATGAAGATTGAGTTGGATTATCGGGGAAAAAGTGGTTAGTTGGATCGGTACCCGGTCGCCCATCTCCCTAATCAATCAACTTCCTGTTGAAAGTAATGTTGAAAATTGTTTTATAGAAGAAGCTTTAAAATTCATTGGAATAGTCGCATCTCGCCAAATTAACCGGGCGCTAGCCGATTTGCATACGTCTAGGTCGGTCCCGAAGGGCGGCATACGGACCGCAAGTTACCATTAACCGACATTTCTCTCAGATTATTTACGATGGTATGCCCTTTGGTTAATTCCTTCATTTCGACCCATGAATAAATGCCATAACATTTGCATACAGTTTGGGTGGGCGAATTTAGACTTATTTGAAGGTCACTTTACATCATTGACCTGTATGTACAAGATTTTCTACGAAGCTCCCAAATTTTGATCAAGGTTAGTTGAGCATAAACTATGCATGGAATAATGATTTGCATACGATTTCCGAGTTGCGGGGATTACATTTAGCCCAGTAAAATTAGCAAAAATGGCGGCAAAATTCGTTCAACACCCTGTAAGAGCTCAAGATATCAACAATCAAATTCTTTCTAACTTTAGAACTTACACAAAACTCGTCCCGATTTACCCGTTTCGAGTTATTCGAGGTCGAAGTTTCGAAAAATCAGTTTTTGGTTCAAAAACCACTAAGAAACTAATTATTATGTCTGTACGACGCGTCTGAACTGCCATCCTGAAAAAACTTTTTTCTCACGGATATTTGCCTAATTTACTGTTCATCTCCTAATTCACAGTTGCAACTGTAAATTAGGAAGGAGAATCTTTTTTTTTCAAAACATCTCCTAATTCACAGTTGCAACTGTAAATTAGGGGATGTGTTATTTGTGTGCAGAAGCGAACACCACCATTTATTTACGAACTGATTTATTTCACGAAAGGGAACGAACACTCATTTATAACAAACATAATATAACTACTATTTATGTCGAACCATTTATATCACGCGGTATATGGCTGTCTCTCTGACAATCACTGACCACCTGCGCTGTCCTGTCGTCCTTATATATCAGATGATTTGGCTGGCTATATGCTTGTCGAATGTTCCCGAAAATCATCGGTACCCTTCTTTTGTTCTCGAAGCTTCTCATAGAAAAGTATCTCTTTCTCTCTCTCTAATAGTTCCATCGATTGTTTTGAGATGTTTCTGTCGCTGCGACACATATTGGATGTTCGAAAATATGCTGATTCATGTTAGAATTATTGGGATACTCGGGAACAATCTGATACGCGTGATACAGGAAGATCGTTATACGCCTTCTTGATGATGTTCGAGCCCCTCTCAGGGGAATATTACAATATCGTTCATGAAAATAACAAAAAACATGGGATCCAAGATTGATCCTTTAGGAACTCCCATTGTAACTCCAAGAGGATCAGATTCATAGAATCCAACAAGACTATCTGCCGGTTCTGCAAATGAGATGCGCCCCCTGACATCCCCCCTAGATTCATCCTCTATCATCCCCGGCCCCCGGCACTAGTAGTAGGTGCCAGATTCGAGCTAAGTGACCCCGAAACCTTCCTGAGAGCCCTTGGCACTCGATCATCCTGAAATTTCCAGTTTCAACTTTTTAATATTAGAAAAACCGAAAAAAAAAAAGACTCCCTATAGCAAAATCGACGTATGCTCACAATACATTCGTATGCAAACGCCATTTTCTTATTCAGTATAACTGAATCTATCACCTGATTGAATGGCATACAAAATTATATAATCTTGATATATATAATCGATGATGTAAAGTGACCTTCGAATATGTCTAAATTCGCCCACCCAAACTGTATGCAAATGTTATGGCATTGATTCATGGGTCGAAATGAAGGAATTGACCAAAGGGCATACCATCGTAAATAATCTGAGAGAAATGTCGGTTAATGGTAACTTGCGGTCCGTATGCCGCCCTTCGGGACCGACCTAGACGTATGCAAATCGGCTAGCGCCCGGTTAATTTGGCGAGATGCGACTATTCCAATGAATTTTAAAGCTTCTTCTATAAAACAATTTTCAACATTACTTTCAACAGGAAGTTGATTGATTAGGGAGATGGGCGACCGGGGTACCGATCCAACTAACCACTTTTTTCCCGATAATCCAACTCAATCTTCATGTCTCTTGAAGGGCATACCTTCGTAGATAATCGACACCCCTAGTGTTATGGGCCAACGGTCTAAGTGACATATTTCTAACAAGAGAACAAGAATTCACTTACACCGTAAGGGTGTACTAATACATGAACAATACTATAAAATGGTCATAGAAGTTTTGTGGAAATCTTATCTCTCGTACTGTGTACTATAACTGCTTTCGTATTTATATCTCGTCGATGTCGAACAAAAATCAAGAGTAATCAATTTGAATAAATCACCAAACTTATTATTCCCAATACAATCTTGTTTGATACTCTTCAAAAGAGTCGATGAAGGCATGAAGGTAAAAAAGGTATAGGTTATGTGAAAATGTCAAATTTTTCTGGTGGGAAAATTCTTGATATTCCATATTGAGATTGCAATGACAAACTCCCATATTTTGATGTGCAATCTACTGGAGACCATAATATCATAGTTCATTATATTTATATTAACATTTAATTGATTATAATATTTCATATGGCTATATTTCAGTGAATATGGCAACGTTAATGAATGAAGCCGCCTCAGAACTACCAACTTTCCAAGGTATCAAATACACCTCTGTAGATCTGGAAGGTGGGGCAGCTGCTTTGAAAGCAAATAACGGGAAATACGCTGTCTTCCTTGGATCAGATACGGTAAATACACTCAGAAACATCAGACTATCATAAAACAGGGGAACCTCCCAAGAATTTTTTTTTCAAGCAAATCGGTTCATAAGATTGGGAAAACATGTTTCGTACATATAAACGTTCATCATCAGCCCTTAACATCAGCAATAGGTTCTGACAAAGTACAGAAGATTAACACAACAGTGGCTAATGTGATTTTTGATACTAGTGACAAGTTCTATCGTAGAATCATCTAGAATCATTGGCACATTTTCAACATTCCACCTTGAGATTATGAATTATACAGGGTGGAGCATTAGTGCGTCGGAGCTCGATTGCTCGAGTTCTATGATAGCTAGAATCTTATTTCTGGAACGAATATGAATGAGACAACAAGGTCCATAACTAGAAATTATTGTCGCATATACAGGGGGCACGGGAAAAAATCTGGAGGATCTGGATCACTTTTTTTTAATGGAATGCCCTATATATTAGCACATTTTTTGAAGCATCCCTGTGACCTCCATACACTCCTATAATATTGTTGAATATATCCCGATAATTTCAAAATTATTAATTTTTTGTCGAAATAATGTCATCTGCAGATGCATACCGAAAAAATCACTGTAGTCACAATTATGAAATTTAAGAGAGAATAATCATAATATCATTTGATAGAAACATGTGTGATATTTCTGTAGAATTTTCATGCCCTCAAATTATACAGGGTGGCTAAAAATGATTTTTCTATTCGGAACTTTTTGAAGTGATTTTTCTCGAGATTTTCAAATGGAACACCCCATATATTTTTAGGCCATTTGGTGTAAAATCTAAACACGAATATTTTTTATCCCATCATTCATATTTATATTCGTGACCATTTTTGAATTATTGAACTTCGAAAATTATAGGTTGGCCATTTTCATCGATACACATTCTCATCAGATATCAAAACAACAAAAGTCCAATTATTGATTTAATAAACTTGTTTTTTTACTGAAAGAATTGAAACCAGAATCAAAGCAAACATTAGATATAGTTCATATGCTAGTAATTCACAGAGTAAAAAAAAGAATTCTATTTTTAAAATATCCCATAAATTCATAGCACATCAAAAACAAAACCAGAATAGCATATGAACTATTTCTGTTTGCTTTGATTCTGGTATATATTCTTCCAATACAAAAACAAGTTTAAAAAATTATTAATTGGACTTCTGATGTTTTAATAACAGATGAGCATGTGTATCGATAAAAATGACCAACCTATAATTTTCGAAGTTCAATAATTCAAAAATGGTTACGAATATCAATATGGATGTTGAGATGAAAGATGTTCGTGTTTCGATTTTGCACCAACTGGCCTAAAAATATATAGGGTGTTCCATTTGAAAAACTCGAGAAAAATCACTTCCAAAAGTTCTGAATTGGAAATTTCTTTCTAGCACCCTGTATAATTTGAGGGCATTCCATCAAATGATACTATGATTATTCTCTCTTGAATTTCATAATTGTGACTACAGCGATTTTTTCGGTATGCATCTGCAGATGACATTATTTCGACAAAAAAATTAATTACTTTGAAATGATCGGGATATAGTCAACAATATTATAGGAGTTGTTGGAGGTCACAAGGATGCTTCAAAAAATGTGCTAACGTACAGGGCATTCCACTGTAAATTTTTTCCGGTGCCCCGTATATGCGACGATAATTTCTAGTTATGGATCTTGTTGTCTCATTCACATTCATAGAACTCGAGCAATCGAGCTCCGACGCACTAATGCCCCACCCTGTATACATATGTACAGTGAGACCAACTTCTAATGGAGACACCCCTGTATCTTACGTAATCGTTGGGTAAGGCTGAGACACAATTGAAGTTTTATGTTATAAGTTTTAAGGTTTAAGATTTAAGATTTATGTATCAAAAATAAAAACAGGATCCAAAACAGAATCAAAATATAAAAGCTGAAATTCCACCAATAAGGTTGTATGATTTTACCACCTGAATCAAGAGTTCATCTGAACTATTTACAGTATCATTTTCTTCTTCACTTTGTGTATTTTCGTCAGGAAATTCAGTTATTTCAGTATCAGCTTCATTTTCTAATAATATCATGTCCGAATAATCTAAATTCGTATGATCATGAAAATGTGTCATGTTTTCATACTATTTTCACACATCAATCAACGTTTTTCTTCAAAACTTTTTCAAAAATGGATCTTTGATGTTTTTGTTTTGAGGTTATGTGACATGCATCATGCATCATACAGCTGCACAGAAATTCAGAAATAGTTCCGTGTGAAAAAGGATGAAACTTATTTCCTAATTCATAAATTTGTATTCTGTCTTTCGCCACAAGGAGCTGTGTGTTCATTTTATAAAACTTATATCTTAAATCATAAAACTTAAAACTTATATCATAAAACTTCAATTGTGTCGCAGCCTTTTGGATCCTGAAATTTGCTGGAGCGAGAGATTTTAAAAAATTGCACTCTATCACCAAGTGGGGTCATCTTCAGTGATATACACTGCTCACCAAAAGCCATGGAACTATCCCAATTTCCGGAAAATGATATTAGGAGTCAAAATAGGTCGAAAATCAATTCAGATTCGGAATCAGGACGCTCAATTCACTAACTATTCATATTTTTCCTAGAAAATTTTCTTCTGAAAAATTGAATTTTGTCGCACTTTTTACGGAAGTACCCCCGTATCTTACGTAATCGACTTCATCTTTGGACTTTCCCTTCCTCATGCAAATTTCAGAACCCTACCTCAATAATTACGTGAGATACGGGGTTGCTTCCATGAGAAGCGAGACAGAATTTAATTCTTCTGAACTGAACATTTTCTAGGGAAACTATGAATAGCTAGTGAATTGGGCGTCCTGATTCCGAATCCGAAGTGATTTTCAACCTATTTTGACTCATAATATCATTTTCCGGAAATTGGGGTGGTCCCATGGCTGTTGGGGAGCAGTGTATGTCACTGAAGATGACCCCACTTGGTCATAGAGTGCCTTTTTGGTATATCTCTCGCACCAGCAAATTTCAGGATCGGTACCCATTAGAAGTGGATCACACTGTATGAACCAATGATTACTTTTTTCAAGTTGATGGCAGCTGCCTGTGGTATGGGATTCGATTCCATCATTTCGACAACATTGAACTTGTTGCCTCAATCAGCAGTCGGTATCATGAAGGCAGTGAAAGAATCCAGAATTGAGGAAGCTAAGAAGATTCAAGAACGTGTTACTGCCGCTTGCTCTATCATAACCAAACATGGTGAGTAATCAGTCAATGAGCTCACGTGTGTATCTGATTTTGATCAATTCTGATTCCTCATAATTAATTGGTTTTCCTAACTTCACATAATTTAAATTTGCTACATGTTCCTTGAATCTAGGTTTGGTGAGTCTCCTAGTTTGTCCTAATTCATGTTCCGCCTCAACTAATTTAATAATGTTTTTCGAATGTTTCTTTTCATTTTAAGGTGCTTGGGTACCGACTATGAAAGTTGCTATGAACCATGTGACTTCCATTAACGTTGGGAAATCAAGACCACCCCTGGACAATTTGACCGAGGCACAGGAGAAAGAGATGAGAGATTCGCTGAAAGCAATATCTGTCTTGTAGATTATTATGATCAATACTCAAATATATGCAATAATTTTTATATGATCTCTTTTATTATTTACAATGAAATGGTCTTGGTCTATATCAACATCAACTTATATCATTACCAATATAGTTTTGTTTTAGAAAAAATATTTTACCAGACTTTTACTCCAGACCTGTTCGTTTGTGTTTACTCTACCTGCTAAACTCGTTTTTTTTTTCTATGACTTTCTCTGTTTACATTATGCCATGAACAGACTTAGTCAAAGGTTCTTCAAATTTGGTATATGGGGTTTTTAACGGATACCCTAGTGCGGAGTATAAGCAGAGCACTCTAGCTTCATAATGAAAAAATGAAAATTTTTTGACCCCGTTCTGCTTCGAATTTTTTTCAAATGCGAATATCTTGAATACCAAATATTATTGAGTGAAACTAACTTCAGATTCTTGTTGAACACCTGCATGCCAGTGGCGGCTCCTCAGAGGAGGCAACGGAGGCTGAGCCTCCTCAGAGATTTTCCTTAAACTGATATTATCTATACTTTCTCATTAAAAGGACACCAAAATACATGGATTTCGATTTTATTTCCTGTTTTTAGGTAAATATTATTGAATTGGCAACAGCGCTTGCCCACGCATCACACGTTGAAGTCTGCAAATCACGCGTAAAATATTCAACTTGGTAACATCTATAGGAGGCTAGACTCCTTCACAACTCCCAACCCACGCGCGCAATGCAAATGCCCGAATACGCCCGAATAGCACGTGTTTGTCGTGTCGCGTCGCGTCGCGAATTGCGGACAATCCAGCGCGAGTGCATTGTTTATGTTAGATTAATTGTTAGGGGCTCTATAAATTTCTGAAAAATGAGTGTTTCAAACGATTGCGATTTAGTGGAATACTTTTTGGTGAACCCATTCAGTGCTTTGCCTTATGAAGATAAATTGATTGTGAAACACAAACGTCCGACACCGGAATCAAAAAATCTGAACAGGTAACAAACAAAATCGTTCTTTCAATTCTGATAATTATAAAAAATATACCTGGTTGACGGGATCTGAGGTAAGGAATAAGCAATTTTGTTGGTACTGCGTATTATTTTCAACCGATAAGTCATCATGTTGGGGGCGATTAGGATATAATGATTTGAAAAATTTGCCTCGCGGATTGGATAGACACTGCAAATCACAGAAACACATCTCTTCAAGTATTAAGTTCAGGTCAACTGGTAAACAAAATGTCATTAAAGCTATTGATTTGGGTGAGTAGAGAGTTGTTTTTCACAATTAATCTCATATCATTCAGCCTCCTCTGTCATGAAAGTCACGAGCCGCCACTGCTGTATGCATGTTTTCAGTTCATTCTGACGCCTCGACATATATGAAAAAAGTTCAAAGGGGTTAACCTGGTTTATTTTTCAGACCTAAAAATCAACTTTGTCTCAGGGCCTTCAAATTAGGTACACAGGGTACTTAAGGAATTCCCAAGTGCGGAGTAGGAGCATAGCTCTCTAGCTTACATGTTGCAACTTATTTAATAAAAACATACTCGATCTAGTACAATTGACTGATCGATGTGGTGCCGACGAAAAAATCTGCCATCATTTCAGCTATGATTTCAGAGTTACTTCGAGTTTTTTTCTTCTTCATAGTATCATAGTTGAATGCAAATATCTCGGGATTAAGATAAAAACAAACGGAATTCATATTCTTCTTCAACACATCGAGCATATTTTGTATGCAAGTTTTCAGCTCAATCTGATGACTCCTCCAAGTTCATGAAAAAAGTTCAAAGTTCTGTTTCAAACCTTTAAATTAGGTATACACAGGGTCCTTAAGGGTTGCCCTAGTGCGGAGTATGGAAGCACATCTCTCTCTCTTTACGTAGGAAAAATGTTGCAATTCTCTCTGCTTGCGGTATTTTCAATAAAAAATTACTCGATCTAGTACGTCTATTGACTGGAGATTAGTGTCATGAGAACTGCTGATGTTTTGGCGGAACTGAATTAATTCACATATTCTGCCGACGAAAAAAATTGTTTGCCATCATTTCAGTGACATCCTCATGGTATTTGTTTATATATTTCAATGCAAAATCTTGAGAACCGAGTAAAAGATGTGTTTTTTTCATTTTGGAAACCGCAACATTGTGTGCAGAAATCTCTACCTGACTATGCTGAAATTATTGAAATAAAATCTACCGACTCAACCAACCTTCCTCAGAGATTATAGGGGGATCGGGGAGTGTATAATCTCTGCCTTTCTGATATCTACCGACTGCGCCTGGAGTGTTTATTTTACAGTTTCCTTCGGGCAGATCGACACTCATGGAAATACCTAGCTCAGTGACTCGCCGATAGATGGCAAACAAATATCAAATTTTCAAGGTTGGTAGAACTGATGATTATTTTGCCAATTTTGATTTATCAAGATTTACCTACAACGTACAACGCCTCTTTATTTTCTCTAAATAGGAGAAAGGCATATGAATTCACGGAGTACTGAATTTTCAATTTGAAGAGGTCAGTGGTTGAAGCCATTCAAATTTAAAGCTGCTTTGTGTTTTTGTGTACCAAACATCATGGCAATCCCTGTGAAGCTTTTTGAGGTGTCTGTTACTTGGTCAATAGCTTAGATGTCAATAGTATTTCGCGAAATAAATTGATTAGCAGCAGCCGCGGCGCCCAAAAAAATAGACTTCCTTCGCCTCTCTTCAAAATTCCCTCCCAAATTATTCTCGAGGTTGGTTTTAGTTGATTTGATATTCAAAGGATAGTGATCGTTTTACATTGAGTGCATTTTAGAGATTAGACCTACTATAAGCTCTATTCAACTTAGAATAATTATCAGCAGATCTACAGTGACTCTATTTATCAACCTTGATTTATCACGTCCCTACCGACATCTCTTAGCTAGTTTACGAGCCTCCTGAGAACCTTGAGACAGAATGCGCCTAGAGTGCTCTTTCTAGTTTCCTGTAGGCAGATTTCTTCACCACACGCATTGAAACACTCGGTTCAGCAACTAGCCGATAGATGACTAACAGACATTTTTGATTTATCAAAATGTATTTTCAATTGAATGGTTTATCCACAATGCCTCCGTTTTTTTTTTCAATTTTATTTCTCATATTAATGCTGCAAATTGATCAGGGAAAGGCATATGAATTTACAGACTACTGAATCTCGAGTAGAGGTTCGAATATTTCGTAGCCCTTCATAAACATCTGCTTTGTGTGCGAAACATCATGTAGATGAATTTTTTCGAAATGTCCGCAAACATTGACAGTTCGCAGACCCCGCTAAGCTTTTTTGACGTTGCTGCTGCTCGGTCAATCGTATTCAGTCAAATAAATTGATTGGCAGCGGCCGCGGAGCCCAAATAAGCCCCTTTCGCCTCTCTAATTTTGTAATTGGCCGACAGTTTCCCGCGCCCGCAGTCCTCTAGCAGTTCGATAAGTCCACGAGGCATCGAGCCCGGTTTGCGAGACAGGGAGTGGTAGCGGACGGAACCAATACAGTACCGCGCTGAAGTCGAGTGCGTCGCGACCATTGGTCTACGTCTCGCCGACCAATCATTGGGAAAGTGCACACTAAAATATCCAATGTAAGTCCACAAATTATCAAACATATTCTAGGATACTTTGGGGGGTTGAACTCGATCCCAGATCGGATTGTTTATCTATTAATTGGGGAATTTGGACGTGTTTCTAATTTGCTGTGGTGTCTTGCTTCGCGTTGCAATGTAATATGGCGACACACGGCGAAACACAAAGACCTTCGACTAGATTGATTACTCCCCGAATAGGTTCCATTCATAATGAGAGTTTGACGACTTTTACGAGGCAGTTCAGTATAAATCTCTAGGAACTTTCGCAACTTTGTTATTGTTTGGATCTAATAAAAGAAATACTGCGATTTTTACTTTCAAACTAATAATTTCGTCATATTTTTATGTCCATATTTCTATTCAATGGAACATCTGCCTCTCGTTTACCTAGAGTTCATTCTTTGTTATTTTTTTTCATACTATATTACCTACTTCGGTAAATATATACATCCTTCAGGCAGGAGGATAATAAGGAGATAATTTTAATTTTACAAGGATTTTACATATTTTTCAATATTTTAATTAGGGAAAGACGAGGGGAAAGATATCTTGAGCTTCTCGCACTCTTCACTCAGACCACTCATCAGAGACTGGCAGGGTCTGAATTGATCATATAATAATTCATTTATTATGGATCATATCATAGTTTGGAGAAGCAGAATTCCACCATGTATCATATCAGCAGTTGATGTGACTATTAATGATATGCCACGTGCCACAACCATAATTCTAATCGGTTTCATCTTTAATTTTCATAAATGAAAGGATGATTAAATAATATAGGTACCTACATATATAAATGACTACTGTGATGATAACAGTGACTCTAGTGATAACTGGTGATAATACTGAATTTAGTTTTAGATATGTTTGAAAGATGGCGCCTTATGAAACCAAGGTTGGTAGAATTGATGATTCATTATTTGCAGTTCATTGTTCATTTCTCGGTTCATTTGTAATAAATCATCAAATATACAAATAAATATTGTTCGAAACTAAGGTTGGTAGAATTTGATGATTATAGAGGTAACAATCAATTCTACCAACCTTTTTGGCAACATGAATTTAAAACAGATTATACAAGGTGTCCCAGAACAACGTATACTATAAATTCTACGGGGTGAACTAGAGACCAAAATAGGCTGATTGAAATCAAATTTACCTCTATACGAAAATGCACCGTTGAGCCGTAAGAGGGCGATGAAGAACAATTTTATTTCAAGATTTTCTTCAATATTTTGAAATCTTCGAAAGGTACTGCTCTGAAATTCTTAGGGCAATTTACTTTAGTGAATGTGCATGGAAAACATGTTGTACCAATTCAATCAATATACAAGAAGTTCGGTATTTTGCATTCTCTTTGATAAAAATTAATGTAACATTTATGGTAGGTAGGTATCTTGTTCTGGGACACCTTGTTTAATAAAACCCTCTTGTAAAACATACCTGCTTTTGCTATAAATCAAGGTGTAGTAAATTGTTCTTTCATCATAAACACCCTTTGGGTGATAATTCTCACTGATTCCAGGGGCGTGACAACGGGAAAATCAGTTATTGTTTTTTTCACAAAGAATTATATACATAGAATTTATGCAAGTTCAATATTTTTATTAGGTAAATGAAATTAACGATAATTGAGAGGAATTATTTCCGAAGTGATAAAGGAATTTCGGGAAATTTCAAGAAATTTTAGGAAATTTACCTATTCGGATGATAAACATTTGTGACGAAATGCAAAGGAATTACAAGGATATGGTAGATTTCCGGGCAATACCAAGAATTTTTATTTCAAGTAAATATACAACTTCGAAGAATCTTATAAAATTTTGAGACACTTCGGAGAATTTTCATGGATATATTTCACTAATTGAGAAATCTCAGAGAAACCATCAACAGTAAAAAAGAATGATTCCCCCGTAGGTATTTCGACCCCTAAGTACAGCTTTAATTAATACGAGGTGGAAAAAAACTTGAAATATTAAAGTTGTAGGGTTTCATATCTGTACTATATCTTTTGGCTATTCTTGAATAAACAATGAATTCGAATCGCAAAATGAAAAAAAAAAGAGTCCAAATCAGTATTTTCACCCTGTATATTTTCAACTGTTGTGCAAACGTGGCCCTGTAATTCTTTTTTGTGAAACTCAAGATGGCCTAACCAGATTTTGAATAACTGTTTCCGTTTATGAGATACCGAGTGAGATACAGTACAATTTTGAAAATTTATACTTTTTGGACCCCCCCCTCGGACCCCCCTCTATATCTACGAAGTTTCTCAAAGGAAATGTCAAATTAAAATCATATCCCATATGCAGAATCCTTTGGCGCACTCAATTTTTTTTCAAGGTATGGTTTTGGAGTCAAACTTATGATTTTCTAAATGGAACACCCTGTGTTTTATAAGCTTATCAAATTCCTTGTTTTTTTTCCTTTAAAATGATTTATAGTATAACTATTAAGTTTTGAAAAATGCTCAAGAATCACTTAAACATTGAATTTGAATACTTAGTGGGCTATGGATTTTTCACATAAAAAATGTTCCACTTGAAGGAATAATATGTTCTTTGATTGTTCATTCAGCTATTCGACTGGTGGGTGATGCCACACTCAGTAACTCTTTGACTCCATTAGAACACCGTTGAGAAGTCGGCGACCTTTCACTTTTTTATAGATACTTTCCCGGGCAATATTCCTCAGAAATCTCTGCTATGATACCAGTCGTACGAACTCGACAGTTCCATTCATTCGTTGTTAACCTTGAAAAATGTCGAACATCACTACCAAAACAAGTTCGTCTATAGAACGGCGAAGCTTTGGAATTCTGTGTCAATGGAAGTATTCCCAATAACCTATGACCTCCAGAAGTTCAAAATAATTCCAACACCTACCTCCTTCCCCTATCCTCTCTAGGTACGCACGATGTTGCACGAAAATTATAGGAATTTCCTTTCGTGCGCTCCAAGAGACGACAAAAATTCAAGGAGTGTCAAAGATAGCAAAGATGAAAGTATTTTTCCACTTCGTATAGCATTAAAGCTGTACACAAAACACTTTCATCACTTGTCACTTATTTCTTTTAGTCTAAGTCCCTCACTCATCTGCTTACCGGATGAAATAGTTATTTATGTACCAAGGACGAAAAACTGTCTATTATAATCGAGTCTTGATAGCCGAGGCCTTAGCCAAATATAGAATCTATATGTAAATTTATTATTTATTTTGTAAATTTATTAGTGTATGTGATTAACTAAAGATCAATAATAATAAATGAGTGTAAGTAAGTAAGTAAGCTTCAATTTCACAAGGAATTCCAGTTGCTTGTACACCAGAAATATACCGCACTTCACACAAAGAATTCCAAGAAACTCCAAGGAATTCCAAGGAAATCCAAGAAAATCCAAGGAAATCCAAGGAATTTCAAGGAACTCCAAGGAATTTCAAGGAACTCCAAGGAAATCCAAGAAATTCCAAAGAAACCCAAGGAATTTCAAGGAAATCCAAGGAAATCCGAGGAATTTCAGTTGTTCTCACTCCAAAATTATACCACATTTCACCCAAAGAATTCCAAGGAAATCCAAGGAATTCCAAGGATTTCAAGGAATTCTGATAAAATACGAGGAATTCCAAGGAATTCCAGTTGTTTGTAGATCAGGATTATACCGCACTTCACCCAAGGAATTCCAAGGAAATCTAGGGAATTCCAAGGAAATCTAGGGAATTCCAAGGAAATCTAGGGAATTCCAAGGAAATTCAAAGAATTTCAAGGAGACCCAAAAAATTTCAAGGAAACCCAAGGAATTTCAGGAAATCCAAGGAATTTCAGTTGTTTTTACTCCAGAATTATAGCGCACTTCACTCAAAGAAATCCAAGTAAATCAAAATAATTCAAAGGATTCCAAAGAATTCTAAGAAAATACAAGGAATTCCAAGGAATTCCAGTTGTTTGTAGACCAGGAATATACCGTACTTCACCCAAGGAATTCCAGGGAATTCGAAGGAAATCCAGGGAATTCCAAGGAAATCCAAGAAAATCCAAGGAAATCTAGGAAATTCTAAGGAATTCCAAGAAAATCCAAGGAAATCTAAGGAAACCCAAGGAATTTCAGGAAATCCAAGGAATTCCAGTTGTTTTCACTCCAGAATTATACCCGCACGTCACCCAAAGAATTCCGAGTAAATCCAAGGAATTCCAAGGATTCCAAGGAATTCTAATAAAGTACAAGGAATTCCAGTTGTTTGTAGACCACACTTCACCCAAGGGAAACCAGGGAATTCCAAGCAAATTCCAGGAAATTTAAGGAATTCCAAGAGAATCCAAGGAATTCCAAAGAAATCCAGTTGTTTGTATACCAGAATTCCATCGCGGTTTACCCCTCGTTTTTTGTAGACGTCGATGAAAAATTATATTTCATTTAATGACATATAATTATCATCTGGTAAGCAGATGAATTAAGGTCGACCTTCCTCGGCATCCTCTACAATCCGTTTTTCCAGCGATGGAACAACTGACGACGACGGCCGACGGACAGGTCGTGTTGCAGGGCGTGCCCGGCGGCGGCCATCATCAGGTGCAGATGGTGCAGATGCAGGCCGGGCAGGTCATACAGGGCGCCAACGGCCAGCAGATCGTCGTCCATGCCGTGCCCTCGGGCGGCCAGATCCAGGTGGGCGGCCCGGGGGCGGCGCAGCAGCTCCAGCAGATACAGGTGGGTGGGCGGTTGGTTGGTTTTCGTTCGGAATGTTTCGAAAAATGAAGATGAATCGTTTATTTATGGACTCAATGAATCGAAAGTAGACGTTTGCTCCCTCATTTTTGAGGAAACAAAGTTGTCAATTTACTCCCACGGGAGGAAACAATATTAATTCCCGTGGGAGGTAAAATTAATTGGCTTCAGCATTCATCCTTTGGCGGCGATATACCTATAAAATCTGTGCACTCCGAGTAATCAGTGTCTTATCACTATTATGAAACATGTAACAATAATATCTTCTTTGAATTCCAATGATGTCATACGCTTCTTTATATTTCGAACGTACTTTTAATCAAAACTTTCAAATGCAGTTACCCAATATACAGGGCGGGCAAAATTGGGCGTTTTCATTGGCTATCTCAGTAACTGAAGGACTTATCAAAAAATCGATATACATGTTACGGGTTCGATTTTAGAGAAACCTCGAATGGTACAATTGGAATTTTGATATCTTCATTCGTTTCAGAGATACAGGGGGAAATTGAAAAATTTCCGATTTCATTTTTATTTTCTGAGTACTTTATGAAGAGAGATATTGAAAAATTTCACATTTTTATCCACATAGAGTTATGCGTAAAATCCATTGGCATCATCAGAAATTGTATACAGGTCAATTATTTTTCTTCTAATGGAACACCCCGTATATTTTAGCACAGTTGGATAGTCCTACGCATTCCATATTCAAATATATATATTAATCTACCTTTTTCTTCGACAACTTTAGAAAAATTCGCAAAAATATACTCAGTGTGTCACATTTCTCATGGTTGCACCCAGCAGCTATGGAATCACCGACATCTCTGGAAAATGCTATAAAGAGGCAGAATATAGGTTGAAAATGATACTCTGTATATATTAACCAAAGTAGAAAAATAAAGGTTGGAAATGTGAATCAAATATTTCATTTCTAGACAATGGATATTTGGTATGAAATAAAATTTGAAATTATTTGAATTGATATCATTATCAATACATTCATACTATTCCGTGCGAAAAGCTACTTTACACCTCAACAGCTTCTCATGATCTACAAAGCACAGATACGGCCTGTTCTAGAATACTGTTCCCACATATGGGGTTCAGCACCAAAACATACGCTGATGCTCTTAGATTCCATCCAGAGAAGAGCCATCCGCCTGGTGGGTGACGCCACACTCACTCACTCTTTGACATCATTGGAACACCGTAGAAAGGTCGGCGACCTTTCACTTTTCTATCGATACTTCCACGGGAAATGTTCTTCGGAAATCTCTGGTATCATCCCTTTACTAGCAATACCAGTCAGACGAAGTAGACAAGCCCAGTCAGCACATCCTTTCGTTGTCAACCTCGAAAGATGTTGAACAGCACTTTATCAAAATTCCTTCATCCCTAGGAACGCACGATGTTCTTTGAACATTATAGGGATTCCCTTTCGTGCGCTCCAAGCGATAAAAAAAATCAAAATACAGAAATAAGACAATTAATTTATTAATTGGGAAATCAGTAGGTTACATGAAAAAATAAAGCTTCATAAAAGATGTTCAAATTGTCCGTTTTGGCCTAAGCAAACTTCACATCGTTTCCTCACAGAATTCACTGCGTTGGTTAGATTTAGATGAATGGGTCAATGGGTCTCACTTCTTGGAATGCTGAAATGTCGTCTTGCACGCAATTCTTCAGCATTTTGATGATCTCGACGATATATATGATTTTTTAGAAATCCCCACAAGAAAAATTCCAATAGAGACAAGTCGGGTGAACGAGGGGGCCATTGAATCGGTCCATAATATGTACCAATCCATGTTTGTGGAAATTTTATATTCAGAATATCTCGTGTCGACCCTTGCAGGTGGTGCCTGTGAGCAGTTTGCAACAGGGGCAAGTGTTGGTGCAGCCCCAACAGCAGACAGCCCAATTGGTTCAGACCCCGGACGGGCAAACGTTCCTATACCATCCTATGACGATAGAAAGTGGTGGAATTCAACAGGCCACACCCACAGGTAAGGTTATACCACATATTATATCATAGACTTATCATCTCCAGTAGAATTAACATCATGTTTTCCATTAATCTGCATTAGTTTCTGCACACTTGCCAATGAAATTCACAAATAGTTGATGAGAATTACCTCGAGAACTACGAAAAATAATAATGTGAACTAACCATTAATACTTTGAACTACTTTTGTGGCAACACCGCAATGTATGGATGAACCACGGTGCAATCGCATTTAGAGCGAAAATTTTGCTACTTCTGTAATAGCTCGTGATCTATAACGATATTTCAATCAGTTGTCAAACATTTCTAAGCGTGAAGCACAAAAATCAATCAGTACCGCCATTTATACAGTGTGACCCACTTCTAATGGAAACACCCCTGTATCTTACGTAATCGTTGGGTAAGGACCAAGTGGGGTCATCTTCAGTGATAAACACTGCTCGCCAACAGCCATTGAACCACCGAAATTTCCGGAAAATGATATTAGGAGTCAAAATAGGTTGAAAATCACTACAGATTCGGAATCAGTACGTTCTATCTTGAACGAGAGAGAAGGAAGTTCTGTCCTCTTCCTCTTCCATCTTTCTCTTCAATGCTACCAACGTGGCCTCATTGAAATATACCCAGCGAGCACAAACATCCCTGGGATGTTTTGAAAATGTTGGCATGAAGATGATATTTTGAGACGTAATATGCACTGACCAAAGAGGTCTTTGAAGGATATTGAAGTATTGTTTTTGTTCTTCTGTGGCATTTCTTTGTTTGCCTACTGAGAGTTATCCCTGGTGTGTTTTGGGATGTTTTAGAAATGTAGGCATGAGGATGTTTTTTTGAGGCGTAATATGCACTTCCCAAAGAGGTCTTAAAAAGATATTGAAAGTATTGTTCTTGTTCTTTTGTGCCCTTTCTTTGTTTGCCCCACCACAACGTCTCATGCTTACGTCACAATACGATGAATTCTGATTTGTTTTCGATTTTGTTCTTCTTGTTCGAAATTGGCATTCGCGTTTGCAGCGTGTCACGCTTACATCACGCTGCTAACGAACAGAAAGGAATTTGGTGAAGTTTATTGTGTTAGAAGACTTATTTAGTTTGTAATAATGACCATCAGATGCAAGATGTGTTGTTCGGTGCCTCAGTGTAATCAATATATAAAAGTACGAAATCATCAATACACAGCTTTTCCGCAGTTGCAAAATTATGCATTGTGGAGAACATGTCAAAAATTGGGAAACCCATTTCCAATTATATGTCTGTGTGTAGTAAGCACTACTCAGAAACCGAATAAGAAGGTCATTTCATATCAAGAAAATATTTTTATGTTCAATCTATTTTTAATGCATTTTTTCATTCAAGGGAAATGTTATCCTAATGCAGAAGTTCATTTTGACAAAAGAAAAGTACCTCGAAAATGGTTTTTTACAGCCATTTAATGTGCGCAAGACGCGTTGAAAATGTTCTGTTGTGTCCATGAAAAGGGTTTAAAAAGAACTAGGGAGAAGGTAGTTTTGTGACATATCAAAGACATCTCGATAATTGATGCCGCCTGCGGCGTACATAGGCTGTTCTATAATAGTTCTATTCATGTGTGAACAGAACATCGCAGTGGAGGTTCAATGTCTCGAAATCTCGTACTTTTAACATCTCTGAGATGTTTTTGTGCTCGCTGGGTAGAGGGGTCCGATAAATCTTTTCTTGTCATACATCTAGTTTGTGCCTCTGAACTATTTTTCCATTCAACTGAGTCAAATTAACAATATTAACAAAAGATGTCAAAATAAGTATGATAGAATCTGTAATTTCATTTCAGGAATTCGAAAGGTTATCAGTCAATGATATTATGACATAGATCCAAGGACATATCACATCACTAACTGAAATATCTCACTAAAACTGAACTGCATCAGTTATTATGTGTTTTTTCGAAAGAAATATGTCAGTTCAGAAGGAAAGAATATCATTACTCGCGATAGAAAATAAGCGTACGCCACCTATCGGAGGTCTTGAAAGCTGTCAAAGCAGCATGTTCACTTTGTTTTCATTGGTTCACATTCGTTTTTTGTTTATGCCAATTGGTCACATCATCAAAACAAACCGCTCAGAGTTCAAGTCGTTACCGTCAGGTGGAGTGAAGTGTTATTTTCTATCGCGAATAACATCGAAAATAGTTCAATGGCGCAGACTAGAGGTTAGACACAGAAAGATTCATCGGACCTCTCTGTATTTCAATGCGACCAGGTTGGTAGCATTGAAGAGAAAGATGGAAGAGGAGAGAACTTTCCTCTCTCTCCTTGAAGGTAGAAAAGAGCTCAATTGTGAAGTATTTTTATTATAATGACAAATGCTAAACCTTTGCTTTATACACTGAACAGGCATACCATCAAATAAAATAGTTGGTTTTAATTGTGCTGCATAGATCCACCTTTGGCCCATAAATCAAGATAAGCATATTATTTAGAAATTACAAGAAAATGAAAAACTGGAATGCCCCTCAATTTTTTAAATACACCTTAATGACAAACAGACAAGAAACCGAGTTGATAAAAGTGGCATAAGGTAAAATGCATACACCCTAACCTCAAATAAGACTGATTTCCTGCAGTTGTTTCCATTGGCTGACGGTTGAACAGTAAATGAACGTCAACCGCAAAAGTTGAAACATAGTTATCTTTGAACGTCAGTTAACATTTTATATATTTCAACTCTGAACGGCAACGTCAACTTCAACTTTATGAATCCACCGTTACTCCCTTTCAAGGAATTCAACTACCCCAATATCAAAATGTGGCAAGAAGAAAAATGCAATACAATATCTGTTTGAGAAAGAAAAACTCATCAAAAATCAATTACCGTCCACCCATGTACACCTTGTTGCTTTGCTCAATGAACATTCAGGACTAATAGGTCGCGTGCACGATGACCGACCCTGGAGGCAAAATATTGAAACACAACCTCACTCTTCTGTGAATTATTGAAACACAACCTCACTTTTTTACTTGGTTACAGAGGAATCAAAGGATTGAACTAGTTTTTCACAATATTTTGGCATACGAATCGTGTTTTTTTGCGCTATTCATTAATTCGAGCATGCCTTCGCATTGTGCTGTTGTACAATGCACAAAAAATGCAGCAAGAGACTAAAGAATATGATTTTTCAGGTAAATAGTAATCTCACATAGTTATCATTATGAAATGTTGTCATTCCTTATTAAAATTCCTTCTGCCTTCTGTCACTTCTGCAATACAAGCTAATACTGCTAATAGATTGAAAATGTCTACAACACACACGATCGTCAGCATGTCAGACCAGTCCTCCCGATTGATTGCATGAATCCAATCTTCTTGCATTATTCTAGAAATTTCAGGTATACAGGGTGTTTCGAAATTCGACCGACAACGTTTGACAGGTGATAGCCCTCGTGATTTCATAATCATTGAGATAGGAACATTCGGTCTTCAAGTGTTCAGTTCTCGAGATACAGGGCGTTGAAGTTGAGAAATGAAAATAGTTGTTTCGCAATATCTCAAGAATAATTGAATATAATGCATTCAACTTCGGTATATGGTTTCATCTTTGAATGGGCCATTTTTTGACCTGGAAGCCATTCCGGACATTTTGTCCAGTGGTGCCCTACAGGGGGTTGTGGCATTTTTTCCTTCCATATTTTCTACGCCACTGATTGAATTTCGATTATTTCCAATTCCTCGAATTCATTGTTCAATTTTGTTCAGAAAATGCATCACCTTCAACTGAGCTGAAATAAACAGTTTTCGAGATATTCGACCCAAAATAGAAGATTGCATAGTAATATTTCATCATTTTCAGTAGTAGAAAATTGCAAAAATATTTTTCTGGTGTTGAGTAGATTAGATACTATTCAGATCTCATTCCATAGCTGAACAGAAATAGTTATTCCACACATGAAGAGAAAACAAAAATTTTCGTAATTTTTTACTACCGAGGAAGATGAAAAATTACTATGCATACTTCTATTTTGGGTCAAATATCCCGATAACTGTTCATTTTAGCTCAGTTGAAGGTGATGCATTTTTTCAACATAACTGAACAAACAATTCGAGAAATTGGAAATAATTGAAATTTCATCAGTGGCGTAGAAAATATGGGAGGAAAAGTTATCACAACCCTCTGTAGCGCATCTCTGGATAAAATTCTCGGAATGTCTTTCTGGTCAAGAAATTAATCAGTGAAAGATGAAACCATATACCGAATTTGAATGCATTATATTAAATTATTCTTGAGATATTGCGAAAAAACTATTTAAATTTCTTAACTTCAACGCCCTGTATCTCGAGAACTGAACACTTCAAGACCGTCTGTCCCTATCTCAGTGATTATGAAATCACGAGGGCTATCACCTGTCAAGCGTTGTCGGTCGAATTTCGAAACACCCTGTATTTCTATTAGCTCTTATTGCAGAAGGAATTCCGCGAGAAATCAGAGAAATAACCAAATTTCAAAAATGAAAACTATATGTGAGTGACTATAGTAGGTACTTACTTTTAAATCATATTGTACCAACCGGATTACTTCGTCTTCCGCTGCAGTTTTTGTGCATTTCACAACAGCATAATGTGATGGCATGAGCGAATTGATGAATAGCGGAAAAATACGATTCGTATGCCAAAATAATTGTGAAAAACTATTTCAATCACTTGTAAACAAATAAGTAAAGTGACGTTTGTGTTTCAATATTTTGCCTCCAGTGTCGGTCATCTGACAGTTCTTGCACGCAACCCATAGAAACAACAGATTTCTAACCTGTTGTATTATTTTTCCAGTGTTGAACATAAACGGGAATCTCGTGCAAATATCTGGCGCTGCTCAAGCGACCCCTGGCGGAGTGGCTCAAACGACGGTGACGTCACCAACGGCGCAAGTGGTGCCTCAAACTCTCACCGCCGCGTCGCCCAATCAACTCGCAATGGCTAACGGGAACTTAGTCATGGTGAGAAATAACACGACAGACGTACGTAACACTATACCTATACTAACAAATTGCTCTAGCACTTATGTCACATCAGGTGATGATTCATACTAAGTTTCATGATCAATTATACCAATACATGCTACTGAACTGGTATTGAATTTTTCACATAAAAAAATTACAGTTCTAGTAATTTCAAAAATGTTCTAAAATAATCTAGAATGTTTAATTAATTTCCAAACCTTGATTAACCTACATACAATTTTCATTTCAAGACTCTCAAGTCAACTTATTCACATTCAGTACAAAATTGAATTCATCAACTACTTTTATCAATATGTATTTGAAGTTGAAACTTTTTAGAATATTGAATTGACATTTTACCGCAGATATTATATCATAATATATAATATAATATTACTAGCTGACCCGGCAAACGTTCTTCATTTTTCAAAACTACTCTTTATTTTCTACTCACTTTTTTTCAGTTTGGCTATCTATAAAAACGTGTATCATTAGTTTTTCAAACTACTATTTATTACAATAGCTCATACCCGACAAACGTTCGTTTTGCTATACAGTGTGTCCCACTTACCATGCTCACCATGGGTATCTTTTTAACGTTTAGAGATACGAAGTCGGTTATATGACACCAAATGTGGAGTTTGTCAAGGCCAACTATGAAGTGAAAAAATATTTTGATAAAATCTAGTCGTTTTTGTTTTATATGCAAAAAACAGATATTGATCATTTTCATGTCTCCTCCATCACTTCTTTATTTATGAACATATTCAAATAGGAATTTCACATTCTTATGGCAGTTTTTCAAAGTGATTTCGAAAAAAATATGAAATTTAAATGCGAAAAAAAGTGTTATTGATTTATGTTTTTGTAATAATGATAAGCTTGATATAATCGACAAATTCGAAGTGTTGAATAACTTTTTCTTATCGGATCATTTTCCTATCCAAGTAACCTTGAAATGTCGAATTGCTTCAGTTAACTGCGGTGAAAGAATTGATAATATTACATCAAAAAAGCTAACTTGGAGAGACGATATGATCGATAGCTACAGGTTGAATTTATACCTGAATCCCAATGTCGTATTTCTCGATGATGTCGAAGAGTCCTATGCAAACTTATGTAGTACGATCTGGTCTGTGGCTAGTGATCTTGACCTAGTCCACCAAACCAAACCTAATCACAGAACCTACAACAACAAACCTTGGTATGACTCTGAATGTATTTACTCTAAAAAACATTGCAAGAACCTATTGAATATATGCAAGAACAAACATTTCATTGAGCCCTACAGATCAGAATATTTGAAACAAAAACTGCAGTATAAAAATACCATTAGAAGAAAAAAAATTGAACATGAAAAAAAAAATTACCCTCTCCCTTTGTAATACAAAAAACCAGTCTGAATTCTGGAAAACGCTCAAATCATTTAGATCATCGGGGCAATGTTGCCAAATTTCTATACCGGAATGGGAAAATTACTATGATCTCATTTCTACTCCGAAAATTTCATCGGATTTAACTCTGTTTGATGCCCGAAATCCTTACTTAGATTCTCACATAACCCTTGAAGAACTTCAAATATGTCTAGCTAGTTGCAAAAATGGAAAATCTCCCGGTAAGGATGGTATAACATATGAATTTTTGAAAAATTTGCCAAACAATTGGATGTTGTATTTATGCTCTTTATATAATAATATTCTAGATGTTGAAAATATTCCTCGAGCATGGCATGAATCAGCTCTGTCAATGTTGCACAAAAAAGGTGATCTCAATGATCCTAATAACTACCGGGGTATTGCCCTGTTGAATACACTCGCCAAATTATTTACATCAATTTTACTCAATAGATTGTCTGCATGGTGTGAAGATAATAATATTTTACCGGAATGTCAATCAGGTTTCAGAAAAGGAAGAAGTTGCGCTGACAACATATTTACTCTCCTCTCAATTTTACAAATTCATCTCCGATTACGAGGCAGGAAAATTTTTGTAGCTTTTGTTGACTTCAAGAGAGCTTTTGACTCGGTCAATCATCAGTTGCTCTGGCTTAAATTATTTGATCGAGGGATAAGCTCAAAATTCATCAGAATTATAAAAAAATTATACGATGATGCATCAACTTGCGTGAAAATACAAAATCAATACAGCAAAGAATATAGTGTTTCGCAAGGAGTTCTTCAAGGGGAACCACTCAGTCCCACCCTGTTTTCTCTTTTCCTCGCGGATATTGAGGAATACTTTCTCAATAAAGGCCACTCTGGCGTGAGCATTGACAACTCACACAGCGCTCTATTACTGCTGTATGCTGATGACTTAATCATATTTAGTGATTCACAAGTTGATCTTGCTCGCAAATTGAAAACTCTGGAAGAGTATTCAGCAGAGAATAAGTTGACCGTCAACACTCAAAAAACAAAAATTATGGTGTTCTGCAGGGGTGGGTACCATTTCAATTACAATAACAAATTTTATCTCTACAATGAACCATTAGAAGTTGTAAAAAAGTACTCCTATCTTGGGGTGATATTTTCTTCTTCTACTTGTTTTCTCGAAATGTCTAAGGATACCGTAACTAAATCAAATCGTGCTATCGGGGCTGTTATGAATATCATGTGCAGATCTAAGATTAACTCATGGCACGCTAGAATTAAATTGTTTGAATCCATAATTGTGTCATCCCTTGCATATTCCATTGGAATTTGGGGACTACGTTATGTTGACGTTATAGAACGGATTCAAGTTAATTTTTTCAAACGTTTACTGTCACTCCCTAAAAATACTCCAGACTATATTGTTCGTCTGGAAACTTCCTCAATAAAACTTTCTCATCTGATTTTCACTGCTGCTCTTTCACATTTTGCACTTCTCAACTCAATGGACAACCATCGACTACCAAAGCTCTGTTTTTTAAGATTGCTCAGACTTGATAACGTTGATCCTAAATACAACTGGGTATTGCAGGTCAAACAATACTTCTCTTTTGCCGGAATGGTCGATCGTTGGCAACAGTTTCTGCTCAATAGTTCCAAGAAAGCTATAACTTCTCTTCTGCACAAATTCAACAATGAACTTTTAAGCATTGATTTAGATAGTTTGAGCCAATCTTCGTATCCTCTCATTTATAAAAGTCTCTCTCTACGGGTAAATGTTCAAAACTACCTCAAAGCGCCCGTTCCCATCTATATAACTAGAATTATCGCTCAACTAAGGACATGCAGTAAGTCGTTCTTTAGAATTACCTTCAATCGAATAGTGTATAGAATAAATACTGAAGAAGAATGCACTGTTTGCAATCTCCACAGACCGGAATCTTTGGAACACATTCTCTTTGAATGTCCAGTTTATGCTGGTATCAGGGATTGTCGATTATTTCAAGACGTTGAATCTCTTGATGATTTAATATATCTTCTGAATTACGGTGGCCTAGCTGACTTGAAACTCCTAGTACAGGTTCTGATCAATTTGTTGAAGCTCAGATTTTTTGCTGTGAATGAGTAATTTGCATATCAATTATTGTTTCAATGCCTATGTAGGTCCCGCAGGAAGGATTTTTTGTTTTCGTTTTAGCTATAAGTTCTCATGTATTATTAATCACAGATCACCCAACCCTTGTAATAAGAATTGTAATTCTTTTAATACAATAAATCTATCTATCTATCTATCTATCTAATATGAAATTTATACCAACTCTTCTAGAATTTGAGATATCAGCACCAACTTTAGTTTTTCAAATGTAGGTCATAGCTCACTAGGACTTAGTTACAAGTAACTTTTTTTTCTCTTACAGATGATATGTCGCAGTAATAGTTTTGTGTTGACAACAACGGAGTTATCGTCATTTATACAAAAACAAATAATTATTTGGAAGCCGCCATCTTGAATTTATAAATTTTAACAAAAAAAACATGATTTCCGACCTCAAAATCCCCCACTTACCAATTTTGAATGGAATCGGACGAAATCTTGTCCGCCATCTTGGAGCAGCCATTTTTTTTAATTTCAACAAAATTTCCATAATGTATTGTGGACAAGATTTGGTCCGATTCCATTCAAAATTGGTAGGTGGGGGTTTTGGAGTTCGGAGAACATGTTTTTTTTGTTAAAATTTATGAATTCAAGATGGCGGCTCCCAAATAATTTTTTGTTTTTGTATAAATGACGATAACTCCGTTGTTATCAACACAAAACTATTACTGCCACATATCATCTGTAAGAGAAAAGAAAGTTATTTGTAACTAAGTGATAGTGAGCTATGACCTACATTTGAAAAACTAAAGTTGGTGCTGATATCTCAAATTCTAGAAGACTTGGTATAAATTTCATATTTGTTTCGAAATCACTTTGAAAAACTTCCACGAGAATGTGAAATTCCTATTTGAATATTTTCATAAATAAAGAAGTTATGGAGGATACATGAAAATAATCAAATTCTGTTTTTTGCGTATAAAACAAAAACGAATAGATTTTATCAAAATATTCTTTCACATTATAGTTGGCCTTGACAAACTCCACATTTGGTGTCATTTAACCGACCTCGTATCTCTCACCGTTAAAAAGATACCCATGCTGAGCATGGTAAGTGGGACACACTGTATACATTTATTTCTAGAAAATATTTCTTTAGTTATATACAGGGTGTTACATAATTCAATACAAATATTTTAATGACATATCCCTGGGGTCAAAATAAGACTTTTATTTCCTATAAACATGTGTCCTAAAATCCACCCCATCAAATCTGTATGCAACCCTCATTCACCCCTTTCGATTCGAGTTACCTTATTTTTGAATCAAGAAATGAATAGATCGTCTAAAAATACAAGTGCCTGTGAATTTTCAAAATATTTGATGCATAATTGTAGCCACAATTCGAAATTTAAGATTTTTTTTGCACATCTTGCGATGTCTGTAGCTTGGAGGGGGTGGATTTTAGGACACATGTTTATAGAAAAAAAAAGTCTCATTTTACCCCAGGAATATGTCATTACAATATTTGTATTGAATTATGTAACACCCTGTATTTATCAACACACTATCATTATTTTGTTTTCTACTTTTATTCAGTTTGGCCTCGAGTTTGGCTATCTATAAGAGCATGTTTCATTATAGTTTTTCAAACTACTATTTATTACTAAGCTCTTTCGCCATATTGGATCCGCCATCTTGATTTTCCCAATTTTAAAGAAAAAAATCATATTCTCCGACCCCGAAAACTCCCAGATACAAATTTTGAATGGAATCGGTTCACAGTTAACTCTTCCGCCATACTGGATCTGCCATCTAGGATTTCCAAATTTTGATAAAAGAATCATTATCTCCGATTCCAAAAACTGCTGGATACCAATTTTGAATAGAATCGGACCATAATTAAAGAATTCGTCCGCCATATATTGTATCCGCCATTTAGAATTTTCTAATTTTGGCGAATAAATCATAATTCTCCAACCCCGAAAATCCCCAGATACCAGTGAAATCGGATTACAAAACTCGTCCGTCATATTGGATCCGCCATCTTGATTTTCCCAATTTTAAAGGATAAAATCATATTCTCCGACCCCAAAAACCCCCAGATATAAATTTTGAATAGAATCGCGGATCATAATTATAAAACTCGTTCGCCATATTGGATCCTGTATCTTTAATTTTATAATTTTGATGAAAGAATAATAATCTCCAACCCCAAAATCCCCCAGATACAAATTTTGAAAGGAATCTGATCATAATTAACAAACTCGTCCGCCATATTGGATCCGCCGTCTTAAATTTTCGATTTGAGAAATAGATTACGACCGATTCTCATACCCACTGAATACGCTCAAAAATTTTCAAACGAATCGGTCGAGCCGTTTCGGAGGAGTTTGGCCACTAACACCGTGACTGGGAAAGGAGAATTTTAGATATTAGAAGATGATAATTATTATGAAATTAATAAACACTCAGAATTATTGTGAATGACCTCTTTTTTATAGATGGTACCCAGTACCGGTGCCCAGCAATTCCAAAGAGTACAAATACCAGGCACAGAATTTCTAGAAGAAGAACCTCTATACGTTAACGCTAAACAATACAGGAGGATACTGAAAAGAAGGCAAGCCAGAGCGAAATTGGAAAATGAAGGAAAAATACCGAAAGAAAGACCAGTAAGTAGAAAAACCCTGTATAGATTCTTTTATTTATCAATCATTGTGGTTTTTTTTTTTTCAGAAATATCTTCATGAATCCAGACATAGGCACGCCATGAATAGGATAAGGGGAGAAGGAGGAAGATTCCATTCTGGATCTGTTAAAAAACGAAGGTATTTTCTTCTTTGTCCATATACTCATTCATCGAATATAATCAGAGGGTCTTCCATTTGAAAAAAATCAACCTCATCAACATATCACATGACTTACGGAGTATTAAAAAAATTAATGTATCCCTATCACCCTCTCTTAGAGCTCTTTTAACAAAATAGTTCAGTGAAGGTGTCACCCTGTACACTGCTCACCTCCATTTTTTGACAGAAGAAATTTTATATTTGCCTCGAATGGTTGTTCATTGTTCTACAAAACTAGTAGGGACAAAATGAAAATGAGAAAGAACGGATGAAGAAACATTCTTCTCTTCACAAAATATGATTAAAAAATGATATCTTTGTGTTTTTTGGAAATAAACAGCAGTCACAAAAAATTATTCACATATGAAACAACCGAGTTTTTCAAACATGTAAATTTTTGATGTTATGAAAAATTCAAAAATCTAGAAAGCACAAGCAATTTTTACTCATAACATATTTGAAATGATAGAAACAAAACAAGAAAATGTAGGGAAAGACGGAAAACAAAAAGAAGAGACAATGAAACATGTTTTCTCCTGAAAATGTTATCATTAAAAACTATCTCTTCAATTATGTCGAAGTTGCGGAAAGAAAAAAAAAAACGATGACGTAATTATTTCAGTTTCCAAATATTAGTAACTAGCAGAGCTCGCAAACGTTGTTTTGCTATATACATTATTTCTATAATATATTTTTTCAGTTCAATATTCATCAAGACACTATTATTATTTTATTTTCTACTTCTTTTTAGTTTCGCCATCTATAAAAGCGTGTTTTTTTAGTTTCTCAAACTACCATTTACTAGAACTTCTTTTTAGTTCACTTGAATTCCCCAATTTTGACGAAAGAATCATAATATCCGTCTCCTAAAACCCCAGATGAAAATTTTGAATAGAATCGGAACATAATTATTACAAAACTCGTCCATAATAGTAATATTAGATCTACCATCTTGAATTCCCTAATTTTGACGAGAGAATCATAATTTTTGATCCCGAAAACGCCCACTTACAAATTTTGGATAGAATCGGTATATAATTAAAAAATTCGTCCGGTATATTGGTTCCACCGTCTTGAATTTCCAAATTCCGCACTTTCCAAATTTTAACAAAAGAATCATAATCTCCGACCCCGAAAACACCCTGATAACAGTTTTGAAGAACGTCGGATCATAATTACAATACTCGTCCGCCATATCGAATTTCCTAATTTTGACGAGAGACTCATAATCTCCGAACCCGAGAACCACCACGTACCAAATTCGAATAAAATCGGATCCTAATTACAAAATCCGCCATTTTGGATCCGCCATCTTGAATTTCTTAATTTTGACGAAGGAATCATAATCCGGGATCACGAAAACCCCTAGGTACCAATTTTGAAAAGAATTGGATTATAATTACAAAACTCGTCCGCCATATTGGTTCCGCCATCTTGAATTTTCAAATTCCACACGAATTTTCAAATTCTGACGAAAGAATCATAATCTCCGACTCCGAAAACCCCCAGATACCAATTTTGAACAGAATCTGACCATAATTACAAAACTCGTCCGATATATTAGATTCCACCATCTTGAATTTCCTAATGATACCGGGATAAAAAGTATCCTATATTCTTCTCCTGGTTCTAAGCTACCTCCCCACCAATTTTTAGCCAAATCGATTCAGTAGTTTCGGAGCCTATTCAATACAAACAAAGAAACAAACAAACAAACAATCAAATATTTCCTATATATAATATTAGTATAGATAAAGTTTTCCTTTCCTTGCAACATATCACTGACGATGTTACAATCATTCAGGGAAGAAATGCTCAGACAGGCACAGCAACAACAACAACAACAAAATCAGCAACAACAAACACATCACGAAGTCCAGGGAACGATTGGAGTTTCCTATGGAAATTTGGAAATGGGACAAATTATCATCGAGGTGAGTTTCAAACATTACGTACCGAACGCTCAAGGTCTTCAGACTGCTCAACACTGATGCGGGCCAAAATCGGTCCGCAGGTGGTTAGGCGGCACCTGACTTCAATTTAAGCACAATTCGGTATTTGGAAAAGAAACACTCACGATCAGTATTAGATGAAATTCAATGCTTTCCCTCTTTGTTTATTCATCTATCCCACTTTTAGTCCAATAAATGAAGGAGGAAAAAAGGCAAAGTTAACGTTAATTACGCACTATTTTCATCTTCCGGTTGGAAGGAGCTTTTGGTACCTCATTAAAAATGAGACAAAGTTTGACTGGAAAACGCGTGCGATGGCGGAGAAAATGGTCCCAAAAGTCCAGGAAAATAGGTTTTCAGCCAATATCTCCTAAAATATGGCAGTTAGAGATTTTCGGTTCAGACAAAAATTGAAGTTCAGTTAATTTTCTACAAAAATGGTCCTTATAATATTTTTCGCATCAATATTTTCTGCAAAAAAATCGGGTTGAAAAACTGGAAATTTTGAGACTTGTGAAATATGCAAGTTTAATACGTAGAGCACACACGTGGCGAACGACGGAGGAACGAAAGTAATAAATTATAGCGTGTACATTTAGATAATATACTGGTTTTTTCCCGGGATATCAAAGGTATGACTTATATACATCGATGGAAAGGTGGGAATTCCCCCGTTACACTAGTTAAGGTGTTAAAATGTTAGAAATGAAGAGCACGGAGAAAAAAACCACCGAAAAAAAAAGTGCGTTTTTTCCTTGACCCCGCTTTTTCTAATTTTATTGAAAAATGGACGACTTCGTCTAAAAAAGTAATTGCACAATCGGAAAGTAGACCTTCTTAGCTTTCAAATGATGTATCATAGAAACCAATCGGATCATGTATAAATTTTTAATTGATGGTTGTTCACAAAATTTCCCCGCGCTCCAAAAACAGCAAAAAATTGGGATTCAATAAACAAAGACTAAATGAAAATTTAAAAAAATTAGGGTATACAAATTTCAGGGATGACAAAGGACCTTATGAGGACCCATAATCAAGAAAATTCTGAGTAAATTAGTGCAATACAAAAAAAATAGGAACAAATTCCTGGCGAGGTCAAAATTGACCGGGAGCAGAAAGTTTGACCCATGTTCCGATATGGCCAAAAGAGTCAAGCGTGACTCAATTCACAGGGTATGATAGCAGCAGAATTCCTCTTTCACATGAACTTTGAATCATGAGAAAATATGCATTTTTAACAAAGTTATTGAATAATTTGTCCCCCCGCCGATGTGTAAATACACGGACTGTGCTCTTTGGCATACAACAGAAGCTCATTATTCGAGGTGCGCTTCGTGCCGTTTTTCTCGAAACCGGCCAAATTTTCGAGAAAAATGATAAGGGCCATTTTTGTAGAAAATTAACTGAACTTCAATTTTTATCTGAACCGAAAATCTCTAACTACCATATTTTAGGAGATATTGGCTAAAAACCAATTTTTCTGGTCTTTTGGGGCCATTTTCTCCGCCATCGCACGCGTTTTCGAGTCAAACTTTGTCTCATGTTTAATGAGGTACCAAAAGCTACTTCCAACCGGAGAAAATAGTGCGTAATTAATGTTAACTTTTTCCCTTTATTTATTGGACTATTTTGAGAATTTGGATTTTCTGTATTTGATTTGAATTGATCTATGTTTTTCTTGCAGAATGTGATGCCCGATATAATGAAGTCTGACCCGCTTTCTATAGAAGGAAACTAGAAAAGAATAGGAACGCATTTCATTATTTATTATTAAATATGCGAGTTGAATGTTGGACATTTCTGTACATACGAATAATTCATAAAATGATAATTGTTTTTGTAATTAGTTATTTTATGCCTATTGGACAATTATTTTTGTTTTTATAATACGACGTGATTTAGTTTTTAGTAGCGAATCTTTTTGTACAATTGTTGACATATTTTCTTGACTGATCAGTTTATAATTAGTTGTAGTTGGATAAAAAAAATGAAAACCAGTACATTTGGAAATAAACATTTTTTACTGTCATTACCCCCGCCACTTATTCTCATCCCCTCATATCACAAAACTAAATTTCCCTTAACTTTATATTCAACAATTATTGCGTTTACCCTTATCTGGTATCGTGGACAGGACCGTAGCCAGAGTGAATGTTTAGGGTAGACAAAAAAATTCGAGCAGGCTAACATTTTACTCAGCTCAAAAATTATTCTTTAGTAAACAAATATATCATCAGAAATATATTTATTCACAACTCCACCACATAAACAATTTAATAATGACCAACGATCATGGACATGTTTCGAAGGATTAATCCTTTATCATTATAGCAAATTTATAAAAGAGAAAATCTGTAAGAAGAAACAACGCTTATGTTAGTTTTTAAGTATTGATCAAACATCTGAATGTACCTACATTATTGGTGGAAAGAGATCACTTAAAAAAACATGAAAAAACTATTTTTAACCGCGCATAGTGCGGGTGAGTAACTGTTAGGGAACAGACATTATCACAGCTCTACATACAAGAGCTTAGTTCTCGAAAATAATTTGATATAAAGCAAATATTAACATGAACCAACATGTGGGTCTGAATTTGTTGAATTAGGTTAACTAATCACAAATGACAATTGACAACAATGACGCTGAGGATAAAACACAACATCAGAATGACACCAGTCAAGTCAAAACCAAGGAATGTTTGCCGGCTACGGCCCTGATCGTGGGGAATTTCAACACCTCAATTTTTATTAGGTGATATATACGATAAAAAACTTGACTTTTCAAAAATGTTGCTCATTTGTGAGAATAGCGATCTGATCATGAAAACTATGATCCTCAAAAAAACTCGATTCATATTTGAATCAACAGAAAAAGAAATATCCCGTAGGAGTATTACAGGAGAGCAAAATAAAAATCCATATTTTTTGGAGGCTTTAAAAATCACTCGAAATGTTATGTGGAAAGTAGTCCCTATTGCAGGCTTGTTTTCCAGAGCTCAATATTGACGTCAGTGATAAGAAAAAAAGAATTCGATTGATAGTAATAAAACTGACAGGGGTATAATTTGCGCACCTCAATCACTCTTTATTTTCAAAACTGTTAGATTTTTGCAAAACACTTCACTACGATATCACGAACTTAAGAGAATACCTAAAACAAAAAGTGAGTTATTTGAGAGTATGATATTTTTGCATAATTATATCACCCAGTGGGGTACCGAAACACCCCACGATACAAGTTGAGGGTTAAGAGACACACCATGTATAATAATAAATAAACCGAGGAAAGCAAAGTCATTATATTACCTTGAATTACACGTTTTCACTAGGAATTATGATTCCAAAATATGTTTCATTTACCATCGACCACATAAATAAAATTGAAGTTGAAATTCTGCTAAATCAATGAATAGAATTTTCAAGAAGAATCATGGAATTTCGACTATAGTTGAATAATCAATTTTCTATGTTACAATATTAAGTATATGAAAAATATTATGCAATGAGTTCTTCAAAATTCCATCGAAAAAAGTTAATGGGATCTAATGTGGAAAAAAAACTATTTAAGTCGAATTATTTTTATTAAAGATATCAACTAGACGCAAAATGCAAAGCAATTCAACTCATGACGTTTCTTCAACTTTATTCAAGTAATGTCAACTCATTATTATTTGAAAATTTCAAATAAATCATGTCTTTCGAAATTTTGAGACATTATAATATATCAATAATAATGAGCTGAAATGTTCACTATAGTTGAAATTTCGACATACAAAGTTGAAATACCAAGTTATTTAATTGGAATGTTGAGATAAATCATCAATTGAAAAATGCAATGAATTCCTTAAAATTTCAATGAATGGTATTCAGACTCACTATACAGGGTAATTAACGTTAGCCCAACATTGAAAGATTACCAACTTGTTGATGGATTGAAAACTTGACAATAATTGGTACCTATCTGCGGTAATTATTAAAAAAAAATCGACATATCTCAAACACTGTGGTAGATAAGTTATGAATTAGATTGTCTGAACTCAGAAGGCCAATAAACCATGTAAAAAATATGTAGGTTTCCATTTGAAATGAGAAAGTTGGTACCTAAGGACTGAAAATATTTCAGGTAGATTGAAAATGATGTGGCATACGTGAATCACCCTGTATACAAAATTTATCAACTGGACGCGGGATGCAAAGCTTTACAATTCGCATCACAGGACTTCAACCCGCTACATTCCAACTCAAAAACACCTTTAAGAGTACCTGAGTGTCTGTTGGAATCACGGACACCTGTCGTCCAAATTTGAGATTTTCCACTTTCTATCGTATCACCGACAACTGCCTTCTCGGGATCTGATTTTTCTTCTCCTTTGCCACCGATTTTCGAGCACGCGGTATCTTTCCCACAGCAACATTTTGCTTTCCCACAACACCCGAAATTGATTTTCGCTCTGTCGGTTCTAACTCCTATGTTCCTGGTCACAGGGTGATTGTCTCTGCAGATTTCCATGGTCTGGATAGCTTTTTCATTGGCTTTCGATGGAATTTCAATGATTTTCTTCTTCGGACACGTTTCATTAAGGCAAATTTCAGAGCACAGCGATAGGGTCTTTCTTTGACAAGGACGGGAAGTGGGGAGTGTTTTTCTGGGGCTTTCGGGGTTTTTGGTTGGGGCTTGACGTTTTTGGGATCTGAGAACAAATTAACTGCTAGAAACTGGGGATATTCCGGAAATTATTGAATACTCTTGAGGGAGCGATCGAGATCACCTCGCTTGTGTGTGAGTGCCAGTTATGGCCCGACTCTGAATTGGCCAGAAATCTAGAAAAGTCGCAATTTAGTCAACCCTGTTTTTCATTTTTTTCTATTCCAATCTTCGAATTTGAATTTTAATGAGACATGTATTGGAGAAGTGGGACATCTATTCAAAATATTGTTTCCTCACTCTCCGTGTTTTGATGTATTCGAAGGTATTTTAGAATAAAATCAATATACAGTTCACAAAATTTATTATTTCCCCTCATTAGTGAACATGGTGGTCCTTCGAGCCGGATTGTGTTTTTATATATTTCAAGAAAAAATCTATATACAAGTCACGAAATTGATTATTTCACCTCATTATAGTGGAATAGAATTCCAGTTAGAAACTTTTTGACAATTTCTTATGCCGGCAATCTTTCTCTACATAAACTGCAAGTCGACTAATTAATATATACCACATCTCACTCCAAAATGCGATGGAAATTCTATGTATGCCGGCAGTTTCCTTCCATATCTGTATAACATCATCATATCTAACAACACAGGGATATCCTAGCTACGTTTCTTTTATGTCCAAAGTACTGTCGATCGGTACAAGGACATCCTTGGGATGTCCTGCTTAGTATTTCCAGGGAGTGTCCCGACTGGTACATCACTGAGTTGTCCCATGACCCTGTATATCCTGATATCTATTTCTATCATGAATAAATATGCAACAACAATATTCATTAAAGATGCATCTTCTTTATTCCTCACAAGTCACAAGCAAGTGATCGTCGTTTATATACATTTTACTTTGATTCCGCTTAAATTTCGCCGACGCTGGATACATAATTTTAGATACAAGTATGATTTTACAAGATTTGTGCTGTTATTAAGATGGAGCTGTAAAATGAATTTTTTATTTTCATCCCATGGACGTCCTTTATATGAATCCCTGGAACTTACGAGGGGTGTCCCTGGGATTCACTATTGCGGTAATCATCCCATGGAATGTCCATGGGATGATGTAGGTAGGTAGTACCTGGTATATCTCTAGGACGTACTGAAAGGACGACCCTGGTGTGTCCTTTTCGGAAGCCAAGGGATGTCCATAGACCATCCCTAGTACATCTTGTGTCTCAACTGAGGCTGTCCCAGGGACATCCTACTACTGAATTATGGACGTCCCTGGGATGTCCATATAATGTACCTATGTAGTTGAGGATTGTTGTTCTAAATTGTTGTTTTAAAATTGTTCTTATCCATCATTCGGTTGCATCCTTACGAGCAACCCTCAGAAGTCTTCAAGAGACCTTTCAACATGTCATCACAAACACTTTCTTAGGCCATCAAAAAAATTTATGAGGTCGTGGTGGATAGAACATTGACGCTTTAACCACAAGGCTACGCTGGCCTGTGCTGTTAAGGATTGACTATATTGTCCACAATTTTGTGTTTAAAATCGTTCCTCCTACCTCAAAATGCGTATAACAGAAACTTCGAAACATAAGTCGATCAACTAAGTTTAGAAACAAAATTGATAGGAAAATCGTATCATCAATGTACCATTCAAAAGTCAAATTGACAGACAGACAGAAATGAATGACACTAGCAAAAAATCGATCACCTCCGAAAGCAAACTCTCGGAGTACGACCGAGACCCCGATTTCCACAAGGGCACATCAAAGTTCGAGTTCCCCAACGGGGATAGATACGATGGGGAGTATTGCGCGCACCGCAGCGGGGTGGTGTGGCGTGAAGGGATGGGGACATACACCACCAAGGACGGACAAATGTACAAGGGGAAGTGGATGGACGACAAATTGGTGGAGACAGAAGAAGTCAGTATTACTTATTGAACTATAGGTAAACATATCATTATACAAAATATATCAACTACTGTAAATTGACAAAAAAAGAATAATATTTGTAAAAAAAATGGCATGTTCAATTTTATCCAGTTCGCTCAGAAATAATCAATTTTTTCACTTCATTTTTGAATGAACCTATATTTCTGCAATTTTTTATATTGTCAGGTAGTTTATTGAATTCAGTTAAGGCTGAATGAGTGAATCTTTTTTATCCGATAATGGAGCTAGCGGCGTCAAGATGAAACAAGTTATATTGTCTTGTTTCATGATTATGAATTTCAGAATTCCGTATCAACATAAAATTTGACTTCAATTTTTTATTTATGATATTACATGATATTTTGAGTTTCAATTCTATATATTTCATCTAAAGAATACGTATTTGTTATTTCAAACAATTGATTGGTTGGTGTATCAAATGGGAGACGATACAATACTTTTAACGATTTTATATAATGTTGATATTTTATTGAAATTGTTCTTTGAACAAGTTCCCCAAACATTTATCAAATAGTTGATACGACTCAGTATATGAGAGTAGAGAATCATGTTTGCAATTTTAATATCAAATTTGGGACATCTTCTCAATGCCCCAATAATTGGAGATATTTTTTTTGTCAGAACATCAATATGTTTGTCCCACTTCAACCTGTCATCAAACCAAATTCCAAGATATTTTATCTGGTCAGTTTGTTTTAAGAGTTCATTTTTCATTTTAAGGTTGAGGTAAATTTTTTGTTTTTCTTTTCGGGTAAGAGAAACTCTTGGGATTTGGATTGTCAGTGAAAAATGTGGGTAAAACTGCACTTTTCATGCGATGGATTTTTTTTCGAAATGTTTTTTTGGTATATAAATATTTTTGTCTGGAAAACACGAATTTGATAATGAAAATATGAACAAACCATTATTTCTCAAGATATTTCACTTTAAAGTTATGTATTTCACCTTCTTTTCCGCCTGTCTTTTGGATCGCATTCATGTGGCATTACAATTCGGCCGACTGGGAAGGTCTTTCATGATGGTAAAATCCTGCCTGAAGAGTAACTGACAACATATTCAAAATTTCAGAATTATCCTTATTATGCCCGTTTGTATCTGACATTTTTCAAAAAATTTCCAAGATCTCCCGTTTGCAAGAAACATTTTCCTAATTTTTGATTATCATCCTGTAGAATCTCATTCTAAAGAGATGCAATAATCATTTCTATAGGTTCGATAGTCAACAATGACACATACATTCAGAAAGTGGAAATAAACTGAAAATCGGTTGGGGCAGTCGGAAATTATGATGATTAGAAATTGATCGAAAAATTTCGGTTTCACGTTTCGAGTGTTGAGCAGTTTACACAAAAAAATAAAGTCGAAGTTTTCCTTATTTTTCTCAACCAGCACAATACTCTGTAAAAAAATGAGGAAAATCGAAAAAACACTAAATATGTCGGTTATAAACAGTTTGGATAAAATTGGTGGCATGTTCACCTCGGAGAACTATGGAATTCAAGTCATCACCCAGTCTATGTACAATTTTCATCCAATACAATCACTCACTTCCCCAACAACTTTCAGGTGGAAATTTCTTTCACAGAGGATTTCCAATACTACGGCAACCTGAGCAACAACAAACTGAACGGCCCAGCCCTCTACAGTTTCCACAAAAACATGAACCTGCTCTGCGATTTCTCAGAAAACAAGCCCATCGGGAATCTCCTGATCCTAGACAAAAAAGGAAGAGAATGGAGAGGAAAGGCGTTAGATGCAAGCGCTCTGTTCTTACCCGAACACATATATTTCAAGTCGATTCCCAGGGATTACGGAAGAGGCAGGCCAAGGGAAAGGGAAACACCACAAAAACAAAGGTATTATATTTTATATTAACTGTGATCTCCATGGTGGAGCTCAAACAATGGGCACCTTGTATATCAGATCCCTTGGCAAGCTTTGTTTCTCGAACGTTCTCGAATGATCTTCCGTACCCTCCTTTTGTTCTAGAAGCTTCTAGAACAATATATCTCTCTCTCTAATTGTACCATCGATTGTTTCGAGATGATTCCAGATACTTCTGTCAGGTTGTGTGACGCCAGGACACATATTGGGTGTTTCTTATATACGCTGGTACATCTAAGAATCATTGGGATCTTCGAGAGTGATCCAGGACGCGTGTTACTGGGTGATCGTTGTACCCCAGCCTTCCTGATGATGTTCTATAGCCCTTTCGAGGTGAATATCATTACAGTATTATACACCTTTGCATTTTCGCCACAAGATGGCTCTGAAAGCTAGATCGTTCTTCTCTCCCAATTTAGATTTGCTTTGAAGCATATATTGGAGTTTCCTTTGTGAATTGTCTAGTGCGACTGATGAGGCTTGTCACGAAATTCCCCTCACAGTATTGAGATAATAGGTTTCTCTCTCGTTGATAAGGGTGCGTACTGCGTAGCGCTATGCCCAATTCCGACGAAGCCCAATTCTTACGATGCCCAATTCCCACCATGTCCACCTTCATGTCGAAGATTACGAAGATTGCCGAAGAGCGCAACGTTGCCAGGTTATGAGAAAAATTCAGAAAACACAAGATTCCCACCACCCCCACTTTTCATAGATTCCCACGATGCCCAATTCCCACCATGCCCACTTTTCATACATTCCCACGAGGTGGGCATCGTAGGAATTGATCATCGTGGGTATTGGGCATCGTGGGATGCTCCTGTTAATAACCACGAATATTTTTGTCTCAGAGAGCAGCTCGTCGACCGAGTCAAAGAAAAGTCGGAAAAAGCCGCCATCGATGACGTCAACAAAGAAAAATTGAGAGAGCTCGAAATGAAGATTTTCGCGAAAACTAAGAAGACAGTCTCAGATCTGAAGTTCGAACAGTCCGATTGGTATCAACAATACCAGAATTTCAAGAGAATCTACAATGAAATGCAGGAAATCGTCAAAGAGACCGGGGAAGAATCACTGAATGATTCCCAGAAGGAATGGTTCAGAAAGTACGAGGAGTTCAAGAAGAAATACTTGGAAATAATGGCAGGCAGGAAGCACAAAGAGAAAAATTTATCGGAATACAAACTTTTTGAGCTTTTCAATAGCGACGAGTACCAAAATAGTTGTCCCCCAGTGAGCGTATTCTATCCAACAAGAAAATCAGAAGAACAATTTGAGAAAAAACAAGACGAATCTATGGATCACAAGGTGGAATTTTCGAAAACTCAAACATAATGTAGTGAACATATAATCAGGCAAATGGATATTTGAATAGATGAGTTCAGCTCTGAGAGAAGAACATGTCTACTCTCATTAACTTAAAATAATGAAAAAAAAATGGGAAGAAATGGAGAAGACCACCAGGTAATCCAAAGATCTGTCAAGCTGTGAGCTGGTTGACACACAATGATATTATTGATTGTTGATAAATTGTTTTTGTATGCGAATTTTTATTGATATCAGATTTTATTGATGGTACTAACCAGGTGTGATATTGATTCTAACCTATGTTGGATTGCCTAATGGCCTTCTTCTCCAATTCTTCTAATTTTCCGTGTTACCAATGTGGAATTTTCATAATTTCACTTTGGAATCCTGAAGACAATAACAGAATGGGAATTTTCATTCCCCAAATCTAGCTGAATTTATCTTTGTACCTCAACAAAATTCTTCATTATATGAAATATTCTGTCTTCAATTACCCTGGGAAACCCTGAGAAATAAAAAAAAACGAGAGAGCAAAGATATCACTCTTAGATTCAGTCCCTTATTTCTTGTTCAAATCAACCAATCACAAGGAGATATTACACCATCTAATGAACAAAAATAATATATTCACGAAAGATAAATAACGGTTTTTCTCGAAGAACTTTTCAATTCCATTCCAACAGCAATAAAATAAATGAGCATCCAGTAAAATCACACGTCAAATTTGAACGATACTTTTGATATACAGTGTGTTACAAATACGATTCACCCGTTGAGATTTCATAAACCGTGAGATACAAGGTCGGCTGAATAGAAAACTGAAATTTCGTGAAATATCTTCTGTTTTATCCAGACAGAAAAATAATTCCAAATAGCTGATGCATTATCTTTCCCACTATATCGCTTCTACTCAGATTTGGAATGCGACGTTTTGTCATTGTCATTGTCATGGAGACCCCGTCATCAAGTATTTTTCTTTTCAAATACCAAGTATTGGATTTCGAAGCTGAGATTACCTTCTTTTATAAAAGAAAAACTTCTCTTCCCAAACGGTACGAAAAACATAGAGATTTCTCGAAATTATAATTTTTTTAATATCTCAAGAATCATTCAAATTCTGTCAACTGTTTCAACAGCAGATTCACTCACGGTTTACGAGATGCTAATGGGAGAAGAAAATACACCCTGTAGAATTCATATTATTTCTTGAGAGGATAAGCGCTAACGCTAATAGGAATAGGTAGAGAGGTGAACATTTAAATCATAGAAAATCGGAATTCGTTGCGTAAAAATATTGTAAAAATATAAGATTCTCAAGCACATCAATACAAAAATACAAATAACACTTTCAAAATAATAAATAGTTAAAATCCACGAAAAAAATCATCCAAGACAATCAATAAAGCAGTTAAAAAAATCACATTCTACACTCTACACAACTTTCAGTCACTCATAGAGATGGATATCTTTTAGCGTCATCGTCTCTCGCTCTAGCGAACCTCTCATTGGCCACCTCCCTGCGCAATTGTTTATTTTGCTGGCTGTATTCGAAAGCCTTCTCCTGGTACAGATCTAACTGTTCGCCGGTGGTCGCTCTGCAAAAACCACGCAACACCAGACATCATCACAAATCTTTGAGAATATCTTAGTGAAAACGAAAAATAATGAGAATTTTATGTTGGTGACAATAAAAATGAGAAGAAGATTGTTCTAACGTCAACATAAAAAATGTTAGAATGCTCCCCCTGTTTCATATTGAGATTCAACTAGTTTTCTCATCATTTTTTGAGTTACTAACTTCTTCATTATTTCATGAAGTTGGCTACAAAGGCTCCAAATGTCAAATTTAAATAAACACGGCGCCACTTTGAAAAATTATTCTGTGAGTTCAAACACTGGTGGATTATTAATTATTTAAAGCTTATATTGAATTAATCAATCAATCTCTTATTGTTTATGAAATCATCAGTTCCATAACAAGGGCAAGGATGAATTAATAATGAAAAACAAGAAAATTAATAGAGCGAAAATAACTTCACTATGTGATTGATATTAACAAACGAGAATAACTTCGACAAGTGGCACTGAATATGACAGCAGTTGCTGCCAACACAAAATTGGTAACATAAAAAATGGGTAGAAGACGATTCTAACGTCATTATAAAAAGGTTGAGTCTTCCTCTAATTTTTTGTTACTAGCCTTTTTTATATAGGTTTTATAGAGGTTTTCTTATCATTTTTTGTGTTACAAATATAACATTTTCATTATATTACGCTGGAATTCGATCATTAATATGGAAACTTCGGTTCCATATAACAACTACTTGACTCATACTTCTTCAAAGTTACCTATGAAAATAATATAAATAAACTGAAAAAAAATTGACAAGTGACACTGAGTATGACAGCAGGTGCTGTAAACACAAAATGCCTCACCCTTTCCAACTTCCAAATTCGAGCTGAGAGCTGACACCAATTGATATTTTCTTGACAACACAACCAAAGACAATAAATTTCGTTAATGACAGAATAATAAATGCTGCAAATACAGGAAAACTAAATAATGAATCTACCTATGCCAAATGCAGCTCTCACCTGCAGTAAAATGGTATACATTGCCGAAAATGTATTTAAAGATAGTGTAAACATTTCGAGAGTACATGTAGTATCAATTACTCACAGTTTGTCCTGGAGTTCCTGAATTTGGGACCTCATTTTGATAATTTCCGATTGCAGATCCTGGTTCAACAGCCTATGCTCTATCACCTCTTGTCTAGCATCGTTGAGAAGCTTTTCCACTCCGTCCAAACTGCTTTGGTCCTTGTCCAAAGCACTCCTCAGATCTTTGTTTTCTCTTTCTAGCTTGTCGATGTTTTGCTTGTACTAAATAGTGAAGAAGAAGCTTTTAGCCCTATGACAATGAGGAAGTTTACCTCGAAAGAATTATCATATAATTAGTATTCAACTATCTCGTATTAGGTTACTGATGTCTAATCTGGTTATTCAAATCATTTAAATTATTTTAGTTTTCAAATACAGCAATTTCAAATTATTAATGTAGCAGACTATGACGTAATACCTAGATCTAGTGACATTTGATTCATTTCACGCCTACGTACCCGAACATAAGAATAAGAAGAAAGCTGTCAGTATGGTCTAACCTCAAACTTTCAACAAAAATTTTAACAAAATTCATCTCAGTATGGTGTAAATCAGGTTTACAACTACTGTTGCCAGACTTAATTTATCAATTTCTTGGAGAAATTGAAATATCTCTTTAACCCTTCAACATAAATTCAAACCAAAAAAAATTCCCTAAAAAACGAGATGTCAGCACCATTGTTATTTAGTGTATACCCATAATTTTATAATCTTCAATTATTATGCTATTCTAATATTTGGGTGGCGGAAATTTGATCGAAAGACAAATGATAGAAAAACATTTGATAGAAGTCTTTTGATCGAAAGTGTTTTTGATAGAAATGCATTTGATTGAATGTTTTATGATAGAAAATACATTTGATAGAAACATAAATAGAAAATACAATTGATAGGAAAAATATTTGATAGAAAATACACTTGATAGAAACAGCATTTAGAAAATTCAACGGGGCTAGAGGAAAATTGAAGCTTATTTATTTATTGATACCACAAACTTCTAGCACCTTCTTCTCAAATATATATATATCTTCACAAACGAACACCTAAATTGAGCGTATCGAGTGTATTTTCTATCAAATATTTTTCCTATCAATTGTATTTTCTATCATTTATGTTGCTATCAAATGTATTTTCTATCATAAAACATTCGATCAAATGTATTTACGGTGAAAAGTTCTTTCTATTTTTAGATTTTCGATCAAAAGACTTCTATCAAATGTTTTTCTATCATTTGTCTTTCGATCAAATTTCCGCCACTCCTAATATTTATCTATCGTCTATAATTCTCATTTCATCAGGTATTCGGTATATAATTTTAAGAAACAATTCAATTTCCACCTATTCTATTTATTGAATACGTCATTTCAGGTACCATGTAACGCTGTACTGGCGTAAAACGGCTCCCATTTTTAGCTGTGCGTACAGGGCTTTTCACAGCATTACGTCATGTAAATGGTGGAGGAGCCGAAACAATATCTTCACGAATTTTTTCAAAACTCAAATTTGATCTCAAGAAAAAATAAAATGAATGAATTATCATAAAATATACAAATGAATGGGAATTTGAATGTTGGAAATTTGCTCCTTACGAAAAAAATGATTGGCGTTATTCCTCAAAAAATTTTTTTGGTCTCTCGCAACTTTAACTTTTCAATCTTTGGTTAGAGGTTAATGGTAGCACCAAAGAAAACTTGAAGTAGTCTCCACAACTTCCAATCTGGTGGGAGAATAGTCGGGGGTACCTAAGTTTTTGTTGAATAATAGTCAATTAACATTAATTAACACCATATTCCGAAAAAATTCAATATTTTATAAAGGAATAATTTCGAAATACTTACCGAACTTTTTTGTTCGTCTTTACTCCTCAATTCATGCTTCAGCTCGTCTTTTTCGGTGTCGAGCTTCAAGCAGAGATCCTTCAGCTGTTTCAGTTCTGTCATGTACCTGTCAGACTGAGAACTGCCCTGTTTCAACTGCATTTCCAAGCTGGCCACTTGACTGGCTAACTCGGCCATCTAGAAAAAAATCAAACGAGAATCAATCAGATTGTTGGGAAATAGAGGGTACACTTACTTGTTTCTCATAACTTTTTATGATTGATTCTTGATTCTCTATTTTTCTTTCTAAATCTGAGGCATGATCCAGAGCAACGGACAGTTGCACCCTACATTGAGTCGCTTCGCTCTCCAAAGTGTGGTTATTGCTTTCTAAAGCGGTTGCTTCCTCGGATAAACACTTGAATTGATCCAGGATTTCAGTTCTTTCAAGTTCCTGAAAGAGTGAATACATTCATGCAAAGAGAATTCTTTATTTCAGGCAGCTACACGAATCCTACCGACTGCGCCAATTTAATGAATTATTGCTTACAATGAAGCAAATATAATGAATTGAGCAAGCCATTTAAGTCATAATGAACAATGAGTGTAAGTGGTTCTTAAAAAAAATTACAAATTCAAATAATCCCTATAAAAATCATTCCATTTCAAATTCTCTTGAATTCATCGAAAAGGTCGAAGGTTTAAACACCGAAGGTGAATTTCTTATGATCTTCGATGTTTCGTTATTTTTTCCATGTGTACCCATACCCAACTTTAGAATACTTAAGGAAATTACTGGTTTATAATATCCTTTATTATGTTATAGAAGAATTAGCCGAAAATATATTTATATAGTGTGATTATCGTGCCAAAGGTTCCAGTCTTTGATATAAAAATGAGTGTGACAACTTGGATGAAAAATTGAATTAAAATTGTATGGATAATGTTTATAATTTAGATTTCTAACCTTATGAGATATGAGGTCTTCGGTTCTTTTTACTTCAGCCACGTAATGTTGAAGCTGTCGCTTCAAATCCTCGACTTGCCTGGTTGATATCTCCAATTCTTTTCGCGCTTCCCTACAGTCACGTGTCACGCTTGCCAAATCATCTTGCAGTCTCCTTTTAAATTAAAATAATAAGTATGATTTTCTCTAGAATATTAGCTCTGATATTCTACTCAGAAAATAATTTCAGTTTTGGTTAAAAGGAAAAATTACTTGTTTTCTTGTACGGCAGATTCTTTGAACTTCTTCTCAGCTTCATAATCTTTCTGGAGCATAGCTAATTCTTGCTTCGATGACCTTAGTTGTAGATCCTGACTATTCGTTTCATCAGATATTTTACTGAAACAAGAGTATTCGACCATTAGCTACATGAAGATTGGACAAAAATAATGTTTCTATCATGCAGTGGTGACCTGCGGTCTCTCAGACCGACCAGAAATGCTTTTTTGAATTTTGGGGCTTTACTCTAGCTCAACATTTTTTGAGTCTCTTCTCGCACTGTAAACCAGAAAGCGCTAGCGTCAGCAGGAAGCTAGTAGTTATTGGTTTCGGACTGTCAGACCGACCTCACCAGTGAAGTAACAAGTCTGCTACATAGATAATTCTTTTTTTAATTCATTTTATGAGAAATTGAGCGTATTCAATCAAAGGTATATATTCTCACACAAATGAAATATTATTTCTAATAGAAATCATCCATATTAGGGGCAGAACAACGAAGACTTCTACATCCCATGAATACATGTATGACGGATGAAGAGGATCTTGAATGGAATTGTATTTCTTCAATAATATAATCTGATTTCCAATTATGTTTCCTTCGAGCAGAATCATATATAAATTGGCTATATTCTGATTGCATATATTTTTTCATCACAAATAAAATGAATGTCTCTCAGACCGACGTCACGACGTTTTTCTGAACTAGCACAACAAAAGCCATCAACAGTGTATGTATATATTCGGAAAAAGTACCTACTTTTTTTCCGTGAGAAAAAAGATATTTATTTATGAAAAGTGACAATTTGTAACCTGTCAACAGAGATAAAATGTCAAACTTGTTTCCCGTCACAGAAAAAATAATTTGTTTGGGATCTGCCTTTTTAATTATGATCTGAAATTTTGAATTTCATAACCAATCAAGAGATTAGCCTAGCTTCAAGTTTCATCAGACGGAGGCAGGTAATCGAAAATAATATGGATGTGGGTTCGATCTAATTGACCAATAATGGATTCTTCAGTAGTTTCATCACGTTTTATCAGCAAACAACCGATCAGCCATGAATCTCACGTTTATAGGTTATAGTGGTTCTAGTTGCGTCAAAATGGTAGACACAATGGACGAATACGAATCGATGATGAAACGAATTGGGACAGATTCGGAGAAAAAATATGATTATGCGGTTGCAGCAAATGTCGCAAGTTATTCAGCTCATTTGGAGGTTTACTTTCAAGAAAATTGCTAAATGGGGTTTTCTCAATTCTATGTTCAACAGTCATCTTGGAATTTTGATAGGTTTTGGAAATGTTAATAGTTTCATATCGGCTCCATTTATTAGAATTTTTCTTGATGCACAGGCTATAGTGAATGTCCCTCTTTCGGAAGTAAATTTCAATGAAGAACTCAATATCATAAAACAGATTGCAGTCAACAACGTATACAACGTTGATTTGATACGACAGTATTCTTTCTAAAAAACTTTATAATAAAGCTATTCGAGAAGTTTATCCTACCATCAAGAATAATAATCAAAATTATAGAACTTTAACCTATTTTGGATCATCAACAGAAAAATTCGCTCCATTTCTACATAAACAGGACTTAAAAGTTGCATATAGAACAAATAACACGTTGGCAAGGTTTATCAAGAACGATAAAGACAAAACTTTTGAATTCGAAAAATCAGGGGTATACAAAATCAACTGTCGATCTTGTCCTAAGGTACTTATATATCGGCCAGACAGGTCGTACGTTTAATCAGCGCATTCATGAACATAAGATGAATTTTTTGAAGAAGAAAACAAATTCAACATACGTCAACCATATATTAGAAGAAAACCATAGTTTTGATGATTATAATCAACAAACTGAAAAATTCTGATATTTTACTCAACGATCAATTAGACCTCAATAGTTCACCACTGTTGAATTTGTTTTCTTAGTAAGTAATGATATGTATTTGAAATCAACCCTCTCAAGTAAATCCGGTACGCCTTATTTTAATGTAGATATTGTTCCTAATTTCCGAAAATGAAGGTTTATTGAACCTGTCCACAGGTAACTAATCCTTCAGGTTGTGAATGTAGGATATACAGGGTGATTCAGGTTTCAAGGCACAAACTGAAATGGGAGATAGATCTCATCATTTTAATCAAAAAAGTTCATATAAACATTAGTCCGATCTTGTTCAGTAGCGGAGCTACAGGGGGTCAAAGTTTAATTATTTTTTTCTATTAATTGAAATATCTCGCTTACTTTTCAAGATATCATTTTGAAATTTGGTGTGGTCAATACTTTCAAAGTTGCCGTAAAAAAAATTCTACTATTTTGAAAATTTTTAAAACCGCATCAATACAAATATCTGTTTTTTTTTTAAATTTATAAATCCACTTTATAATTTCCATCTTAAACATTAACATAATAAAAAATTGTACTAACGCAAATAATTCAACCTAAATAAACAATAATTGATAAGTCTAACACAGACCTGGAGATAAATATTAACAAAGCTTAGAGTAATAAGTGTTCAAAGTGAGATCCTTCAACCTCTACAAGATTGGACTCGTGCAATCTTAGAACATTTTGTTGCATTTTCAACGTATTTTGCCAAGGAATACAATTTAAGCGAAATAAGCAAAATTGACATTTTTTCGAACGTATATGCTCATTTATCTCAAAAACGGTTCGTTTCTCGAAAAAACTTGAAGAGCGAAAAAAGCCTCTAAATTGAACGATCCACACAATTTGATCACTGAAAGATGCCAGAGGCGTACTACGAAAAAGTTTGGAGGGGATAAAGAAGCCTCTACCTCCAAAAACGTATCACCCTGTAAATTTTGAAAATCTTTAAAATGCTTGAAATGATGATCTTCTAAAAAGTATTGACCATACCAAATTTCAAAATGATATCTTGAAAAGTAAGCGAGATATTTCAATTAATAGAAAAAAAAATGATTGAACTTTGACCCCCTGTAGCTTCGCAACTGAACGAAATCGGACTGATGTTTATATGAACTTTTTTGATTGAAATGATGAGATCTATCTCCCATTTCAGTTTGTGCCTTGAAACCTGAATCACCCTGTACATATAAGCAAGCCAAGGTTAGTTTAGTTCATAGTTCCAGTATATAACCTGACGAAGCTACTGTGTTAGCGAAACATGTCGTGTGTTTGAGAATTTTGTGGAAATCTTATCGTTTGTGAAGTTTCTACATTTGCCATGGATTTCCATCAAGTAACGGCCGAGTCAATTCAAAAAATCAAACGGGAGGACTGGGACTGGTCTGTCATGCTGACGAAATATCGTGTGGGTGTTGTAGACATTTTCACACACTGTTCAAATTTTTTACAACTCATCATGAGTGGCGTGCTTATTGTCATCACTCAGTATATGATATGGTGTAAAAATCGGAAAAATAGAAAACCCGTTGTGGTATCTTGTGTGCAACGACACTAAATCAGGATTGCCTACACTTCGACGATAGTTCAGAGGTTAAATTCAAAACAGATGACTTTCACTGTTTCCGTGTGGCTTCAACCAAAACAATACCGCTGAATTCTTTCAAATGGGCTCTTAGCAGTAAGAATCATACAGGATGATATGAATTGCTGAATGTTTTTACTAAAAATGTTTCGAAACGAGAATATTATTTTATTCGAGCATGAATTTTCTTTTAGAATTATCAACAGCATATAGCTGACATTGAAAAATGATAAAATATCCATTGAATCTGCAAGTGTATCAAATATTCAACAGATGAAAAGAGATTTTAGTACATACTGGGTGACACTGACTCATGGTATAATATACACCTCTTTTTTCCTTTGTTTTTCTAGCTATATTTCTGAAATTTGAAACATCGAATATGCTCACTAGAGGGCACTACCTCACATCTTAGAATTTTTTTTCATCTATCGGTTTTCCTGGAAATGACATCAACTTTCGATTTTCAAATGGAACACCCTGTATTTTATTCCATAATCGGTTAGAGATTATTTATTCAATAATACCGGATTTGAAAATACTCCACAAACGATCAGATGAAATACTGGTATTGTTCCATTTTTTGATATCGGCTTAAGGTTTAAATTATATCACCCTGTATAATCCAAATATTCTAAGCGGTCTCTGAACATCACAACAATCATTTTTATTGATTTGATATAACTTATAATAATGTCATTTCTGGAAAAACGAATGACCCTGTATATGAAGCAACTTCACGAAATAAAAGTTTGGGTCGTTTCAAACAACTTTTTGATTCAACATCTTTTCACATCTCTGAAAACAGAAGACTTAAGGGGGGGGTTCATTTTAAGAGGCGCACCCTGTACTAGTCAAATTATTTTTTCTATCTACGATAGTTCTAAATTAAAAAAAAGAGTGCCGTTTGAGACACAGATTATTATAATTCAGTGAATGATAACAAAACACAAAAAGTAATACATTTACTATTTCTTATTACCCCGTATATTAGGTAGGTACTAATCATATCTTTCATGGACCTTGGGAAATGTCGTCAAACATTTCTCCGATCGTCGCCTATACTCGTTTTATGCGTTACGCTCCAAGACTGTAATTAATTTACCAGTTTAAAAAGATTACTGCGTGACTCGGGTTTCCAACAAGATGGTTATGCAATAATATGTCACTAGTTTTGGCCTCTAACACTTTCGCCTTATAGTCAATATTAATTTATATAAACTGGGCGTCAATTGAAACGTTAATAGTGAAATTTGGCATCAAGTTTGATTTCTCGTAATTTCTAAAATATTGAACGAATTTTGAATTGCCGCCCAGATTCTGAATGCCTTTTTCATCGTCTTCCGAACCATTCCTTACAGCTTCTCTAAATTGATCAGGACCCGTGGTACAGGGTGAAACAAAGTTTCGTGCCTTTTGAAGAAAATTTCTCCGCCCCCCCATTTTGTCGGAAGACCACGATGCTCATATTTTATTCGGGCATTTCATAAATAGCAACCATACCTCGGGACATTTTCGAGTTTTTGTCAAAAACTACTGTGGTTTCCAAAAAAAAAAAAATTTTTTTTTGATTTTTTTTTTAAATGGACTGATTACCTGTATCCCCAAAACGATAAATCAGTCTATTTATTGTCA